AAGTCTAGAACCGTTCTAATGTTTGTGGTCTTACCTGCCTGGTCGCCTCTCTCAAACACCACATAGTCTCTGTCATTCTTCTGCATGAAGTATCCCAGCTGGAGGCCGCTTGGTCCGGCTCCAATAATGCAGTAGTCATGGTAGTAACGGTTGGCCCCAATGGATACAACTGCACACACAACACAACACAGAAGCAATGGACCAACAGTCATGGTTTAAGTTGGGTTTTTTCCTTGTTGAAGATAATTTTTAAAATTTTCTTACTAAGACAGGCTTATTTTGCTTACATGTAGATATATTATTAGAGTTAAAATTTAACTTTTTATTACAGATCTGTCAGACAATGCCATCTTAACCTATAGTACTTTAGAACATAGAACAGTCTCCCAAGCACCCCACGGTGCACAAGCCTTATACCGTACGGCTTTAGTTTTCATGAGAAGTAGCATGGTCCCTGTAAATGTTTTTGCCGAGAGCCCATTGTTTTGTTAAAACCACACTGCATTTGACGCAAAATTAATCAACAACAAAACGAAAAAAAAAATTATTTTGAATTATTTTTGTAAATAAATTAACAAACAAAATAAATTGAAACAAAATACAACTCTAGCAGCACGAAAACTAATTACGAAATAATATGATGTCTTTGACACAAAAGTGGAATGGTCATATTTAAGAGTGACCTCTAGCTGTATGGTATCCAATGACAAAAGTAAGACTCTCCACCACACGTTCACGCCACCTGGTATTGTGAGTAGGCAAAGTCTGGTGTTACAGCTGGGTTCAGGATAATCTTTATATAAGGAAACGATGAAGCGATACAAATAATGTGAGTGCCGGATGGCATATTCATTAAAATGATCAATGAGAAAGTACAATGGCGTACTATCAATTTCCTTTGTTTCTCTGAAATCACGGGGAATTATGCCCAGAGGCAACTAAATAAAATTAACGGTTTGTATTTTGAGAGTACATACAGTTCTGTTTAGTTAAAAAATCAACTTAGTATTAATCGTACCGTTGATTTGTTTAAATAATATTATTAATCGTAATTATTGTGTCTATTTTTAAATGATAAAATAAGTTGAATTTTTGTTTTGTTTTTTTACTTATTTATTTTTTTTTTTTTTGTTGAAAAAATAATACAGTAATTATTTTTTTTAAACAGCGTTTATGCAACAAAATTTACAGTAATCAAATTTCCTTTTTTGAAAAACATTAGTTTTAGACACTATTACTTATTAACGTGACTTTTTGATTTGTTTTTAAATATAAATGTTTAATTTTGCTTCATGTAATCATATTCAATTTCTTGTATTTTTTAATTCGCAAAATGCTAAAAAGCATTATTTTGAGTACACACGTTGGTCTCATGGTACCTTATAATATTCTCTGGTTCCTTGATTAACGCATTCCGAAATATATATATAGCCCATGTAGTTAAACCTAATTTTGAACATCGAGTGGATATCAAGATGGTGGCAACCTCAGCATTTCTGGAATCATTTACATTGCCCAGTCCGACAAATAATGGCCAAGGGTAGTTGAGAAACAAAATTATATTTTACAAGTTTGTAAAATGAGTTGGGCGCTACGTGTGTCAGGTTTTTAAACAGATTTTGTATCATTTCAACCCACGCAGGACCGCACCTGGGAAATTCTGAGCCCCCAGGCAGCTGACAAGAATTCGAGACCCTTTCGTGTTTTAAGCATGTGCGTATATTTTTTAAATACTATAACAATAATTCTCTCATTTGTAGGTAACATGATGTGGATTAAAAGGAATGGAAGTGAAAATTATGTTGATATTATTCTTCCGATACACGTTAAGAACAACTTGTCTTGCGGTTCATCATTTCTATCCGGTGTCGGAGTCATCAACTATTACATGAAATCCCCTATAAATTTACCCATGGTATAGTCATAAACCATTGACACTGCATCTTAGAACATCCGTGTTAATTATTATGAAGCAAAATTACCCCACTGTATGTTGTAGATCAGGGTTTAGCAATTTTCTTTATTTCTTTATTTTTTATTTATAGTTTTGAAGAGAAAAAAAAAGGGTGTGGGGGTTGAGCTTTATGGCGGCCATGTGGTCTTAACAGCATTGGGGCACTGTGCAAAATAATGCTCCGAGGCCCCCCCCCCCCTATTTCTTTCTGAACTCTTATAGCGATTTTTGTTTAGCTAACACTGGACTTTTTTATAACTTGGGGAGGAATGACTTGATAAGTAGATAAAATCGGATGTTTACAAAAATCATCATATCATCGTATATGTATAGAGGCGAGATTCATCTCAGGCGCGTTAGAGCAGCTGTTGAAATTTCACGAAAATTCAGTGAAAGTAAACGTTTCATCAGGAGTTTCTAACTAACGTGACCAGAGTCATCGCGTGGACCCGGCAACCACTGTGGCTGCGTGTGGCCACTGATATAAAAAGGGGGTGAAAGTCGTAATGCTGAAGAAAGAAAGAAAAAGGCTATTAGCTTTGAACGCAAAAGAGGGTGGGGGGGGGGAGGCACAAACCCTACAAAGGACAGTGGTCCTACAGAAGTCACAAGACGACTCGGACTATAACTTCCTTTGGATAAATGACTGATGGTTGAACATATCGTATCTTTTGTTGTAAAACTCCTGTCTTATTTAATTTAACACATTTCCCTCACTCCCCTTAAGTCACGTGATTTTTTTTTTTAAAAATTGACGATTTTTCTATAACTAGTAACAAAAAAATTCAATTAATTTGAAAATCGATAAACCTGTACATAAAAACTTGGGAAAGCTGCTTCCCGCTGCACTTTGAAAACATAAATCAATGTTCATTAACAGTATGGCAACGTGATGCTCCTAGAGTTGGGAGGCCCCCTAGAAGAGTGAGACACTGGGCGACTTCCCAGTGTGCCGACATCTTAAGACGGCACTGACGCTTAAGTCGGCACAGACGGCAGCCTACAGAGGACTTATGGACTTCAATACATCAGCTTTTACATTGTGGTAAAGAAGAAAAAAAGAGTTTAAGCCATTGAAGTCCAACAGCCCCCCTGAAATACATTCACATGGCACGGATGTCATGTTATGCTCCACTTGTTGGATCTTTTATCTCCTCCCCCTCTCCTCCTTTTTAAAACCAACCGGCGTGAATTTATTTCTCCTCCCCCCACTTTTTTTTTTCGCCTATATTAATAATATAAACTCTCTTACCTACTAATAGTCTACCACATTCCTCTTGCTGCCCTCTGGGATAGAACATCTCAAATACAACATTTCAGTTCAGTTTGAACTTGTATGTATCTTGGTTTGTTCGCTGAAGAAGGCTTCATTCCGACACGTTCGTTTTTTGTTGTTTTTTTTTTTGTTTTGTGTGGTCTTTTTTCAGGTTTTACCGTACTTTCTTTCACACATTTCCTAAAATACATTAACGCGGTTCAATTTCATTAAGACGGTGACAGATGGCATCACAGTTGAGAGAGTCTATTATGAGATCATTGTTTCCATCATGAGGACCCACAAAAAAAAGATTCGCAAATCCAGTATAACTTACACGTGCTGTTGTTAATGGCCATTAGTCACATATGCTGAGAAGTGTTCAGGCTAAACGGGGGATAAATCAATTGTAATGATGCACAGTGGAAACCCTATTAAAGGCGTCCGACTTCTCCCCCCCCCCTACCCCCACCATGGGAAGGTGTGTGTTTATGCACCATCCCGACCCTTGAAGTTCGATGGCTAGTGTTGGAAAAAGGGCAACACTGCCCGACCAGGTGCTCTTTGGTTGGGGTGGACCCAGTGGTCGGCCAACTGATTGGTCAAATGAGCCAAAAATAGGGCAGGCGGGCGATTAAAATATGAGAGTCAAATTTCTTTTCAAGAACCCGTCAAGACTCATGTTTTTCAGAGTAAAAACCGCTTTGTGGTCGACTGGCCGAGCTGCACTCAGGTCGCCAAAGAGCCGCATCGCGAGCCGCGATTTGCCGACCACTGGTCAAGCCAATCGAGGGTAGTTTCAGGGGGGGGGGGGGATTTCTTACGTGCCGCTTCGCAGTTATAGTGGGGGGGGTCAGAGCTTGAGGGGGTGCATTATGGAGAGCATTGCGAGTTTTGGCTCGATGGCCCTCTGAATGGTATTCCAATGTACACGAAATGGACAGGAAACGTAAGATTGCGTTTCTTCCCGGGGTGGCGGCCATAGCAATACGAAGTAGGAATCCAGTCAATCCCCCCTTTATTAAATAAGGTCAAATTTTAAAGGAAGCTACCNAGAGGGTTCGTGAATAGGAATCCCCGGGAGGGTGGAGGGGGGGGGGCATAATGGCCCCGGCTCGAACTCCATTCCTTATGAATGATTTTTCACAGAGGATTTGGTATTGAGTATATGAATAAAATAAACAGATTTATGATGTTGTAACATACCAAGTGAACATGTTTCCTATCGAACCGCAAAGAAATCTTTCTCCAATACTTTCAATTGATGTTATAAGTTTATATACAATCATAATTTTGGACTCTCTCTCTATCTCTCCCTCCCTCTCTCTTCATCTCTCTCCCTCTTTCCCTCCGTCTTCCTCTCTTTTCCTCCCTCTCTCCCTGTCTCTCTCCCTCCCTCCTTCTCGCCCCCCCCCCCACTCCTCTCTCTCTCTGTCTGTCTTTCGGTCTGGTTGGGAAGGTGGGTGGGGGAAAGGGAAGAGACCGAATAAATAATACACTATGAATACACTAGGTCACTGCAAAAAGACGTGATCTGTGTTGTAAGGGTTAATATCACACGTCTACTATAAATAGCATAGGGTCCTATCAACTTTGCTCAGTTTTGTGGTAGGCCTACGTGTCTCTTTCACAAATACTTCATGTGTCCTTTGATGTGTACTGTTAAACTTAATAAAATCGGAAATAATGTTGATGTTTTGGGTTTGTTTGGGTTTTTTGGTTTGTATTGAAATCTTAAATTTGAACTTGTAAAATGAATCAATAAAAATCAACAAGGTCAGAATGAAAACATTTGGGTTTTAATAATATACCTGTATAATAATTGTGAATGGTTTAATTTTTATCAAAGATATAAAATTCGTTTGTTTTATTTATTTTTTTAACAACAGATAAAAATAATAAGTAAAATTATAAATATAACTTGCCCTGCAATTAAACTCTCTGTCAGGCACACATTACCCTATGGACTATGTACACACTGATCCCTTCTCACACACATTCATAAGTAGTGGTAAAAACTAAATCCAATTTTAAACAATGCTAAAATCACATTTTGCTGTACAAAAGACTGTTAATTATTTTAACTATTTGTCTACTTTTTTTTTTTTTTTTATAAAATTTAATTTATAAAATTGAAGTAATTGTATACATTGAGGCCTAATAATTGCCAAAATTAAATCATCAAAAGAATTATTTTTTTCATAATTACATGACATGATAATAAAAAGTTTGTTTTTTAAAGTAAAATTCTTATTCATCTTATTATCGCCATGAATTTATGAGCCACTTTCATTTGAAACTACAAACACAACTAAGTGGTGATAAAATATGACAGGCTAAGTTTGGCTGTGTTACTATTTTCAGAATCTGGTTTAACCTTGTTATTCTGAGAGGGGCTATTTTATTTACAGAAATTTTTTTTTTTTTTTAAATTTTAGAAAATTTAAGAAAAACTGAATTATCTTTTTTTTTATATCAAAATTTCATGGCAAATTTTTTCAGATTTTTTTATTTATAAATATACAAAATGTAAAAAAAAAAATATATATATATGAAAGAAGATTAAAAAAAACATTAGGCTCAATGATGAACATTTCACAGCTACAAGATGAACATTTCACAAAAAGAAGATAAATATTTCACAGCTACAAGATGAATATTTTACAGCTCCAAGATGAAAATTTCACAGCTACAAGATGAACATTTCACATCTTCAAGATTAAGATTTCACAGCTACAAGATCTCGGAGTGTGTTTGAAAACCTCAGTAGTAAAGGAATACCTGAAAAGAGATGCTGTTTCACCGGTTACCTGACCAGGTTGTGTAGCAGATTCATAATCCAGGCACAGAGCCACAAACTCAGTCATCCAAGAGTTGCAGTTAAAAAATTAGAAAGATGGCATCCCACAATCTGGCAGCAATTGACAAATTCACAAGGTGACGAATAAAGGCAATGTACTGCAAACACAATTATGATCCCATTGCCCTGGTTGCAAGTGTGTCATTCACATTAACTAGAAACAAATTTAAAGTTGATTGAAGCTTTTGAAAGGTCATCATCTTCATCACTTGCATCATCATCAAAGTTCTTAGCTGCAAAAGCTCTTGCTTGCTTTATTCTGAAACGGCTGAATAAGGAGAGCATTTTCTTTAAAAACTTTTCAATGGCAAGGGCACTCTAGGAGGTTATAAGGCATCCGGGCCTCTTTGTTCCTCCCCCAACCCCTGTCGATCTTCATCGAAATCAATATCTACGTTGGCACTAGATCTAAAAATTGTGAAACCTACAGGCTCCTGTAGGTGTAAATTTTGAGCTATGGTAGGCCTACTTCCTTCAGTAATTTCATCACCCTCTTCTTCATCAGCATCAGAATCGTCTAGTCCCAATAAAAGTTCAATAATAGTTTCAGAACAAAAGATTTCATCAAGCGGATGTAAGTGGTCATCAACAATAGCGCCAGGTAGCGCTGAGCACCATGTATGAAACAACAAATATAGATCCACACACAAAAAAACTCAGTAATTGGTCAATTTTCATAATTTAAAAGGTAAATTATAAAATTTGACTATTCCTTTCACAAATAAACATTCTACCCAAGAATGTGGTGAAAGGTTATATCCTCGTTTTTGTGTTTATATTAGATACCCCTCTATGTGGCAAATAGTCACGCCTGGGTAACAGGGAAAAATATCGCCTGATGAAACAAGACGGTCTTGGGTCACAGGGAAAAAAGTAGGTCACTGCAAAAAGACCCGCCCGGTGTTGTAAGGGTTAATAGCTATATAAAATGTATGTCCTAAAATAAAATGGTGTAGTTAAAAATTAAAAGTCCAATATTAAGTATATCAGCTGCTTGGAACAAGTAGACTTCCTCTGTAACTTAACATTGGCCTTTACTTTACCAGGAACAATCTCTCACCTGCTACATCTGCTGGAGGCTGAAGTTTCTTCACTCTCAGGTGACGACCTTAAAGAACCAGTTGTTAGCTCCTTTGCCTTTACTCTGTCAGGCTCAGTTGACGGAATTGAAATTTGGGAATCTGGTCGCTCTGCCAAGGGGGGTAATCCATCTAAACCTCTTGATGAATCTACGCATTCAGTGTCCTGGAACCCTTCAGAGTGTTTGAGATTGTGGACCAGGTGTTGCAGGGATGTGAGCCTGTTTTTTTTTAAAAATCCAACAGAGGATAATTAAAAGTGAAAATTAATGAAGCAAAAAAAAATTGATACAACATTAAAAGCATAATTTGGTGAAATTGCCATTTGAGTATTCAGCATTGTGAAAACAAAACATTATCCCTATTTACTATTGTCACAAAATATTTTACACAAAATATTACCTAAGATCTGGATGTTACCCCTATATTATAACATTCACCAACATGGGGCTTACCATATACAGTGTACCTTTGCAGTCCCCTAAGCCTATCCAAAAAAAACATTTTTTTCTCTTGGATTTTTAAAAGCCAAATAAAAACTTACAAGTCATCCCCAATAAATATGTCAACTTTGATACAGATCGAAACTAATTTTTTTTCCATCTCATACTAGAAAAAAATGAAACACAAACAGCAACCAAACTTTGTGAAAATGTTTACACTAATTTGTAATAAATTGATGAAAACAATCAATCTAAGACATTGTTTCTAAGACATCAATCTTATGACATTGTTTGTAGAAAAGTTGTTTTTTCTTTTTTTTTCATTTCAATGATGATAAGAGTGTTTAGATTTTATTAATGACATAATTTATCATAGGAACAAATTTGTCAAGAGCCATTCTGGACTCACTAAAGGCACGCATAATCTTACCACCCCCTCCCTAAGTGTATACATTATATATAAATGAAATCTGTACAAAGAAATTTCACGTGTTATAATATGAAAGATGAAAAACTTGTACACACTTTTCCTGGATACTTTTATGGAGCATTTCCTCTTCTTGGTAAGCTGATTTCATCTGGGAATCCACTTGGCGGACACTGATAACTTGAAAAAATATTTTAAAAAGAGCAGCAATGAGAATTGTGAAGGGGGAGATGAGGGCCTTTCAATGATGACATGCAGGTACATTAAGCCACAAATTTTTGTATTTATTTATTTCAAAAGTGTAAAACTATCCTGTAATTTTCATACGGTATCTAGCATTACAACAAATCAACCAGTGATTAATATTTTAAAAAAAGGTTAATGTATATTTTTAAACTTTCAAAGTTGCAAGTTAATGTTTTTATACTACATTTTCTTTTATAAACAATATATGGTAAATGAGAAATCATTCATCCTTCACTCGCTTGAAACTTAATTTTTCTATTTCAAAATAATTTATATACTTTAATTAATGAGAATCATGCACTACATATTGTCAAAACTGAAGAGACACAAATTAAATAAAGGCAGGACTGGATAATGTATATAAAATGTTATTTAACTTACTACTAGATGCAGATAAAGGCCGCATGACTGGAGCCCCACTGTCTTGTTTGCTACCAGGAAGTCTTCTATGGACCTTGCAAATACAGGTACCAGACAATTTGTATCAGATGAAACAATTTTATTCATTTCAATATAAATTAAAATCTTCAGGATAGAAGTCAACTTTTTTTAGTTAATAATGTTTGATGTCATTTATTGAAGCTTAATAATAATCCTTTTTCTTTATACATCAGCTTTCACAAAGTATTTAAAAGTGGTGCAATCCTTAAAAAAATACTATTGAGCAGTTGGCTCTGCAAACAATGACAATAAATACCTGTAGAGTTACATTTAGCAAAACAATACAGTGTCAAAGTTATTAAAATGATGTTTATCATAATTTAGAATCTAGTTAAGTATAAAATTATAATTATTATTATTAATATCGTGAATACACACAGAAGTTATCATTTAACACTGACTAATTGATGCCTTAGTCCAAGCTGCCTATAATTCTCAAGGACCCACTCATACAAATTTTATATCAAGTAAGGAAATTTAAAAACTAAATCATTATATGAAGTCACATAAAAGCTACACCACATTTTTTTCCCAGGAGCACAATGGCATAACTACACCACTGGCTCTTATAGAATGGTTTTGTTTCTTTTACATTGAAAGCTGATACACGTGTTCAAAATGGAGACCATGGAGAGATAATTTCCATTCAAAAAGAGTGCACTTTGAATAATGCAAATTGAGTGTTAGCTTTATTCAAAGAATGAAAAATTATTTGCTACTTGTCAATATTTAGCCATCCACCAACAAGTAGGCCTATTGGATGTGAACAAGAAAATCTTACCCCATCTAAAACTTCCAAAATTGGGAAGGCTTTCCAGATTTTTTTATGATAGGTGAGTATTTCCTGGTCCTCTATGTTGACAGGGTTGTTAGTCATATACATTTCAAAAAGGTCTGGGAGTTTAGATAAGAAAAACTGAAACAGATATGGTTGAGTTACTTATTTGCAATAAAGTTTAATTTAAAAAAACAAAAGTCATTACATAACTTTAGCCATTAATTATGTAGAAAATAGCTTCTAAGCTAACTAAAGACCAGAAAATCCCTAACATGGAATCCACAAGGAAAAGGAAAAAGGGGAAGGCCAAAGAATACATGGAGACTCAAGCTAGAGGCAGGCACAAAAAGTATTGGATACACCTGGAAGCAACAGCAACAGGATCGAGATGAATGCCATGCTCCCAGCCGTTTAAAAGACATAAGTAACTAAACATATTCACAATTTTTTTTATTTGTTGCTTTTTTAACAAATGAACTGAGAAGTTATTTTTAGATAACAAAATTGTATTTAAAAAGCACAGGTATAATGTTAACAGACTCACTATTTCTTCCCATTTGTCAATCTTATTATCCATGAAATACAGAAGTTGAAGTTTTGGAAACATGTCCACAAAATAACCCATTTCTGCTACTCTGTTGCTGTTGATGTTTAGCTCCTCAAGGGATCTGTACAGGATACAGTACACAAAAAAAAAAATTATAGAAAAATATTACAGGTAAATATGCCTTCACTTTTGTTTCTTACATAATTAAAAAATGTCCTTAAAAGTACATTACAAAGTGAAAGAAGAAATTTGTGTGATTTATTAAGATTAGAGTTTCTCTCCCGGGATCCTGCACGATTTTGAGAAATCAAAGACTTCCCAGGAATTTTACCATCATAGGAAATCCCAGGTCTACACTTTTAGAATAAAATTTTCTTGTTTTTTTTTAAATTTCATTAAGTAACAGATTGTCACATATTTAACTTTAAGCCAGGACCTGTAACATATAGTTAACTGTGCTGAATTACTAAGCTCAGTAACTCAAGTACATAGGTTCTCAAGTCGCGAAGACATTCATATATTGTTGGTCCTTAGCATGCCAAGATGACCAAGGCATTGACTTGAGTAATTGCCTTGTCTTGAGCTGTATCTTGTTCAAAGTGAAGGAGAGCTGCTCAGTTCGTCAGCCTCACTCTCACATAAGTGCCTGTTTGATCCAAGACATAGCCAAAACAAATAGAAATAGACCAGGATGCAGTGGATGGCCAGCATTGTTTCTTGTACCTCACTGTGGTTATCACAGGAGTTGTCATAAATTTCTTTGTGTTCATGTCATACCCCTTAGAAAATCCATTTCCAGGTTTGATTTCAGAGTTTGCCTTCTCTTAGATGAGTTGCCACCCAATGTTAATGGGTCCCATCCACCTGGGGTGCTGGTGTTGTTTTCGCTTGTCTAGGCTTTAACCACAAGCTTGGGATTGGCTCAGTTTAGATCACTTTGGCCACCCAGCACATTTAAATAGAAGCAAAGTAACCCTTACGACATTATAATGGGAAAAAAGCTTTTAAATAGGATAAATTCTTGGAAAGGAGTAAATATTAAAACTTAATTTTCAAACATAATGTTATTGGAGACATATTTAATCCCAAGATTTTATTGTAATGTCAGCCATGCACTGAAAACCTGTGCTCTCGTAACTTTATTATTCCAAGGCGTCATGTGTCAAATAATCTTTATGATATTTTATAGGATGCTGTGTTTTTTCTTCCCAAATCCACATAGTAAGACATATACAAATAAAGATATCATTCCTAATTGTTTATTTTCATTTAAAAGGAACCTCTTGTTACAAATTATAGAAACATTTGTTGGTACATATTTAGTAACGGATTTGAAACTAGAATTAGCAACCTGTAGAGAATGCAAAACTCATGAAGTGTTGTGGTTTTTTTCTACAGGTGGTTGCATACAATTTTTACTTAACAAGCACATTAACAGCTAGTTGCCCACTGCTAGGGTTAAGCAATTGAAAATGAGGCAACTAGCAGCAAGAGACCAGCCTCTCAACTAACATTAACATTGTTTTTTTATTCATTAATAGAAAATAACAATTAAACAACTATAAAAAATTAACTCTTTTCTGGTTTGATTAAGTTTATAATAGATTTTTAATGACATGAATTCTATCCTGAGATTTACCAGGAAATCAGGATGAGGAAAACTTTATTCCTGTTTTCCCCGGATAAGCGAAACTCTGGGAAATGAGAAATTCTATTTAAGATATGACTGTTGTCTTAAAACAATTTTTCTAAAACTATACAATTTTGAATCATGGTACTTAACGGAATGATCAGCATGAAAAAACGGGAGTATTTATAAAACTACCAAAAAAAAAAACTTCTAGATTGAGATAAAAGTTACTGACATCAACTTCTTGAGAGATCTAAGTGTTGTGAGCTGATTACTGGAAACATCTAGAATCTGAAATAAAGAATTACTATATTTTAGAAAATAAGCATTAAGGCTCAAATAGTTTATTCAAAAATATTTTCAGGTTTTTGTTAATTTAAATAAATATTTTTGTGGCTTTTTATTATTAGAATTTTATTTTTTTTTATTTCATTTTTTTTTAAATAGACAAACCTAAATCATTAAATGACTATGAACACTTCAAATGTTGTTTGTTTTTCACTGTTCTTTTAATTAGATGAATCATATTTTTATGTGCAAATGTTACTTAATCAGCTGTATGTACTAAAAAATGTGTAGTTATCTGTAATCATGTGCAAATGATGTTTGTAAAATGTATATATTTTAACATTTTAACCTATTAAAATATTAAGTAATTTGTTATTGCTTTAACAAGAAATCTTCACTACATTAATAATGCAACCAAGGGTGTCAAGAACAAGCCCTTCTGGAGCTATGTGAAGCACCAAAAGTCCTCAAACGCTGGAATTTCCCCCCTGAGGTTTGATAGTCAATTGGCATATGACGCAAAAGCACAGGCTGACATACTCAATCAGCAGTTGCAGTCGGTCTATGGTGACAGCAGAGAGTACTGGGAGGCTGAGTTCCTTCTGAGGACCAACATGATGAGCACAGCCTATCCCGTCATGAAAGATATCCATTTTTCAGGGCAGGGTGAAATATCCTTATCAACACCAGGCACAGAAACATTACAAATCTCCTCTACATGCATAGGAGCCAAAATGATCAATAAATTGATCATGGGCCCTTAATATAAAGAAGAAGAAATAATTTAATTAGGCACCTGTAGGTTTGGTAGATTAGCTAAGCCAGATAAATCTGTCAGAAAATTTCTGGAGAGATCAACTTCCTGAAGTTTCTTGCACTTTGTAATGTCACTTGACTTTTTAAAACAATTTCCAGAGGCGAAGAGCTCTTGGAGGTTCGGTAAATTACTAACAGCCTACATAAAAAGTGAGATGTGCAGATAATTACTATGAAATAAAGCATTTTTTCAAATAAAAAGTTGTTTTTTTTAACAACAACAAATTTTAAATATTAAACACAAATTTTAAAGACAATTAAGTAAATACTATGGAATATGCACTTAAATATCAATGTAATTTGAATTCCAGTATTGGCATCATCAACTTAACTTCTTTTTTATTTATTATAAATTGGCTTACAATACCAAGGAAAATAACAGCATCAATAGATAATTATTCAAGTGACATTATTTTTTTAAAATAATTGTATTGCAATTGTATAACTTGTTTAAATAATAGTATTGTAATTATTGTATAACGAAATAAATTATGATTGAATAATAACTGTAAAATATACCTAGCTATTGAACAAAGTAGAGACTGACTTTTAAACCTAAGTGTCTTATGGAATATGTTTAAAATTGAAGTGACTAGCATTTAGTTATTCACTTACTGACAAAGATTCCAATTTGTTGCCACTCAAATCCAGTGATGTTATATTAGCACAGCTAACAAGCTCTCGAGGTTCTATCACAGTAATTCTATTATTGTCAAGGCGAAGCATCTGCAGATTTCTTAAACTAACTAAACCTTGACCTTAATAAAAAACGAAACATCCAGGTCTTTTAAGAGTGTACACTATTTTAATGTCAAAACTCAAAAAATAAATTCAAAGAAGTACATTTCTAGGTAACAGATTTTATTTTCTAGTTTTTATATGTTATCAGGAAATAATATAAAATGTTTACCTATTTTAGAAATCTTGTTGTGTTGCAGAAGTAAAGTGCACAAGTCTCTCAATCTATGTAAACAAAATTTAAAAGTGTGGGAGGGGGTTGGAGTTAAGACCATAGCAAAATTCATTTTCAATTAATTACATTTAAATAAAGGCCTACTTACAAATCCAATAAGATGTTTACATAAAGAAGATCATAGTAACACACAAAAACCATTGTTTAGGAAATTGCAGTTACTATTTTATAATTAAATAAGATTACTGAGTTTCTATTAACCTACTTGTTGAGGCCATCTATTTCTGTAATATCATTGTCATACAGCTTTAGCTCTTTAAGTTCCTGATTGGAAAAATCACATGAATAATATAATAGGTATGTAATTTTAGTGGCATCAAAATTTTAAAATTTCTTCTTTGAACAGAGACCAATGGACCAAATATTCATGAACTGATCTCACAAGACTGAAACCATTTAACAAATCACTACCGCTCTCATAAACAAAATTTTAGACAACAGGTTTCAGAAAACATTTTATTCTACTTACTTTGGTCGCCTGAAGACCTGATATTGAATTGAGATGATTTCCTGATAAATCCAGGATTTTTAGCTTTGGAAATTGTTGAAAGTCGGGAAATGAAGTCAAATTTTGACCATGTAGATCAATTTCGAACACCTTTGAAGTATCAGATTCCTGGCATATCTTCAGCTAAAAGAAAAATAAGAGGTTTCAAAAGTATTTTCATAAGAGACCTAAACTTTTCAAATGGTAAGTCTGTAACAAAACATTAAACCAAGGTTCTGAAACTTTTTCCAGCCACCCCTCTCCCTTTGGGGGCCATCAACTCACCATGTCCGCCCCCTTGTCTTACCACAACATAAACATGAGCAGAATGAGTTTTCACAAGCCCTCTATTATAGACATATTATAATATGTGTCAATTAAAATAACTATTTACAACAGTTTATACATAGCTAACGTTCTATCTGGTTAACTATTTTGAAATCCTTTCAATTAACTTCGCTTGTGTTTGTGGCAAAATCTTTGGAAGGCTAAATGATCCACTTCCCATCATCCTATCGAGAAGAAACTTGGCACATAGAATCACTACCGATGACAACATATCCTATCTAATTTTCAGCCCCAGCCCACCATCCACAAAAATAAGTTTTTCAAGGGCAAGGTAACTGAACCACTTTCCATCCTCCTATTCAAGCTAAAACTTGGCACAAAGACTTGTTTCCGATGACAACACACTCTCTCAAATTTTCAGCCCCTAGCCCCACACCAAAAAATAAGTTTTTCCTAATCAAAGGGGAAGATGAAGGAAATATTGTGAAATTGTTTGTTAAGAACTGTATCCTTTGTAAGGCTAAATGACCCACTTCCCTTCATCTTATAGAGCTAAACCTTGGCACTTGAAAACACATTCCGATGACAGCACAATCTATCAAATTTTCAGCCCTAACCCCCCAAAAATCAGTTATTTCCTGTTTTTCAAGGAGAAATATGATTTGTTCAATGAGTGTGTGTCTTGGTATGGAGTACTAATTTTTTTAATCATTGAGGGGCCACCAATCAGGATGATACGCATCAGTGAAGAAAGGAAAAGAGCATAGCTGAGGATCGTCAGAGGGGGACAGATGTCCCCCCGGCACACAGCTAGTGGGCGCCCCAATATGGGCTTTGATTGTACTATATAATGGGTTATAATGGGTTTCAGGGTTGAGAAGACGAAAAGTGAATCTTGTCCAATGTCACCATTTTCTCTAAAGGGGAATGGGGGGGGGGGGGGGTATTTAACCAATTTTTTGATGATTGATTATGAGAGTTTCTAAATTGTGTGACAAGATAATGAGAGTTTCTAAATTGTGTGACAAATTTGTGTATGGAGTGATGATGGATGAAGGAGGGGTCTAAAATGGGCCAAAATAGCGTAAGGTCATTTATGGATCACCCCTTATTTATATTTTCTTATAGGTCCAGCAGTCCAGCCAGTCATTTGTAGTACGGCTTTGCTTCTTAATACCAGTTTCAGAAATATCAACAGGCAGCTTTATTTTGTTCTCTGTCATGTCTGTTAATATTCTGGCCTTCTTATTAGTAGCAGAGGTGGATGAGTAAAAAAAAAATTTAATTCACCAAAGATTTTTTTTTTAACAAGAAATTATTTTTTGTTCCATACATTAGCATAGCTAGGGTTAGTGCCACCCAGGGCAGGTCGAGCTTTTTTCTGCCCCCCCTCCCCTTCCACAAAAAAACTGCAGTTGATCAAAAATACCACCCCTCAATATAAGGACACAGGTCTTAGTGGCGTCCAGGGTGGACCGCCCCCTAAGCACCCCACTTCCTATGACACTATTCAATCATGGTACATTACAATGACCAGACTTTTCTGGGGTTAACCTGGGACCCAGGGGTTTAAGGATTAGTGGGGGGAGGGGGTGCACGTTATTAAAGCCCCAGCTGGTAAATTGGCAACTAGCGCCATCTGCTGGGCTTTGCCATATAACATTGTCGTAAGGCAGGTCTCTCCAGCCGCCCTCACGACTCCCGCAACATCTAGTGCAGGGCATTCAGTCAACAGGTGCTCTAAAGCAGTGGTTCTCAACCTTTTTAATGCCGCTACCCTTTAATACAGTTCGTCAAGTTGTGGCGACCTGCAACCACAAAATTATTTTCGTTGCTACTTCATAACTGTAGAGTATATTATTATTATTATTATTAGGTGGTTTTATATAGCGCTGTACCCCAGCCTAGGGCTAGCCTCACTGTAGTACCCCAGCCTGGGGTTAGGCTCACTGTAGTACCCCAGCCTGGGGCTAGGCTCACTGTAGTACCCCAGCCTAGGGCTAAGCTCACTGTAGTACTCCAGCCTGGGGTTAGGCTCACTGTAGTACCCCAGCCTAGGGCTAGGCTCACTGTAGTACCCCAGCCTAGGGCTAGGCTCACTGTAGTACCCCAGCCTGGGGCTAGGCTCACTGTAGTACCCCGGCCTAGGACTAGGCTCACTTTAGTACCCCAGCCTAGGGCTAGGCTCACTGTAGTACTCCAGCCTGGGGTTAGGCTCACTGTAGTACCCCATCCTAGGGCTAGGCTCACTGTAGTACACCAGCCTAGGGCTAGGCTCACTGCAGTACCCCAGCCTGGGGCTAGGCTCACTGTAGTACCCCAGCCTAGGGCTAGGCTCACTGTAGTACCCCAGCCTAGGGCTAGGCTCACTGTAGTACCCCAGCCTAGGGCTAGGCTCACTGTAGTACCCCAGCCTAGGGCTAGGCTCACTGTAGTACGCCAGCCTAGGGCTAGGCTCACTGTAGTACCCCAGCCTAGGACTAGGCTCGCTGGGCTTCACATAAAAATTAGCAATTACAGAAACGTAGACATTTAAAAACAATAATTTGTGAAAAGCTTGACCTCACCCACCCAAGTAATATCTACCCCTGTCTAGCCATAGATAGCAACCAGCAGCATCGTGCATTGTTTATCAGTCAAAGGGGGGTGAGAATGAGTATAGTACAGTTTGAAGAGATGGGTCTTGAGGGCAGTTTGAAGGCTGTAATGGTCATTGTATTGTGGATGTGTAACGGGAGAGAATTCAATTGTTTTGGGGCACAGTAAGAGAAAGATTGTTCACCTCATGTTTAAGTGTGTGTTCTGGGAACAGAAAGAACACGCGTTTCTGCAGAGGAACAAAGCTTTCAAAGGAGTGAATAGACAGTAAGAAGTTCAAAAAGATAGGAAGGGCAAGAACAAAAGAAAAAGTTGTGACACAGAACAGACAGCTTGTAATCAATGCATGCCTGTATAGGGAACAAATGAAGTGAGTGAAGTAGTGGAGTGACGTGATCACGTTTCTTTGCCTTTAGAACTAACCTATCAGCTCAGTTTTCAACTTTCTGCAGTTTTTCTATGAAATGTTAAAGTGAACCTGACAGAAGAGAGTTACAAAAGTCAAGATGCGAGAAAACAAGAGCACAGACTAGTGTTTTTGTAGCGGTAGTGGCTGATGGAGCTGAGCTGACAAATAGTGGTGTACGCAGAGCGACAGATGTGAGAAATATGATTATTGAGAAACATGTTGTCAGAAAGAATTTAACCTAGATCCCTAGTAGAGGAAGACAACTCTATATTGGAGCTACCTACTTGAAACCAGATGGGGAGAGCTGAGTTAGAGGATGATTCTTGATTGTGAATGAGGAGTGCTTCCGTTTTGTCATCATACATGACATGACATCACCAATGCACTCTTGCAAGGTGTGGATAGCAGAATTGGCAAGAGACGGATAGGTATACTTGTATAGCTGCAAGTCATCTACGAATGACTGGCTCTCAACAGCATGCCTCCCAAACAGGAGGAGAAGTGGCCTGGTATACATTGTGAATAGGACGGGACCCAAAACGGACCCCTGCAGCACTCCATACACCAAGTCAGCACTACCGGAGAGACAGCAATCAACAGCGACCGCCTGCGTTCTACCAGAGAGGTCGGACCAAAACCAAGCCAAAACTGAACCAGAAATGCAAAAAAAATATTCAAGGGTTTTGAAAAGGGTTTGATGGTCAATGGTATCAAAGCCGCTCTGAGGTCTAAGAGGATCAGGATGGAGACATAACTACTGTCCAATGCAAGGAAGAGGTCACTGCTGACTCTCAAGAGAGCTGTCTCTGTGCAGTGAAAAGGTCTGTAGGCCGACTGATTAGGACTGAGAAGAGAGTTATTCAAGTAAGCAAAAAGCTGATTTAGAAATAGTTTTTGAATGACTTTAGATAAAAATGATAAATTAGATATAGGTCTATAGTTTTTTTTAATTATTTTGATTAAGACCAGACTTCTTTAGTAATGGTTTGATGACAGCTGTCTTACAAAGAGAGGGAACAATGCCAGAAGACAAGCTCTCCTTGACTATATAAGTTATCACTGGGAGAAATTGATCCAATGACTCACCCACAAGTGGAGTGGGAATGGGGTCGAGAGAACATGACGTAGGTTTAGATTTTAGAATAATACTATTGACCTCTTGTTCTGAAACTGGATTAAAAACATCTATGAGGCGGGTCAAGGGGCGATATGTCAAGATGATCAAGCTCAACATGAATTTCAGCTACTTTGCATGTGAAAAAATTATTATAAATAACTGGTTTCTTGGGCAATGTGTCAAGTATGGGAGTTCATTGAGAATTGTTGCGCTTGAATATTATGTTCACTGCGTGCGGTGTGTGTTTGAGAGTTTTAATTAGTTAGTGAGCACTCTTCCCGACCTTGACTCGTGCGGGAGTGGTGAATGGAACTTTGTAGAAGTAGAATGTGTATTATTTATCTCTGATAGCAAGCTGCGCTACATTCATGTGTGTAAAGTATATACTTAGATATTAAAGTTATAATTATTATGAAAAGGACTTGAGTTTATTCAGTGATAGTAAGAATAGTACAACGCATGAAAGAGCTTGACGAATGAATCAATCCAGTAGAACCATAGGATAAACCAATGGATAAACTGAAGGAAGAACAGTTACTTTGTTACTTCCTGTGAGGTGACTACAGATGTCAAACAACAGGCTGCTGGTTTTACCCATAATAATCTTATTACTAAAATACAAAGACTCAGCACGATAAATAATCTGAGTCACACGTTTCTTGGCAGCAGAATAGATCACCTTATAAACAGTAAGGCCCGACCTCAACAACTTCTTTTCTGCATTTGGATGCTCTTTCTTGGCACTTCCCAGTTCTTCTCTGATGGTTGCATATCAGGGAGCTGACCGTTCTCACCTAACAATTTGGCGGATAACAGGGGCATGCTGGTCAAGCACAGCACTTCTAAACTAACACTAAGCTGGCAAACAACACAGAAGTAGTCTGAGGACAGCTCTTAAGTAATTGAAGTAGAGGTAACTACACCATCCTAAGGCCTATTTTTAGCACCCAATCAATAACATGTCCACGATTATGAGTCGGCTGGTCGACTGATTGCTGAAGACTAAATAAGTCCAAAAGATCCATCATGATTTTTGGATGGTCTTAGGCGACCCCAATGAAAGGGCTGTTGGACCTCCAAAGGGGTGTCGACCCACAGGTTGAGAACCGCTGCTCTAGAGTTTCTGGGAACACTTCACAGGGCGATTCAAGTTAACGTGGACCAAACATCAAATGTTAAAAAGTTTCTTGGAAAATCCATTGAAAAAGGTGAAAGTGTTCCGTTTGATTGTGTTCAATGACACGAAAAGCCCTAAGAGTAACCCTTAAAGACTGGATTAGATCCTCTAGTTAATGCTTTAACTGATGACCCAATATGAATAAAAGATTTCCCATTGTGATTATATATATAATGCATCTCTGCTCTATGTGTCTGCTATATGGTTCATTAAAAATTGAGCATCAAGATTGTAACAAGAAGTCACTTTTAAATATCTCAGTTTGCCTTTTTTCTTCATTCTTTTCAGAAAGAGCTTAAAGAAATTGTTTTAAATTGGACTCACTATCTCACTAATGTCTATCGCTTTTTGGCCTGAGTTAAAGGATCTTGTAGACTTCAGACTTTCAGCACTTGGTGGTTGAACCATAGGGTGTTCTGAATTAATATCCACATGTCCTCCTACTGTTAATGCTGCACCCAAAGGGAGGTTCCTTCCCAACTGTTTTGCTGAATTTGATTTATCTGATTTAAAGCTATCCAAGTTCTTTGATGTAAACAATGAACCATTGGAATGGCTCTTTTTTAGAGGTCTTTCATTACTGTAAAAGGAGAAAAAAAAGAAATTTTAAAATGCTTTAGTAGTTATCAAGAAAATTATTTCTAATATTACAAGGACAAAGTTACAACAATTTCCAAAACTATTGTTGCATTCATGTAAAATTAACAGTAAAGTAGATTAGAAAACTATCAGAAAAAATTCATGGAGGAAATTATAAATATTTTATAGATAATAAATTTATAAAATTTTTTTAATAATATGCCTTATTTATGTATAGCTCTTTGAGTATACAGGAATATACAAAATGTACAGTAGATGAAATAATCATTTTATAAACTTGTATTCCAAATTAATGAAAATTTAGACATCAATATTACTCATACCTTTTTGGTTTTGGTAGTTTTGGAGGAAGAGGTATTGACTTCAGCTGGGTTTGAGCGACAGTTGATCTAGAACTAATGGGAATACCACCAACTTGTCTTCCCAATGATCTTGAAGCTCCCCCTGATGGTGCAGATTTAACCTTGGTATTCATCCTTAATGCTAATTAATCCCTTGGAGGATCTTGAAAGGATACCACAGCTTGAGCATTTCTCTAGTGAAAGCATGCATCGTGATACATTTCTGGGGGAAAAAAAAAGGTTTGGCATGTTCCTTTCTGTCCTTTGGCTAAGTTTTGTTTTATTCTAAATTAGGCCACCTAAATATTTAGTAATATAACTAATAAATGCAGTTGGACAAAATATAAAGAAAAGCAGTAGTGCCCCCCACCAATGCCCCTTCCTATACCACTGATACTCATAAAATTATAAACATTTTATAATTTCTAAATTCTAATTCTATTTCTATTATAATTATACCAAATGATGTGGTATATAATTTTGGTAATATAAGGTAATCCTTTATTTAGAAATAATAAAACGCACTAAAATAAGGGTTTACCTATAAGTATAATTATAATATCACCTACTTTATGCCTTTATCTTATCATCATCTTAAAGGATATAAATCATTTGGGCATCTCAAAATCATAACTGATTAAATTTACCTAAAAAGTTATAAGTTATGTTTGATCCGACTGAGCCTACTCATCTCCTTAGTTGACCTTAGCCTTGGCCTTAATAATGATAACTTTAAATTAATTAAATTTTAAATTTAAATATTATATTCTGACTAAATTCAAGAACACTCCATAGTTAAGCCGTTTATGATACCAATTAAAGTAACCTTGTTGTGAAAAGAATTTTAAAATTGGGAACAAAAAGAAAATAGATAATGATAATGTAAAAAAAAAATTTCACCCTAACCAATACTAATACTACCTTTTTGCCATAGATATTTCACTGCATTGTGATTGTTTATGAGGGAGTCAAGAAGCCATGTTTTTTCTTATCAGGGGAAATTACTCGCAAATACCAATTTAATTCATCTACGCATGACACTAAATACTTATTAGTTAAGTTTAATTAGACCACACAATAATTGGCCCTATTGTCAGTAGGTCCGATCTCCTAGAGCTGTCGTGTGACTTTTGAGACCCCCTGCTACTTTTCGGTTTGTAGGAATTCAGGGCACATTTAATTATTTCAAAATTTCCTCATAACAACTTTTTTACGGGCCTTTTTGGTGTCCCGAGGCAGGGTCAACTTTCTCCTGAAAGTATCATTCCCTCTATACTCTAACTCAGTGGTTCTCAACCTTCCTAGTGCCGCGACCCTTTAATACAGTTTCTCGTGTCGTGGCGACCCGCAGATATGTGATATGTGTTTTCAGATGGTCTTGGGCGACCCCTTGAAAAGAGTCCCGCGACTCCCAAAGGGGTCGCGACCCACAGGTTGAGAACTGCTGCTCTAACTGAACTAAGTCTATATATATTTACCTGACTTGTGTTTATAAACTTCAATGGAGTCCTCATACGAATAAATATGCTAATCATAATACACAACTTAAAAAGGATTTTGAGCAACCAGTGCCGGGTTAACCTTATGCCAAAAGAGAAACGTGCCTAGAGGTGGCAAGGGCCTGTACATTCGGAAAGAGGGGCTTGAATGTACTTGCATTGACTCGAGGTAATATTTAGTACTGATGGCGATGGACATTTCAGACATCTCCCCATAGGCCATATAAAACAAGTTATGCTATTATTATAGCATTTTGGGAATAAATAAAAATAAATAAGGGAAACATCACAAGTCATAAACGTTTCTTAAGATGGTAATAATAATGAGCATGAATATTTTCAAAAGTGTTATCTTTTTATCACAGAAAGATTACAATTAATAGAACAACATCATCCATTGTTGCAGGGCAAACGCGACCGAAAATTGGGGGGGGGGGGGGGGATTTTTTTAAAAAAAAAATAATTTTAATATGTTTTTAAAAAGAATTACATTTCTCAGTAGGAATATTCACCCGGGGCACCTCAGGCAATATAATGAGATGCCAAAGGCTACTAAAAAAAAAAGTATTTTTTTTAAAAATACGGTCTTGGACTCGGTTCATATTCGACAATCTATAGGCCCTACTCATGGCGTAGCTAGAGTGGTACCGCCCGGGGCGGTCAAGATTTTTTTACGCTGCACCCCCAATCTACGAAAAGAACTCTGCAGTTGACCGAATTGAAGGGACGCCCCTCCATCCTTCCCCCCTATTGCTATGCCACTGCCTGGAATGTACATTGATGATTAATTGCACTGAAAAAAATTATTTTCAAAAAAATAATCAGGTCTAAAAATTAATTATCTATAGTGTATTGTATTCATATATTTGACTTTGATGAATGAAAGCGACAGATAACTCAGCTCTATGCCAATTAAAACGCAATAGAACTATACACCACCACAACAGATTTGACCTACATTAACCATGACGCATGTGAATGTGGGGCAAAACTGATTAAGCTGGTAGCTATTCAAATCTCAGCAACAGTGTGAACAACAACAAAATCATGAAATGTGAAGGGATGAATAAGATATAAACCTATATATAGTAACGCTAAAATCGTGAAGATGTATTACAAAGCTAAGTCTCTAAAGTCCCCACCAAGGTCCCTCGAAATCAATAGCTAATGATTATACACATACAAGGGATCGCCATAGAAATCATGCAGGGCACAACGAGAGCAGGGAAAAGAAGAGAACGACAGAAAAAGATGTATCTTCTGTATGTTTTAACGTTCTTTTAAGTGAGGGACGGCCACAGTTTGTCTATGGAACAAATGTACACAGAAATCGACAAATAAGATAAATTATAGACAGAGATTTTATGACACTGACACCGACCCCGAGGCAACAGTCACACTTTTCAACAAGTCAATTACCAGCATCGATTTCACAACAAAATACCCACTTTCAAAAGAATACGGGATAAATTGGTAGGATTTCCCGTGGCTTTTAAATCCACACAAAGGTACTAAATAAGCCAATACAATAAAATTACCACCAGGCAACCTTATTTATGAATGCTTATTGTTGGTGAGTGGGGTATGGGCTAACACTAATTATACCGGTTAAGCTCAGGTGGTCAGAGACGAAGTAAAAATAGAAGTAGGAGCAAAAAAGACATAACGACATTGAAAAATATGCAGGCGAATAAGCCTACCACGTCATTATCTTAACATTTTTTTTTTAAATAACAGTATTGGGAATATATATATATATATAATGCAATATTTAAATTGGTTATGGTAGTACAGGGAAGACATGATAGATTGGAAGGCAAGGAGACACCAGGTGGACAGTGTAGGAGCGGGTATCTCCAACGAGTTCGAGTAATGAGTTTTGTAGTTAGCTGGTAAAAGTGGAAAGTTCATGAAGACCATGGGTAGCGCTAGATAAATTATCAGTTTTTAAAAAATCTCAACGTGACAGATGCTAATTAGCGGGTAGAGACATGGAATAGGCGCGGGGAGTAGAGGATCTAGGCGGGAGAATGTTTTCTTTAAAGGTGTAGCAGTTTAATGACTGTGGGACGCGTATCTAGTAGAGTTTATAGCCACACGGCGGGAAATAAACGGGTGCAGTGTTTTGAGACACGGGTGGTAGAGTTAGAGTTTCGTGGACGATCATCCTGAAGTGATAGACACTGTGGTCCTAGTCATGGTCAAAGATAAACCTTGGGATAGACAGATAGACTCATGAATCCCGGTAAAATTAATATGGATAGCAAGAACAGGCCTGAAGGTAAGCAGCTCAGCAGCACACGAGAAGTGTCATGTAGGCTGAGAAGCTAGCTGAATTACAAAAGATGTCATTTGAGGATGATGAAGTGCCATGTAGGCTGAGAAGCTAGCTGAATTACAAAAGATGTCATTTGAGGATGATGAAGTGCCATGTAGGTTGAGAAGCTAGCTGAATTACAAAAGATGTCATTTGAGGATGATGAGTGTAAGACTTGTTGTAACCCAACAACTGTGTCGACATCAATGACACTGACAAGAGAGGACCAACAAGTTAACAAACAAACTTAAAAGTATTAGTGACCTGACCACTTCACACTCGCAAAGAGTTTGAAGCTGCTGCCAGTGGTTCTCAGACCTTCAATTTACTGCTATCGGCATCATTCAGATTTGACACTGAAATATCAACACATAATAATTTTGGCTGTGATGTGGCAATCGATTGTTTTAATTTGGGTCGATATTTTCAGTCTACAACTCAACTGTCAGAGGTTTTAAAGTATCGTTTACTCACAAACCCGTACTGACCAAAAGCTAGTTACAATTTCAGTGAGGATAGACCTGGCAAAGAAACTTTGTTTTTGGTATGCCTGGCTTGATCAGTTTTCTTCGCGGCTTGAGTTTTCTAGTCATCGTAAAGGGTCCAGTATCTATATTTTGTATTTTTTCCCTCACCCCATTCATCGCGGGTACCAAGTGGCATTTATAGTAACATCTTTCACTAAGTACAATGACTTTCCTCAAGGTGCTTGAAATCATGTGGAAAGTGAGTGGCACAATGGTGCTTAGCGGGATCCAACAGCATTCTTGGGAAACATTAGGGAATCCAGACCGATTAATTTATCCTAAGACTTATAAGATTTTAGAGGATCGAAGTAGACTAAGCTTTTGCCGGTATTATCCACAATCATATTCTTGCGGAACGCGCGACATCGCACTTCGTGGTAAAAATAGCTACAGTGGAAATGTTCATGATCTTTTTAAGCTGAGCATGGAGGCTGGCGACAAGGACTTGGAGACACATTTGCAGACGTCCGTTGGTAATGCTCGTTATTCTTCTTACAGATCCACAAGCAACTGAAAGAGATATGTGCGGAAGTAATAAAGACATAGATTATCACATCAGCAAACAATTCTATTAAATTCTCAATATTAGCCAATGAAACAGCTGACGTACCAGGAACAGACAATTATCGTTGGCGGTAAGTTTTGCAGAATGCGCAGAGGGTGCATTTAAAATGTGTGAAGTATTTATCGGATTTCGGTCACTGTAGCAAATTACGGCATTTGCAAATGCATATGCTATTATACTATTATGAATAACTGCAATGAATGTGGTCTGGGCACGATAAAATTACTTGGACAAGAAAAACGGTTATTCCGCAATGGTAAGACAGGAAGGCGGCGTTCAGACTAAAATACGCAATATTTTTCCAAAGCAGCTTCTGTTCCTTGCTCTGCGCTTCGGCTCATCTTGGTGGTTAATGATTTTAATTCACTTGTTCAAGTGCGTAATGCTACTGGGACAATCAAAACTATCACTAAGTTTTCTTCGAGAAAGCAAAAAGTGAATGTCGTTAATACCTAATGTTCCTTTATTCTCTGAAACTCGATGGTTCGCAAAATAGAAAATTATTCGCATTTTCAGTGAGAGTTTCGAGGTGACATGCAATCATTTGCACAATCTGGCAACAAATGATACTGGTGAAACGAGACAAGATCTTCACCAACTATTGTGTCAATGTTCTTCACCTCTCACCACCTATTGTGTTCACGTTCTTCTCCTCTCACCAGCTATTGTGTCCATGTTCTTCCCCTCTCACCAGCTATTGTGTCCATGTTCTTCCCCTCTCCCCACCTATTGTGTTCACGTTCTTCCCCTCTCACCAGCTATTGTGTCCATGCTCTTCCCCTCTCACCAGCTATTGTGTTCACGTTCTTCCCCTCTCACCAAATATTGTGTTCATGTTCTTCCCCTCTCACCAGCTAGTGTGTTCATGTTCTTCCCCTCTCACCAGCTATTGTGTTCATGTTCTTCCCCTCTCACCAGCTATTGAGTTCATGTTCTTTCTCTCTCACCAGCTATTGTGTACATGTTCTTCCCCTTTCACCAGCTATTGTGTTCATGTTCTTCCTCTCTCACCAGCTATTGTGTCCATGTTCTTCCCCTCTCACCAGCTGTTGTGCCCATGTTCTTCCCCTCTCATCAGCTATCGTGTTCATGTTCTTCCCCTCTCACCAGCTATCGTGTCCATGTTCTTCCCCTCTCACCAGCTATCGTGTTCATGTTCTTCCTCTCTCACCACCTATTGTGTCCATGTTCTTCCCCTCTCACCAGCTGTTGTGTCCATGTTCTTCCCCTCTCATCAGCTATCGTGTTCATGTTCTTCCCCTCTCACCAGCTATTGTGTCCATGTTCTTCCCCTTTCACCAGCTATTGTGTTCATGTTCTTCCTCTCTCACCAGCTATTGTGTCCATGTTCTTCCCCTCTCACCAGCTGTTGTGTCCATGTTCTTCCCCTCTCATCAGCTATTGTGTCCATGTTCTTCCCCTCTCACCAGCTATCATGTTCTTCCCCTCTCACCAGCTATAGTGTTCATTTTCTTCACCTAAATTTTTCGTATGTCTTATGATTATCTCTACATACATAGCGATACTGGAACCAGTAACTCAATAATTAAATTACTAGCAACACACCTGCATTTTATAAGTGTACATAAACATATTTGTAAATTAACGGACATTTTACGAGAACATCGTCAGAGTGTTGAAACTCAGTTAAAGAAAAATATCTATGAAAAAAGTCTTGGCTCTTGCAGCTTTATAGTTAACATTGAGTATGACAAATATATCGCAGTAATCCTATAAGCTCTAATGACAAGCGTGAAGACCCAGACTCTGAAGAAGACTGCTTTAGACAAACAATATTTGTTTAGTAGTTTGATTCTATAATATCATCTCTGACCAACAGTTTCTCTGGAGACAACAGTCCCGAGTTCCAGCTATTCAGACTTCCATCAGCCTGATATCATGACACGTTTTAATCGTGTCGAGATTTAGGGGAGCATTGATATCATTTATAGTTTGTACTCGGTTGACAACTTTGAACCTGAAGCAATGAAGTGGTTTGATTTTTAGAGCATGCAGCAACAGTCACAATCTATTAAAAATGTCTTGCAGCGTATCGACTTGCTTCCAAGCACAGACTTTTCCCCATCATTCGCCAAGCTATTTTTTTTTATTGTACTTGCTTTATCAACAACAACATGCACCGTGGAGCGTTCTCTTAGTACCCTCAGAAGAGTCAAAACTTGGCTTCGTTCGACAATGACTGGCGAACTTCTTTCAGGGTTGTGTTAGCTTAGTGTATATCGTTTAAATGTGAACAGAAATAAAGCAGATTTTATTCAGAAAGTAAATGAAATATTTGGAAAGCATAAACGTCGACTTAAATTTGTTTTCAGAGATTGAAATGAAAGAATATCTAGAAATGTGTGAGCCTATACTATTAGTTGTATAGTTTATATTATAAGCTTACTAATTTATGTTAAGAAACGGTTTTTTTTCAAAATGAATGCTTTATGTTTAAAAAGTAAATTTAAAAAAAAATAGGCTACTGTTAATAAATAAGCCTACTCTCTTTAGCTCTCATGTATAATGTTTATATTATAAAAAGGAATGTCCGAAGTTTGATGATTCCCCTGGGAAAATTCCTGCGGGCGCCCATGACCTGTAGGCCTATTGTCACTTACAGGCCGGCAGGTAGGGTGTAGGACTGTCTCTAGGCTATTTCTCAAAATACCCGGACCCGGTGTAAAAAAAACAACAAAAAAACTGTACCCGGGAAAGCCCTATTTTAATATAATAGGCCTACTGCTGACCGGGCGCATCGAGTGAGTTGTGCGTTAAGTTATATGAGCATCAGTGGTGAGGAAAGATTTGTCAATTAAAAACATAAAAATAATTGCGAGCTCGGGGGGGGGGGGGGGGGGGGGGGGGGGGGGGGGGGGGGGGGGGAGAGGAGGAATAATCGGTTTCACATTTTATTATTGTCATCAGCATCATGCTTCATGTTCAATACTGACAGCTCATACTCATGGGCCCCAAGGAGCGCCAGCCCGGGCATACTACAAGCATTATCTATATGGACAATGAATAGAAGTTACTATATATCCCTATATGTACTGTACCCATTGTCCCAAACGCCTTAATCCAACTTTCATACCAAGGACAAATTAGAGTGCAGAAAAATGTTGTTGTTTTTTTAAATAATATATACAGGATGGGCCAATAAAAGTGAGAACATTTCCTAGCGTGCAATGTCTTTATTTGCGTAATGCATTTTTTTAGAAATCTAAAATTATTTTATACTTTGAAGTGCATTTTAAATCGTCTTTGATTGAAAGTTTTTTTCTTTTTTTTTAATATATATTTTAATTATCGTTTCACCCCGAAAGATATTTAGGCACAAATCACACATCTTTTTCTAAAAACTGGCTGTTTCAATCTAAAGTTCAGCCCGTTTCATAAAGCTTGATCTTCCAAGCATTTCGTATATTTTGTATAGCATTGCGTCAAACTATTAAACTAATAATTAAAAAATCTATGTTATGGAAATGGCAAATCCATCCAATATTAATTGACACTAAATTGCATTGGCAACTTAAGTAAAACATATTGCGTAAGAATTTTAAAATCTAAGATTTATAGTGCGAAATATGAAAATAGAAAAGGAAGAAGTTTTAGCCAACGCATGGCGATCAGCTTCTGCGCAGACAGTTCCATCCGGGGAATTTCTCTCTAGCTCATAATGTATTTTGTTAATGGCGGTCAAGGTGGTTAAATGATTAGAGATGAAAATAATACTGATTTGCCATCTGTGTTTTTGATTATTGTATTGTAATGTAAACGGATTTTTTTGTTTATGTCAAAATGATGGAAGACATTAGTATCGATAATGGTAAGAAAGATCTTCGAACCATTGAAATCGATCAAGTGAACAATGAATTGGGATCAGCACCTCCTCCGTCTGCAGGGAAAACTGCCGTGGAACCACACTCCAATTTCGGTCCTGATATGTCAGGAAGTGATGAGGACGAAGCCTCGGAGGTAAGCAGTGATGAAGAAATGATTTTGAAGGCAAAGTGTATATTTTCTTTTGTTGGTACGTACGTAAGACTATGCCCGTGATGCAAATGGTATATTACCAAACAGAAGTGAAAAGGAAGGGTCCGTAAGTTGAGTAAGTCAATGAGTTTGAGTTGATTGGCCTCTTTTATTATTAGGGGGTAGGCGTAGGCCCTAGCCCTAAGACTAATTTAACATTTCTTTAAAACCACCATTCATTTGAATTGTTTTTGCTCATTCATCAGTTTGTTCTAGCATTACTACAGTTAAGAAGTGTTTTTTTATTTGCTTATAATGAGCTGTCAGATTCAACAAATCAGAGATTGGCTTTCTTATCTACATTTTTACAGACACCTTAATTCCTTAAATTCATCACTGTAAATACCGGTACGTAAAAAGTGCAATCTGCTAATGCCACATCCCAGTGGTGTCAGTGTCAGACTTGGATGTCACAAAGCAAAGGAGAAAGGGCTGATGAAGATTACAAACTTAGCACTTCAGGGTTTGGGTTAGTTCAAGAAAATAGGCCAGTGACCTGATCAATTAGTTTTCTTTCTAAGGGGCACATGTAAATAAATTAATTACGCACTAATTAAAAAGAAAATTGTCTGCAATAAATATCAAAAGGTTCTTAATGTTTTGTTTTACAGAAAGCTATACTGATCTGTGAATCAGGATCAGTTAAAAATCAATGCTTAAATAAAGTCAAACCTTAAAGGCCTGAAAGCTTGAGTTAATAGGCCTACATCATATTCATAGATATGTAGATACAATTAAAATGGACAATTTTTCTCCAAATTTTTTTTGGTCAAAACGACAATGGTTATGTAAATAATTTATTCAGCCTTCTGTCACAGGCTTATTTCTTCTAGTAATTGGATATAATTGGTAGTTGTGTACCGGGTATCATATTTTATGCTAAGAAAATAGTTCAAATAATGTTAAAATTAATATTCATCCCTTTCAGCTGATATGTAAATGTCAGTGTCTACACGTCCGGCGACCGATTAATAGTGCAGGAGGTATTCATCCGGAGGGCATGTCATTATGCTTTATTTATCATTGTCACTTTATTTATCATTGTCACTTTTTAACCATTTGTTTATTATATAGGCCTAATTGAAAACATGAAATTAAATGGAAGTTAATAAGTTTAAAACACTTAATAATAAGTGAAGATAAAAACAATACCATAGAAGTATGTTTACAGTCAATAAATGACTAAAGCTGTCAAGTGATAAGCCTGACGGACAAATAGCTGGCACAACTCTGTTACAGCGGTTATGTAACTTGGTATCCGGATGAATATCTCGAGAACAAATTTGTCTCTGTGTAGACACTTCATATTTAGATTGATTCTCTCCAGAATCTAATCACTTTCTTGTAAGCAGTATCAAAAATATACATAATCATTGTATCCACTGCTGCTCTAGTCCAGCATTGTGAAAAAGCATGTATGATGGTAAAGGTAGCATGTAAATTCTTATTTTCAGAATATGAAATGCATAAATCGATAGCTGATCTATTTTATTTAAAATAATGATCCTACACATTTTACAATGTTAATTGCATAATGTCAATGAGCACAGTATATTAGTTGCATCTTTACCTATATATCAGTTACTAGAAACTTAGGTCATTACTCCATTAAAATGACTGTTAATTGATCAAATACTGACAGATCAAACAAGAATTCACTTTTTTTTATGTTTGTCAGTACTACATGTCCACTGTGTTCAGTATGGCAAAGTTGTTTTAATACACATAGAAAAGGATGCTCATAGCATAGCAAAACTTGGTATATTTCAGTTTTAAAATGTGATGATTAACAACTATTTTCAGTTTGTAATGTGTGGGATAACTATTCAGGGAGGAAATAACATAACAAAAAATGGCAGGTTGGGTAGCAAATGTTAATTTTAAAGGATTTATTTTTATAAACTAATACGTAGACATAGAAAATTAAATTCTGTTGAGGCAGAACCATTTTTGTACCCATATCACATCATCTGTTGCGATGCCTCTTTTCACTGTTTGAATTAACGCCTCTTTTCATTGTTAGAATTAACAACTATTTTTCTTCAATAAAGGCAAAATATCCATATGAAAAGGAGACCATAAAAATGCATAATTTTAAGTTCTTTGAAACTGGCATGAATTATCGTGATTTTTATCTAGTCTGCTGAATGATAATTTGTAGCAGTGTAATAGGCATCACCCACTAATAACTACTGTGCTTTCAAGTACTCATTGTCACATATGTTCAGACTATTTTGTTGTTTTGATTGTGTAAGTAGCCATTTTCGTTAAAAACGTAATTGTGAGGGTTGCATAATTAATGTTCTGTATGTTAATATCTTTATGGGGGAAAACCCTCATATGTTATATTATCTATAATATGTAAACAATTTACTTGTATTAAAGGTGTTCTGCTAAAACTGCACACATTATTTTCATCTGTCACCAACGGTTCGCATCATAATTGTTAATGAATTCTGCTTTTCAGATTCAGGCTTTCCATCTGAAAAATATTGCTGCTTTCAAATAAATAACACTATTTATACCTCTTTTAAAAACTTTTTCTGCCAATTCCTTTTTGATAGAAATACAATTAAAATTAATTATTCTGCTTGCTGAACTGTTTTTACATATTTAAAAACAATTTTTTGTCTTTTATGGTCATTCTCCAGCCTTTCCAAAACTAATTTGTTAAAAATAGGACTTAACTTAGGGTTTATAGTGTCAACATCTGACTTAAATGTTACCATCACCACTAAGGCCAATACTGCTATTACTAGCACACTTAAATTAAAAATCTCTGAAATCATTGTTTTCATTTTAATCCATTTGAAATAGTTTAAGTTAAGAAAGTCTGTTGATTTTGCAATCTAAAGGGTACCATCTCCAGTTTCAGACATAATGCAGTTATAATAAATTGATCGAATCCACCCCCCCCCCCCTTTTTTTTTTTGTTCCGCCCCACTTCTCGGTGTATGACTCCCGTGTCCACATTTAGCCATAAATTCTCCCAGCGTCCTGTAACTTGATCAGAGGCCATTTTTCGGACCTAGCATACCATTACTGATTTTTACAATGATTTTAGTTTTAAAGAATAATGTTAAAAATGTCTGTAATTTATGGTTTTTAAGTGCAATTCTTTACTATAGTATTCTGCTTTTCATGTGACGTCACATTGCTTAAAGCTGCCCCCTCCCACCACCTCACACACACACACACACACAGTCGTCACAAAAATCTGACCCCCCTCCCCCCTAGATGTGTGATGTCATTTATGGATGGCCTCTTAATGGTATTGTTAAGAAGTGCATAACTTATGGTTTGTTATATTTTATTCTATATATTATCTCTTCAGTGTCAACTAGGTTAAAGCAGGAAATGTTAAATTTTTTTCCCCCAGGTTGATTCATTTATTTTAGATGAAAATGATATTGAAGAAACTGAGCAGGGCTTAGAAGCATCAAAGTTTCTCCTTGCAGCTGAAGCTGAGGGGCAAGGAATTCAGACTGTGGATCCACAGACTCAAGCCAGATTAGAAGCACTGCTTGAGGCTGCTGGTAAGATTTGTATCACATGTTCTTTATGGCTCCTTTTAGTTTATCAATTTAAATATCTGTGTTTTATTGGCTGTGTTTATTGAATCATTATGGCTGTGTGAATACTTCATTTCTTCAACTTTAGGTATTAGCAAGTTATCTTCAAAAGATGGAAAAGCATTATCTGACCCTGAAGTGCTACGAACGCTGACCTCCTCAGTTAGCAGTGCTCTTGATGAAGCAGCACAGGCATTGCATCGTATGCGAGATACACAGGGACAGCTTGTGTCTGCGGATGGGTGAGGTTTAGCACATAGGGCTCTCTAATATATTTATATTTTGTCATCTGCTACTTATTTGCGCAAATAAGATTTTTAAGTAAATTTATTTTAGTTGCTGAAATGTCTTATGTTCCCATGTCTTGGCTTAAGTTTGTTCATTTAAAAGAAAATCAACTTAAATAATGCAGTGTTATAAAAATGTTAACAAATACATTATATTATCTTAATTTTGCCTTTATAAATTTGTTGGTTTGCTTTGTAGTATGCAGCTTGAAACTAATGGAGAGAATGAGTCACTTGTACATCGTTCCAGTTCTGGCAATGCTGCTGATGCTTCAGAAGAGGGTGAAAGTCTCCTTTCTTTGGCTTGTTCTGCAGGATATTATGAATTAGCTCAAGTATGTTTTATTACATTTTAAAAAATTTAAATTTATTTTAAGTTGACACCAGACATATCTGTTTATGAAACAATTTAATTAGTTTTGTGCATAATAACTTGGTGCTGATGCTGATTATAACATATAAACAGTCAGTTATGCTACACCAAGGACCTTAAGATTAAATTTTAAAAATTTTAACACTGAGTTACAAATGTTTGCTGTCACCAGAACAAAATACCTTTTTAATAATTAGGTGCTGTTGGCTATGAAAGCTAATGTGGAAGACAGAGGGATTAAAGGAGATTGTACACCATTGATGGAAGCTGCCAGTGGTGGGCATGTTGACATTGTCAGGTTGCTGCTACTTCACAATGCTGATATTAATGCCCAGTCATCTGCAGGTTAGAAACTTGAATGAAAATGTATTAAACTGCTACAGAAATAGAAAAGTAATTTTTCTAAATGGTTTTCCTCTGTTTCAAACATGTGTGAGATAGAGATTTATTTCTTAAGATTGAATTAACACTGGTGTATTTGCGATAGGTAACACTCCTCTTCATTATGGGGCTTGTGGAGGATTCAAGGAGGTTGTCCAAGAGCTGTTACTTCATGGGGCAAATGTTGAAATCCACAATGAAAATGGACACACTCCTCTGATGGAAGCTGCCTCAGCTGGCCATGTAGAAGTTGCTAGAATACTGTTAGAACATGGGGCTGGAATCAACACCCATTCAAACGAGTTTAAAGAAAGTGCTCTAACTCTAGCATGCTATAAAGGTTTGTGAAGGATGTGAATATTACAAAATTATGATTGTGTAGTGTTAAGAGGATTTTTAAAAAAGTTATTAGAATGTCGGTGTTATCTGAATTTGTTTAAATGCACTTAAGTCCAACTTAATTGAATTAATTTTGTTAAAATATGTATCATTTCAAATTTTGGATGGAATTTTATGATGTTCTTGCATTCTTTAATAGGCTTTGTCATTTCTCAGACTGGAAAACGTCAAAGCGTACTATTTTAAGAAGGTTGGCGGACAAATATTGCTTAAAACATGGCAGCTTATAGCGTGTTTCAGCTTATCTTTCGGACGATCCTTGTATCTAGAGTCACTGTTGCATATGCCGTTCGCGCAATCAAGTCCCATTTCAGAAAATAGAAGTTTAAAAAAATGTGTAAAATATTTAGTAAAATAGAGTTGTAAACAAGTTTCAGGGACACTTCGATAACATAGTAATACTGAACAGTGTTGACATTTTGTCAGCGCTGAGTACCCAGATGATGAGTAATGTTGACATCAGTTCTATCAATAGATTTCCGCCATTAAATGACAAGCCCTATATGAAATTGAAAAAAACTAAATAGGGTTAATTTAAAAAAAGCTATGAATGCCACATTTTAATTATACTTTCAAAATGTACATGTCTTAAAACTGACATTTTATTTCAGGGCATTTGGACATGGTAAAATTTCTACTAGAGGCTGGTGCCGATCAAGAACATAAGACAGATGAAATGCACACTGCCTTGATGGAAGCGTCAATGGATGGACATGTAGAAGTTGCTAGATTGCTGCTTGACAGTGGTGCACAGGTATTGTTAATATCAAAAATGTTTTATGCCATCCAAAAGCAGTGTAGAATTATTATTTTTTAAATAATTTTTTTAGGTAAATTGTATAATATTTTAACTTAAACCTAATGTAAATTTTCAGGTAAATATGCCAGCAGATAGCTTTGAGTCTCCTCTAACTCTAGCTGCATGTGGTGGTCACATTGAACTTGCCAGTCTACTGATTGAACGTGGGGCTAACATTGAGGAAGTCAATGATGAAGGATACACACCACTCATGGAAGCTGCAAGAGAAGGCCATGAAGACATGGTCGCTCTCCTTTTGTCTCAAGGTATGACTCCTATTAAAAAAAAGAATTTATATAGGTTTTTTAATATTGACTAGCTTTACTAGCTTTTTTGCTGTTGTAATAATGGCATTACCTTTTGAAAGAACTCATACTGTTTTTTTAGGGGCTGATATTAATGCACAAACTGAAGAAACTCAAGAAACTGCCCTCACTTTGGCTTGTTGTGGTGGATTTCTTGAAGTAGCTGACTTCTTATTGCGTTCTGGAGCCCTAATTGAATTGGGCTGCAGCACTCCCCTAATGGAAGCTGCTCAGGAAGGTCATTTGGAGCTTGTGTCCTTTTTATTGCACTCAGGTCAGTATTCCTATATCATACATGAACATTTTGTTTTATCTGATTTAACATAGTAAACCATACATTTTGAGGGTAAATCCCTATTACAATATTATTAACTTAACATTGTTTTTTAACAAACATGTGGGATCTTCTTTTTTAGGGGCCAATGTTGAAGCACAGACTGGAACAGGAGACACTGCACTAACATACGCTTGTGAAAATGGACACACTGATGTTGCAGAGGCTTTATTGGAATGTGGTGCTAAGCTGGTATAAGACTAAATATTTTAAGTTTCGTTATGTCTTTCATTTGTTCGCATTCATAAAGTTTTTTTTAATCATTTTTTAAAAATTAAAGCTTTACTTTGAAAGATAGAACTATAGATTTACTCTACAAAATGATTATTTATTTGTCCTGATTTCATTGAGTGGATGAGCTATCATTCATTAAGAGAGCATTTAAAATTTCAGTATGGTATTAAAAGGTATTACATTTTTTCATTTTAGGAACATGAATCTGAAGGTGGTCGAACACCTCTTATGAAAGCAGCAAGAGCTGGACACTTGTGCACTGTTCAATTTCTCATCAGCAAAGGTGAGGCATACAAAACCTAGGGTTTCTCCCTTTCTCTCTGTTTAAAATGGCGATTTTTTTTATGATTACACACTATATATTTTCTTCAATCATTAGGTGCTGATGTGAACAGGGCAACTACTTCTAATGACCATACGGTATTATCTTTGGCATGTGCTGGGGGCCATTTGGCAGTTGTAGAGTTGCTATTACAACATAATGCTGATGCGAATCACAAACTTAAGGTGATATATTAAATTATTCCAGATGTTTAGCCATTCCAATGAAGTTCAGGTTATTATGTCATAAAAAATTCATAACTGAACAGGGCTTTTATTGTTGATTGAGGGGGGAGGGGGGGGGGGAGAGATTTTTTTTCTTTTGTCACTTTGATGTGTGTAGCTTAAATATAGATGAGTCTTAATACAAGGATTTTCTCCTCCCATAGATTGTTATGTTCTCAGCCTTCTTACTGAGAATCAAGGTTTTGTAGTTTTTCATTATTTTTTTTCATTTGCAAGGATGGTTCTACAATGGTCATTGAAGCTGCAAAAGGTGGGCATACCCAAGTTGTCAAATTGTTGCTAGAGTGGCCTAACCGATCTCCGGTCAGTTTAGCTGCTGAGCAATTAGCCCAACTAAGTGTTGCTGATACACCTTTGGAAGAGGTGAGTGTTAATTTGGTGTCCTGAGAGATGTTTAGCTCTGTCTGTTGAATTTCCTATGTGACAATGTTAATTTTATTATGTAAGCTGATTGAATTAATTTTTTTATTGTTTTAAGCCTCGTGTTCCTGTCCAAGGACTAGCCAACATTGTTCCACCAAGTGAACCTGACTCACAGTTTCCTTTAGCATCTGCCATGCAGGGTATCTTTATTTTTCAGTCACTGTTGTTATATCTTTTAAATCTTATTAACCCATTGCTCTTGCTGCACTGGTTGTAAAAGTAAATTTTAGTTGTGAAATGAAAACAAGATCAAAATTTGACACTTGATTCCAAAAAAAAATATGGCTTGGGACACATTGAGATTAATAGCTTTAAAGTCATAATAGATATTATCAAAAGCTAAAATGAAATGTGCAATAGTGACAGTGATAAGAATAACTATATTGATGATTAATTCGCAAAATACAAAATTCACAAAGGAGCTTATGAAAAATGATTAAGTTTTGCTTAATGGTTTTTCAGTTAAAACACCTGAAACAATCAGACAAAACATGCAGAAATCTTTGACCAAACGAGTCAGTGGTGGCCAGCTTGATGGAAAAGGAATAAGCAAATTCTGTAATGCTGTGATACCTGAAAACTACCCACAATTTTTCAACAACACTGGCCTACTTGATGACAAAATCATTGACAAGGTGTGTTTTATATAACTTTAGTAATTTTAACAGAATGTCCTCCTTGTCTTTCAAAAAGATGTTGCGATGTTGAAGTCACAACAAAAATTCTTTTAGTTCATTGGTTCAACAAATATTTTTAAGGATAATGCACAGTGGAGTCCAGCTTCCATAATTAAAAAAACAAAAATAGAAGCAATGCCACATCGGGCATTAAAATAAATATGACTCTCTGGTCCATATTTATTTCTTTTTCTGAAGTAAAAGTTCACTTATCTATTGATAAAGCAGTGCAACTGCATAACACCATTTACATTAAAATAGTATTTTATACATCTTGTAGTTTCTAGGTACTCTTTTTAAATGGTCTTGAAGCAGTTAATAAGTTTTTCTTTACTTATGCAAAAGCAGACCTGGTTGCTTTTATGATTTTAGTGTCAAATATATTATTTTGTGATGTCCTTTACAACTGTTTGCAGTGACCTGTCAGAATTACAGTTTTAAGAGACCAGGTTGAAAAGAAATATTCCTGTAGTTTTTACGCTTCAAAATCTTTTTTGGTTGTTAGTTTTAGCTCCTGTCTAAATCCTGCGGTGAATGGACTGAGAAATATGATTGGTTGGGGACCATCCATAATTATATTACATTGATGGAAGTGTTCTAGAGTTGACTCCTATTGTTGATTAGGGCTGTGGGGGAGTTGCTGTAGGAAATAATTTTGTGATAAAATTATTTCATTCTTTGGCTGAACCACAGCTATTTGGAATATGGAGATAATTAAGAATTTAAAAAAAAATTCAGTTATCTACTTTTGGAGTGAACTTTTATGGATGTGATGCGAATAGTTATTGTATGCATAATACAGGGTGTTTATTTATTAACTGTAAGGATACAACATTCTATGATTTTGAAGTGGTAAATTACTATTCTGAAAGAATATTGTACTGTTTTTGAGTTTCCGGGGTAACCAGGTCTGTAAAAGGTGACATACTTGTTTACCATCAAACATAAGGTCATATAAATTTTAATCCCAGAAATTCAAAAAAGAAAATAAATTACATATTTTATTTTAACATCACTGATGTCAAATAATGGACATAGGTTAATATGTAAACAAAAACAAAAAAAGTAAAAATTTATTTGATCAAAAAATAATTTAGGATGAAAAGATGAGTACCAACCAAGCAACAAAAGATGAGCAGATTTTAACAAAACATCTGAATTTGAACAAATTAGACTTGGAACTTCAGGAAAAAGCTCCAGTCCCAATTTTTTATCCTCAACAAGAATCTGTTCCCTTTCAAGATATTGACTTGCAGCTCAAATTAAAACAGTCACCTTCTTCACCCGTGTCTCCATTGACTAGCCTCATAACAGCTGCAGGGGTAAGAACAAATACATTTTTATTCAGCTAAATTATAAAACTTAAGCCTTGTAAAATTCATTCCTAGATCTAAATTTTGAGATTTAACATAACAATCTGATGAGTACTATTTATATTATGTACTTGTGCTCCACAACTTTTGGATAAAACCAAGACTTTTGTTGGATACAATTTTAACTTAAGTTTTTAGCAATATGATTTATTTTTCTCTTATCAGCTGTTTTCAAACAGAGCTAAAATAAACTCTCACAATATACAAATTAAAAAAAGGCAGTATTTAATTAAGGGACACGTTTTCTTGAATCTGCAGTTCTTAGTGGCAAGATAATATAAGGGAAAGAATTAATATTTTGCCATCAGCTAGTAAGATACAAATTTTTAAAAGACTTTCATACCAAATGGACTCCACTGTACATATTAATAAAATTAATCTTTAGTCTTTTAGCAAATTTAATGAAGTAATGCTTATTTTCAGTTTATTTTATTTTTAACGATCCCTTTTAATTGTTAAAGTTTGTATTTGGTTGATACACAACTTAACAGAAGAGTAGAATGTTTCATTCCTAGCTTCCCTGATTAAAATTTAGCTATTTTTATAAATATTCTTCTCTCAGGCAAAACAGGGTGAAGATATAGCTAAACTCTTTGAGATTCCTAGTCAAACTTTGGGTATGACAGATCCCTTGAACTTAGACCAGTTCAACGAGTTTGCAAAGTTGTTGGCATGTAGTGAATTAGGACCTGGAACATGTAGTGAGACTTATTTACAGGTATATTTTCTCCTCTAATTTTGGACTAATTTGTATAATTCTTGGCTTTTTGCAAATTAAACGTAAAAATGCTTTAAATAATTAAAATTGATTATGGTTACATAAAAACAACCAATGGTCAAAAATCAGTTTAAATATTATAATTGAAATCCAATTGATATTCTGAAATCTGATTAACATGCAAAATCAATTTTAGAATTGCTTGATAGACATATTGGAATATTTTACTCCAGATATTTTGTAAAATCATTGCTGTATAGTATAAATGAGTTACATTCACAACTTAAAAAGTCATGTGCATAAGAGAATTAACTACAGTTGGCTACAAACTTGGTAATAATGCTTATGCCCATAATATCCCTGCAAAAGTCGGGAAGGTGGACAAGGAGTACCCTATATTTTTCTTTTGATCTGTGCAATTAGAATCAAATTTTTATATATGGGAAATATAACACGCTTTATTTTTTATATAATTATGAGTGAAAATCTTTTTGAAAGAAGTGCATGTTTGGTAAGTAAAAGACTATTTGATTTTATAGGTTCAGGCTCATTTGCAACAACATCAGCAACAATTATTGTTGCAACAGCAGCAAGGACAAGCATTACATCTTTCTGCACCGCCCCCTCCACCATCACCAACATTGGTAACTACCACTGCTGGCACTGTTTCCACAACAGACAATCGTCCTGGTGGAGGAAAGAATCAAGGAACTAAGAGAAATGGTTCTAGCAAAGTTACCAGAACATTTAAAAGTTCACAACCTCTACAGCAACCGCCTCCACCTCCACCACCCCCTCCTCCACCTTCGTCTGTGCACCCTCTCTTGCTTCCACTGGCTGGCCAATCACAAGCCCTGTTGTCCCAGGCTCCTCTGGTTTTTCAGACTGAGCATAATGGAGGTAAGGTATCTTATTTTTATAGTTTAGGTTGATATATATATATTGTGTGGTAAGTTTAATGAGAGACAAGATGAACTAGAGAATCATGTGTGTTCTAACAGAAACCTGTTGTCAGAAAATATAAGTGTAAATTATGAAGTTAATTCCTGACTAGTAGGAATTTTAAAATGATGGCCTGAAGTGAAGTGTATAAATTAAGTAAATATAAATGTAATTAAATCCTTTTATATATTATGCATGTCTTTTTTTTTAACCTAGCAACTTATTTCATAGCTTATGCTTCAAATACTTTATCTCCAGCAAGGTGACTTAAAATTTATTTTCCATCTTTGCACCAGATTTGTATTTGTTTTTATGATAATCAATTTCTCCAGCACCACAGAATGTTGATGTCTCTATTATGGGAGCATCAAGTTCTCAGCAACAGCTTCATTCTCTTAGTCAAGTTCAGTCTCAATTGACCACACCATTACCTGCGCACCAGAATCAACTGTCATACCCTCCTCAAATTATGCCGCAACCGCAGGAGCAGCTTTTGCAGCAGATGCTTAGCCAGCCTGGCTTACAGCAGCTACAGATGCAACAAATTTCACAACAGGTTGATTTTTTATATATTAATTGTATTAAATTCTGATTTAAAGTGTCTAAGATAAACAATCCTCTTAAAATTAACAAGCAAAAAAATTGTTGTGATGTGATTTTTAAATGAAGCTTTGAGTTTTATTTTCTGTTAAAATTGAAAAGGAAACAATTTATGTACGAGAACCATTAAAAACCATAATGTACTATAAATGTCTTAATTCATGTAGGTGCAGCCAAACCAGCATGGTTTACAAAGTGATGTTACCACACAGATAACACCTAGTCCACATGCCCACCTGTCACAGCAGCAGCAACAGATGCTGCAACAGCAACAGCAACATGCACATCTTTTACAGCAACAGTTGCAACAATTGAAAGCACCTGTTCCTCCTGGAAATCAAACTGTTACAACTAAGCCACCAGTTAGTTTTTGTATTTAAATTTCATTATTTTTGTTAAACTGAAATCCACTTAAAACTAGGAAAAAGTTTAAGATTTGATTGCACATTCAGAAAATACATTTTTGCTTCTTGATAAAATTGAGATCATTTTGTACTTATTGTTAATTTTTTCAAACCTTTATTTGATGATTTCCATGCTTTTAGTTCTGAGAGGTAACTATATTTTAACATAGAAGGAGCTATTGACCAGTGGTAATAAATACTAATCAGTTAACTGGAAGTAAAGTTTTGTATTGGTATGAACATTTATTCACCTTGTTTGATTCTTTAGTTTTATATTTGTGAAAATTGCTGGTAAATATTTAATGTTAAAAATATTGCAGTCGTGTGAATTTGCATTGGTTTCTTGCTAGACTTCTACATTTAAAAACATTAATATCTATCATTGTCCTTAGTGACACATCTTTGTGTGGTAATTTACTCAGATTTATATATGACATTAACAATATAATTTATCTTGGGCCTTCCTTAACCCAGTGCTTTCCAAATTTATGTAACAAATGCCCCGATTTTTTAAGTTAAATAAAATGTGCACCCAGTAAATTATTGTGCCAATTTTTTAAATTTCTTTAAATAATATAAGCCATTTAACATGAGCACTGCTCACCTTTCTCCCGTGGAAACTTTATATTCAAATGGTCTTTTCTCTTAATATTAATTCGAATATCCAAGTAAATTAGTAAACATTCAGATGTTCAATCTGGATACAATATTTTATTTATTCAAATTTCAGGTTCGTAAACAGCAACGACTGGTACAAAATACAACCCAAACCATCAATCATCAAAACACAATTGCAAATATAGATGGAGTACTTCCTCATGGAAATGTTTCCCCTCAGGTTCCTGGGAATGCTGCTGCTTACTTATCTGTTGATGTAGATTCCCAGACAGAGAGCAATCATGATACTGCTCTTACACTTGCTTGTGCTGGGGGCCATGCAGAGCTAGTAACTCTATTACTAAGCAAAGGGGCTGATATTGAACACCGAGATAAGAAGGGTATGTGTCAAGTATGGGAGTTCATTAATAATTGTTGCGACTGAATATTATGTTCATTGCATTTTTTTTTTTTAAACGAAATCTGCTGTATAAATGAATTTTTTATAATAATAAATATTTTTAAAATAACTCTATTTTGTACCCTTTTTTTTCTTAAGTTTTTTAACCTATTATAATTTTCTGTGCACTCATTATTGCTATTAAAAATTGTAACAGATAACAATCTTTTTTTTAAAATGTCACCTCATCTCCCACCTCAACACCCTCTCTTTTCTCTCTCATCCTCCATACCCTATCATCATTTTCTGAGCCATTAATAAACAATTCTATGGGCAATCCACTATCTTCCTGTTATCCACACAAGACCAAAAATGTGGGTGTATATTTAAACTCCAAAGCATACATATATAGATATATTTGTAACACTTAACTTTAATTTCTGAAGGTTTTACTCCATTGATATTGTCTGCAACTGCCGGCCATGTGGATGTGGTAGAAATACTTTTGGATCATGGTGCTGATATAGAAGCTCAGTCAGAGAGAACAAAAGATACTCCTTTATCTTTGGCTTGCTCTGGTGGGAGATATGAGGTAATACAAGTCAAGTGATTGGTCAGAATATGCTTCTTTTCTTAGTGTTGCCATTTTTCTAAAATATATAAAAAATTAAATGTTATAAAATTAACGTTACTTTTGAAGTTTTTTTAAGTGATGAACATTTATATGATTACAACTTTTCATACCTTTTTATTTGAAACTAACTTGTTATCTAACGAAAAGGTTGTAGAGCTGCTGTTGAATCGAGGTGCCAACAAGGAACATCGCAATGTGTCTGACTACACTCCTCTAAGTTTGGCAGCTTCTGGTGGTTACGTTAATATTATCAAGCTGTTACTTTCGCATAATGCTGAAATTAACTCGAGGTAAGCGAAGTCAAATGGAAATTTCATTTTTTTAAATTCTTTATTGAAGCAGCTTTCCTGTTTGTATGTATGGATAAGAAGGATGGATTATGTATTAGTTGGATAAAATGTATTTCACCTTTCTTACAGAACTGGTAGCAAACTAGGAATTTCTCCACTAATGTTAGCAGCAATGAATGGACACACTGCAGCTGTTAAACTCTTATTGGACATGGGAAGTGATATAAATGCACAGATTGAGACCAATCGCAATACTGCCCTGACATTAGCTTGTTTTCAAGGTCGCCATGAAGTGGTCAGCTTACTTGTTGATCGCAAGGCTAACATTGAACATAGAGCAAAGGTATTTAGGCTGAATAATTACTACATTGACCAGTAAAATTATTTTAATGATGAAATTTACAAAGTAATAGTTTTATTTTTACAATTTTATCCAGAGCATATCATTTTGTCAAAAAATAATAAAAATATATTATTTAGCAAATTATTTTAAGGTTTTTCAGTTTTTAATGATCCATAAAATCCATGTGATGGTTTCTAAAGCCAAGGTTCTAAAAACTTTATTATGGGGTCAAAAAGTGTTACATAATTCAGAAAATACTTCATATTGATATATTAAAAAAAAGTATAATTTAAAAACATAACATTGAACCTAAATTTTAGATATTTCTGTGTTGAAAGGGACAAAAAAATATAATTAAAAGATAAAGATGTCTAGTTTTAACTATGAATTTATTGCATCTTAATAGACAGGTCTTACTCCATTGATGGAAGCTGCTTCAGGTGGATATGTTGAAGTTGGACGAGTTCTCTTGGACAAAGGTGCAGATGTTAATGCCCCACCTGTGCCCTCATCAAGAGATACCGCACTTACCATTGCAGCCGACAAAGGACATTACCGATTTGTAGAACTTCTTCTACATAGGTGGGATTTCATTTTTTTGTACAGTTTATTTTGGATTTGTCCTATTAAAGTTTTAAGTGAGTAGCCTTTAATTATTGACACCAAATGGTGAATTATCTTTGTCTAAGGAAAGAGATTATCATGTATTGCACATTGGTCTTGAAATTATAAATGAATATTGAACAATGTTTAATTGTATTAATAAACATCTGGGATTCATTTTCATATATTTTTTTCTTATCATTAAGAGGGGCATCTGTTGATGTAAAGAACAAGAAGGGAAATTCTCCTTTGTGGCTTGCTTGTAATGGTAAGTGTAGTGGTAGTTAAAACATTTTAAACAAATTTTTATTTTTCACTTTTTAAACTTGTGTGACTTAATTGATTTTCCTATAATGTGTATGTGAACATCCTGCCTATTGTAACATCTTCTAACAGGAGGGCATAGTGATGTTGTCTCACTGTTGGTTCAAGCTGATGCTGATATTGATAGTCAAGACAATCGCAAGGTATCATGCCTTATGGCTGCCTTTAGACGTGGCCACATCAAAGTTGTCAAGTGGATGGTGAAAAAAGTCACCCAGTTTCCATCAGAAAATGAAATTAAGAGATATATTGCTACAATAACTGATAAGGTAGTTATTTTTATACTATTGTTTTCATTAAAATATATTGCAATTATTTAAATAAGCTTTTTTTTTTTTTTTTTTTATCAATGAAATTAATGTTGTTAAAAAAACTTTTCTAGGAACTCCAAAAAAAGTGCAACCAGTGTGCAGAAATAATACAATAACTGATAAGGTAGTTATTTTTATACTATTGTTTTCATTAAAATATATTGCAATTATTTAAATAAGCTTTTTTTTTTTTTTTTGTATCAATGAAATTAATGTTGTTAAAAAAACTTTTCTAGGAACTCCAAAAAAAGTGCAACCAGTGTGCAGAAATAATTGTGACTGCCAAAGACAGACAGGCCGCTGAGGCAAACAAGAATGCTGACAGTTTGTTGGAGGAAATAAAACAGGAGAAGGAGCAAGCTGCCCTTAAAGCAGAATTAGCTAGCAAAAGAAGAGAGAGGCGAAGAGAGCGTAAAAAGAAGGGAAAGCAAAAGGATGAGAAATCGGATAAAGAAAAGGATAGGTAATTTTTCATGTTTAACCCTTCGAAACCTCTAGACATTGGAAATGTACGGTTCGGGATAATGGTTTATTCTTACTGTTTTTGACTAGTTAATTTTTGCGTTTTGAGGCTTGTTAACCATGGCTACCTATCCATTTCATGTAGTTTTAACAAAGGGCAAGAAAATTTCACATTAATTATCAGTAAAATGCGTGTTCTAATGAAATCTTCATCTAATGGTATCAGTGGAAAGAACTCGTCACCAGAACCTGATGGAGAAATGGGTTTACATAAAAAAGATGATGATGATGAAGAAGAGGAAGAAGAAGATGACAGTAATTCAGAACCTGCTGTGATTATTAATGATTACAAAAGTAAGTAAAGATTGATACATTCTTGAACATTTCTATGTAAGTGATAAAGACATTTTCTTACCATTTGGTTGTATCATGTCCAAAAACCTTGACTTATTCTTAATTCTCTTTGACAGCCACAACTGGAAAGAATGACACCAATAAATCTTTCAAAATCAAGTCTGGTAATACATCATCATTAACTAAAATCCAGACACCTGTTGAAAATCTGCAGCCCTCTAGACTGCCTCCTAATATGACACCTGATGCAGCAGCTTCAACTTCACCTGTCACTTTGGCAACAATAAATGGAGCACCTACTGCTGCAACTGCTAGGGCCAACAGAGATGCACGTAAAAAACAACAAAAAGCTGCTCGTGAAAACAGAAGGGAGGCTAGTGATCAGGATGCTGGGTTGAGAAGTGTGAAGGCTGAAATACATAAAAAACAAGCCAGCCAGGCCTTGCAAGTTACAATTGCTAAGATGACCACCCTTATAGAATCCGTTGTTACTGTGACTGCCATTGCCTCTCATGCATCTTCAAGTTCTGTTACTCAAGTGACAAGCAGTTTTGGTCATGGTGTTCAAATCACTAATTCCACAAAGCCTGCCATGAATGTATTCAGCAGTAACCTACCAGTATCTGTTGGCTCTGTGACTGAGACCACCAATAATAAAGATTTGTCCAATGTCAATGGAGGAGGTAATAAAACTCGCACCAAGAAATCCAATGAGATTATGAAGCAAAGCAGCACTACAGGTACTCTGCACACTATTAATTTTTAAAAAACCTAGATTTTATGTTATAAATGTAGAGCTCCCATTATAAATTTGCAGACCTGTTTACTCTAACGATTTTGGCGTACAATGTAAGATTTTGCAGAACCTTACAGAACTATGATTTTAAGAGACTGGGTTGAAAATTCCAGTAGTGCCAGTAGTTTTTTCCTATTAAAAAAAAAATATATTTAACAAGTACATTGTCGGTTGTTAGTTATATCTTGCATTCTACATCCCAGCAGTGAATGGATCAAGAAATAAGATTGGCTGGGTACCATCTATAATTTTATTATGTTTACCTTGAGAGCAGTGGGATTGGCGGGGTACCATCTATAACTATATTATGTTTACCTTGAGAGGAGTGGGTGGAAGCGGTCTAAATGTTGATAAAATTAACACCGTCACATTTTCGTAAGGCTAGTGGGGACTGTCATATTGTTGCTTTGTGTTTTCATAATGAACTCGCTAGACACGGCTACAGTAATATTAGCATAGTCAATTTAGTCAGCCTGGGCCATCCTTGCGCAGTGAAGGGGGAGAGGGGTTTGTCGATTAATTAGTTTTTGCCTAAGCGTGCGTAAAGGAAGGGGGAGGGTTCTTGGCAGAAAGTATGTGCGTTATTCAAAAATTTTATATTATTTATCCCCGAAACTCTGAAAGTCCAAAAACATTTTATTTATATCTCGAATGGTATAAAAATATGCATTGTTGGTAGGAGTTATCTTCATAATGTTGCCATGTATTGCTACAAATGAACTCGCTAGAAATACTCAGATGGTACTAGAGGTAATACAGTAATATTTGCTCCACCTAAGTTCCAACGTTCTGTAACGTATATTTTGTTGGGCTGTGCCAGGGGTTCTAAACATTTTTGTTCCTGGCACCTATGTAAAAATTAGGTTTTCACCAGGCTCCCTGTGATCAATTCTAACAAGTACACTTAAAAAAATAGCGAACACATATATAAAATAAAATAACGGGTTGGTTCAAAATAAATATAAATCGCCTTCCTAGTAACTGCAAACATTAGTTACCATAACTCAAATGCTGCTAGGTGTCACATTGGATTAAAAGTGGAAATAAAATGTATGAAAATTGTGTAATATTTCGCAACGCCCCTGTGAGCATGCCCCAACAACCCATATAGAAGGGGGTGGTTGTCAAAAAAGTGCGTAAAGGGGGGGGGGGGTTTACAAAATTTTACTTTTTGTGTAAGTACAATATAAATGGCCACTCCTCGCATTTCTTTGGTTCGGCACGTATGACTTGATTTTGGGAGAATCATTTCTTAAGTCTTAAGTTACAGTTGAACTGCGAAGAGTGCAGAAACAGAAAACTAAAGAAAACATTGTTATCTCTTCTGTGCAGCAACATTAGGTTTCGACTTATTTAATAGGATCTTAAGGGGCCTTTGATATATATTTTTAGAACGGATTTAATAGCTGTACTATTTTTCTAATAGTATTTCCTTACTGTATTGTACGATTTTGTGACGATATGGTACGATTTTAGGAGTTTGAGGGTAAACAAGTCTGAATTTTTAAAAAATACATATTAAAATGAAACTATTATTTTTGTTTTTTTAAATGTTTATTTATCTCCCAGGTATTGGTGATTTGGATGATTTTGGTGTGATTCCCACCAGCTGTGTGATAAAGAATTTTGAAAAGATCAATGGCAAGTCTATTGGTATAAAAAAGGTGTAAGTTATATTTTACATGGACATTATTTTCATATTTAATATCCATCTTAAACTTAACCTGGAGGCAAGCTTGTGTATTGTCTTTTTTAAGGCAGGGGAAGGCATTCAGAAATATAAAAAAAATTACTTTGTTTTTAAGTTATTTTATTGAATTTCATAAACCGTTATGATTGTTTTTACATTACTGATCAACTTTTTTTCTTAATTTTCTATTTTTTTTAACTTCTCAACTTTAGTCACATAATGCTAAAATGCAAATTTACCAATTTTAATATAGAGAAATGTTTATCGATATGTACAAATTGGACAAAATTTACATGCGGCTCCCCCAATAACTTTACATTTGTCAATGTGGCCCTCTGCGCAAAACTTTTGCCCACCCCTGCTTTAAGGAATTATCTAGTCAAATATTACTTGACTACAAATTGACTTGACTGCTATATTTAGTATAAAATAAAAAGGTAGATTTTACCATTTAAATATGATGTTTCAGGATTTGAAAAGCTAGAGACAATTTTGCAAAATAGACATTTAGTGATTTTGTTGCAGATTGCTTTATACTTTATGGTAAAATATTTTAATTTAGCTTACATTTTTTTTAGTGAAACCAAAAAGGATTGGATAGAAGAGTATCGTTATTTAGAGAAAAGTATGCCCAATGTACCTAACAGGCTTGCAACATCAGCACCAAGTCCAAGAAAAGGACAAAAGAAAGAGGAAGGCTGGAAAGAGGTTGTCAGAAAAAATATGTAAGATTTTTTTTATTAATGTTACTTCTCTTTCTGTGCCGGTACCTTTAAACTGAATAGAGGTCTATAATTATTATTCTTTCTCAGCTTGTGTTATGTGTTAGTATATAGGATTCATATGTTGGGGTTTATTTATAATATTTCCAAATATAAAATGTATCACCTAACAAATGAACCAGGATAATAAAAAAAACTAATCTTTGTATTTTATTTATATAAAGTAAATTGGAAAATATTTATGGACAGTCAGTAATTTTCATTGCCAATTTTGCCAGTGTGATTATTATAATTAAAACACTTGTCATGTCAATGTAAACTTTTGAGAAAATTAAAAATCTGAAATCCGCTTTTATACTATACGTCAAGAGACACTGCAGAAGGTTTTTAAAATGTACAAAATGGTCATCACTAGTGATGGGATGATACCAAAATTTTTTACGATTCCGATTCTACCCAATTATCCCGATTCCTGATACGATTCCAATTCCTGATAATATTCCGATTCCTGGCCATTATTACATATATTTATTACTGTGCCCAGGTCTTAACATATTTAATTAATATAAAAGTTGAGAATTGATTAGAAAAGTTTATTAACTTGCTATTGAAGCTTTACAATATGCTAGATAACAATGTCTTGGAAAGGTTTTATATAAACACATCTATCAATAATTCCATTTTAATAATACAAAGATGTAGCTTGTGTCTTTGATAAAAATTTCAAAATGTGTATATAAAAACTATATATTAAATATACATTTGAAATTATTATTCATGTACATACAAAATAAGAAAAAGTTTACCTTGCTAGCTTATTGACTATTATATAGTACAGCAAAAAGATTGCTTACATTTTGCTGATAACATGTGGTTTTAAATAAACTTCCTGCCGGTAATTAAAAATCTCGGAACAAAATAAAGAATATACTAACGCGAAACAAACTTTGCGCTGTCACCGGCTTACGGCAGTTAATAAGTTAAGCATCGTTTTGGTATCGGAATCGGGTCTAAATTATTCAGCTTCGATAGCGATTCCTGATGCTTTGGAAAAATCCTGATATTTTGATTATTCCGATACGATTCCGATTAATCGTCCCATCACTATTCATCACAATGACAAATTTTTAAAGAAGGTAATTGAATCAGATCATTTTTTTTTTTTTCTAATCCCATCATATTTCTTAATGCTGTACTGAATATCATTTCAGGTCCAAAAAACTTTCAGTCCCTGCTAATGTGATATCACGTCTTATTGGAAAGGGCGGTTGCAATATCAATGCTATTCGTGAAATATCTGGAGCTCATGTTGAGGTCGAGAAATCAAAAGGAAACTCTGACCGAACTGTGACAATAAAGTATGTTTGAAAATATTTTTTTTATAAGTTTGAACTCCATTATGATCTGTTCTATTATTATTATTAACTTTTAATTAACCCATGAACTGTGGCATGCATCATTCTTTGGTGTGGAGCTTTTCATAGCGTTTTGAGGGCCATTTGAAAATGCATTAAATGACATAGAAATATTGATACAAGACCCCTTTAAGTAAATATTTTTAGAAAGGTAAATGGATGGGGATAAAGTTGGCCATATTTCCCACCCGTAAAATAATTTTGCTCAGTGTCCTTGACCTTGGAGTTCTCAAGAGAAAAAAATCGGACGAAATGTCTCGCTTTCAAGTGCTCATAACATCATTAAATTTTTATAGATACACTTAAAACACAAATCTGAATGTTGTAGCCAATTCAATTATCGCTAAGAAAATGAATAGTTTGCTAAGGTTTTGATTACATTCAAACCGGTTTTAGATTATGCATCTTCAGTCTGGGACCCATTTACCCAGGAGAGCATTGACAGGTTGGAGGCGGTCCAGCGAAGCGTGGCAGGCTTTGTCCTGAACCGCCACAGGAATAGCTCTAGTGTTTGCGGCATGCTGGTGGAAAAACTAGGCTGTTCACCATTGGAGGAATGACGACAACAATCCAGGCTCTCCATGATGTACAAGAAAAATAATGGGCTGGTCCACTGTTCCAGTATTAAACAGCAACTTGTCCCTCTCCCCCATAGACAGCGACGAGGCCATGACAGGCTATTCCGGCTTATACTAGCAAGAAGCCAGTATAAGAACTGCTCATTTCTGCCCAAGACAATCGGGGACTGAAACAAGCTTTCAAAAGTGTAACACACTTCTACTCTGACATGGCGTGGGATGTTATTTCTTATGCTGTGGGTTATGTCAGTAGTATGGTTACTTATATTAACGCTTCAGGATGCCGACTCAGTCTTCTTCATTCTTTCACTTATTATTCAGGCACGTAAAGAAGAATGCTCAATTCTAGTTAAAACTCACAGTACTTTATTGAACACACTTCATATTGATAATATTAATAAATAATCCTTGCATGAATGTAATTTCACATATATATCTATAGTATTCCATCATTAAGAAAGACACGTCCTCAGACTACTATAACTCAGCTCAACTGTCTAATCACACAGCTCTCACGCTACTGACTGACTCTACTGCTCTGCGCTCAGCTCTCCTTATCTCAGTCAACTCATACTTTATTACCAGCAAAGCGTGCAAAACAACCGCTCTGACAAAACATAATTTTACTCTCCAAAAACGTGGAGTTCACATTTGTTCTCAAAAATACAATCCACATTGATTGTCTCTCCCCGTGGAAAAACCTGGTGAACACACTCACTGTCCACTCATGCTACCTCTCTGTTTACATGTGAAAACATAGTCCGTTACATGCCCCACCCATCTGAAAAAATTTTGTGCAACAAAATTTTTGGCATTATATGTTGAAATAATGATAATGTCTCTTAGAAAATTTCAATGCCACATCTAACAATCAAATCAGTGTAACAACATTAACATTTCATCATTATGAAATACAGAGTCTTTTACTGTTAATATCACACTTAATAGTGAATAATGTACCCTGGCAAAAAATTAAAAAATCACCAATGACAACCTCTTAAAATCTTTATGTATGATAATGTGAAGTGACATTAACATCTTAATGAATAATAAACACTGCAAAATGAATGTAACAATCTTAAATTTTGCATTAGAAAATTTACAATCGGTTAAAATATGATATTCATTTACAAAAATTGATATGTACAAGTGTCTTATCAAAAAACTGAGTGAACGTATGTGTGTATATTCATTTAGAATGTCTGACTAATGTGTCTTAAGTCAGTGTCTTTGTCATTGTCTGCATGTTCAATGTGTCTGGAAAGGAAATCAGCTACTGTATTGTCTTTTCCTTTTATTGTCCTTATCTCATACTGATAATCTAATAGTATCAACGACCATCTGTTTATTTTACTATTCGCTATTTTCTTTCTATTCAGTGCCATTAATGGCTTGTGATCAGTCAATAATGTAAATTTTCTGCCTAATAGATATTTCTGTAGTTTGGTAAGTGCCCACACAATTGCTAAGCATTCTTTTTCAATGGTTGAGTAGTTAATTTCAGTTCTGCTTAATGCTCTACTTAAATAGGTAATGGGTCTTAATTTATGATTGTATTCTTGCATAAGGCAAGCTCCTAATCCAATGTTGGAGGCGTCTGTAACTAGAGTGAAAGATTGTTTAAAATTGGGTGATAACAATATGTTGTCACTTTGGAAAATTTCTTTGATTGTTCTCAGTGTATTTTCGCATTCATCCGTCCATACTATTTGTTTCTTGCTATCTTTATTTATTAGTTTCCTTAAGGGTAGTGTAACATCAGAAAATTTTGGAACAAAAGTGCTGTAAAAATTGCACAAACCTAAAATGGCTTTTACTTCTTTCTGAGTGTGTGGTGTTTTTATATTTAGTATTTTTCCTCTGTTGTGTTCTGTGGGCTGAATTGTGTTTTTACCGACTTTAAATCCTAAAAATTCAATGTCCTCTTGTGCAAACTTTAATTTGTTTGGTGCTATTGTAACTCCATGTGCTCTTAATTTGTTTAGTACTGTTTTTATAGTCTCTAAATGTGTCTTCATATCCTTAGTGTGAATACAGATGTCATCGACAAAATGTACGACATTTGGTATGCCTTCTAGCATGATTCGCATGAATCGAGAAAATGTTGCGGTGGAATTAACTAGACCAAATGGCATTACTGTCCATTCGAACAAGCCTTCCTCTGTGGCAAATGCAGTCAAAGGCATGGAATCCGGATGCATGCCTATTTGCCAGAATCCTCTGTTTAAATCTAAGTGGGTGAATAATGTGGAGGAGCCTATTTCTTCCAGTAGTTCTCTGGTGTCCCTCATGGGTTCTGCATCTAATTGTGTGATTTTATTTAACTCCCTATAGTCACAACATATACGGCACTGGCCATTTTTCTTTTTTACTACTACCATGGGTGATGCTATTGGTGAATCTGATCTTTTAATCTTGTTGGTCTGTATTAAATGATTTAGTTCTTTCTTTACTTCTTCCCTAAATGCATATGGAATTGGATAGATTTTGTGTTTGAATGTGGGTTCCTGTGTTAATATTATCTTGTGTTCTAAACTGCTAGTGTGTCCTATGTTCTCTGTGATGACATCTTTGTATTCTTTTAGAATTGTTGTTAAGTGTCTGTTTGTTGTGGTGTTATTTTCATTGTCTTCTAATTGTATAACACTAGCAACGGTGGCTGTGCTACTTATTTCATTACTGATGGTTTCTAACTCTTCAGGAACAGAGTCATATTTTCTGAGCAAGTCCACATGTAGGACTTTCAATTCACCCTTCATGTGAATTACATAATCAACTAAATTTAACTTGTCATGAATTGTAAACGGACCCTGCCAAATCTTTTGTCCATTATTGTTTGGCAACCATACCAAAACTTTATCATGTACTTTAAGATCTCTGAGGTATCTATGTGTATTCTTTATATGTCTTTGTCTTTTAGACTCCCTATCAGTGTTTTCTTTAGCATTTTCTATGCCATATGTAATCCTCTCTCTAATTTTTGTAATTATGTCAAATGTGTCTTGTTGTGTGCCTTTCTGGCCTAAAATATTTTCTTTAAAAAGAGTTAACGGTCCCTTTGGATTGGCCCCAAACATTAGCTCAAATGGAGAGTACCCAGTGGTGTCTTGTATACTCTCTCTATAGGCGAATAAAACCATGGGTATATATAGGTGCCATTCTCTAGGGTGGTCTATTGTTGTTTTATTTAACATTGTTTTTAGTGTTTTGTTCCATCGTTCTACCATACCATTAGCCTGTGGTCTATATATTGTGGAATGTACTTGTATTATACCTAGCATTTTTGTAACTGCATTGGTTAAGTTGGAAGTAAACTGTGTTCCATTATCTGACAATATTTTATCAGGGAACCCATGTCTTGTAAATACATCTAATAATGCCATGCAAATTGTTTCTGAATTAATGTTTTTGAGGGGAATTGCCTCTGGCCATCTAGATGCCATATCAATCATGGTTAAAATAAATTTGTGTCCCTTATTTGATGGTGGATTAAGAGGACCAATGATATCTATAGCTACCTTCTCAAAGTTTCTACCTATTTTGTCTGTGGGTTGTATGGGTGCTCTGTGTTTACTGTGTATTGGGTTTTTTGTCAGACATGGTATGCATTTGTTTATGTGTTTCTTTATGTCCTTGTGTATGCCTGGCCAATAAAAATTCTGTGTGACCCTTTCTAATGTTTTTTTTATACCCATGTGTCCAGCCAAAGGACTGTCATGTGCATGGTTGAGTATTTTGTTTCTGAGTATTAATGGTACTATTATTTGAGATTTTTTGATTTCACCTTTCTCAAAATTTCTGATTAGAATATTATGTTTTATTGTGTAATTATGTCCTCTATAAATTGTGTTATTGTCCTTAATTTTGTTTCTAATGTCCTGAATTTGCCTATCTTCTGTCTGCATTCTAATTATGTCCTCTCTAGATATTTGTTTTGGAATGTCTAATTTTTCTTCTATTTCAGGCTGTGTCTGACTAGTTTTATGTTGTTGTCTTGTTATTGCACTTATATACTCTTTGGTTAAATTTTTTGATTCAATCCAATTTAAGAATAGTTCTTGGGAATTATCTGGAATTTCTTTAATATTTCCAATTATTAACTGACATACTGGGTTGTCCATAAGTACTGCCGTTACCTTTCCTGTCAACCATGGACAGTCTATGTCCACTACTGCTTTATAACATTCAACTTTTGTGTTATTTGCTAACATGACTGTGGTTTTTTCAGATATATGGTCTTTAGGGTCAATCAATTTTTTGTCAACTACTATTGTTGTACAACCTGTGTCTCTTAGACACTGAACAAGTTGGTTGTTTACATAAGAAGGAAAAAATTGTAAACTTCCTTCACTGTGACATGCGCTAGCTAAAGTTTCATGTGGTTTGGTGTTTTGTCTACTGTTAGTCTGATTGGAATTATATCTTTGATTTTTATATGGTTGTCTACTCCTATTTGCACTGTTGTATCTAATTGGACTACTGTTGGGTGATGTTCTCTGATAGTATTGTTGTGAATGTCCTAAATCTCTATGTAATTTCCTACACTCATATTTTTTGTGACCTGGAATGCCACAGTAGAAACATTTGTTGTTGTTTGAATAATTAGTATATGGTGTCTGGTAATTGGTTTGATAATATTTCTGAAATTTATTGTTTTGCCATCTGGTAGGTAGGCTGTGGTATCTTCTGTTTTGATATGTGTTTTGTTTTTGACTGTCCCTATCACTGGGTGTATTTCTAATAGAGGCTAGTGTGCTGTTTCTATTGTCTAGCTCTTCATTGGGGTGAGCATCTTTAAATGTTGTGATTGAGTCAACTAACTCACGCTCATTTTTAATCTTTCTCTCTTTAAGGAATGAAAATAAAGAGACTGATGCATTTCTTAATATTTTGTCTATGATAAACATATCCAGTAATGCTTTTGGATCATTTAGGTCAATTTCAGTTAATTCAAGCCATTTGACAAGATTGTCTCTAATATGGAATATGGTGGTGTTAGGATCTACTTCTCTATCTAGTCTTATGTTGTGGAAATTTTTTCTATAAATGTCTTCTGTGTTTCCATAGAACTTTAACAAAACTTTCTTTATATATGTATAATTATTCTTTTGTTCTTCACTAAGTGAATTGATAATGCTTAGGCTTTTCCCTGATAATCTGCTCAATAAAATATTAGCCCAAGTCTCTTCTCTATAATTATAAGACTGACATATGCCTTCAAATTGTGACAGATAACTAATAATTTCTTCTTTATGTTCATTAAATTCTCTAAATTTAGGTTTGTATGCACTGTTGGTTTCCCTATTGCTTGTTGATGTAGTATGCTGTCCTGATTCTATCCTAGCTCTTTCTAGTTTTAGCTCTTCCTCTCTTATTTTCATATCTTGTTCCCTTAATTTAAGTTCTTCTATTTCCTTTTGTCCTTTTAATTTCATTTCTTCTATTTGTTTAAGATCGTTTCTCTCTAACATTCTAGCTTCTCGGTCTTTGTCTTTGTCTTGTCGGTCTTTGTCTTTGTCTTGTCGGTCTTTGTCTTCTTTCTGTCTTTGACTATCTCTCTCCTTGTCTCTTTCCTGTTTGTTCCGTATTTTGTCCATCTCCCTAGTTACGAAGTCAGTTAAATTCTCCTGCTTCAAACCAAGCTTCTCACCTACTTCTAATAATTCCAAGTACTCTGCCATTTTTTATGTGTAATGTGAGTAACTAAAATTATATTGTTATGTATCAGTATATCAGTTATCTCCTTATTCTTTGGTTATCAATTAAAATAGTTTACGATCTTTCATATATCTACATGTTAATGAATGTATACACAAATGCAAGTTGATACATGAATTATAAGTTATAAATAAGTGTAAGAAAAATTTAAAATAATTAAATTGTCTATTTTACAACATAAATACAGATATGTAGACGTTTACATGTACACAAATGAGACAACAAATACAAAAGTACTGTGTAGTTTATGGACCACAAGATAGTAGAAAATATGACAGTAGGTTGACAATATGTATAACAATGACAAGACAAATAGCACAAATATGACAAGATCTACTAAAAAACAACAGTTATGACAATGTACAAACTAGACTTCACAGCTAACACAAAATTATCCTACAGTGTTATAAATAGGGCCAGAAGAAACCTTTACCGTTTTAATAAAAAAACTTCCCTAGGAAAGATAACACCGTGGATGTCCCTACAGTATACTCTAAAATTAAACTTATATTACACAGAAAAAGTAAAAAATTTACTTAATCTAATTAAGTATGATATAAGTATATTTTTAAAGTCTTAAATTATATATATAATACATAACATAATATACATAAATACCAAGTGAAAGTGTCCAAAAGAAATCTTTAGTTGGTCACCTCTGCTCCTCTGTGACGCTATGATTTCTGTGTAATCGATAATCCTCTGTAGTAGATGCTCCTTCTAGGTAGTAGATAATCCTATGTGGTAATGTACTTGGGTAAAATAATCCAATGAGAAAAGTTACACCACAAATTGCTGCAATATTCCAATGTAAGTACCTTGCGTAATAGTGTAATTGTGATAATCCAATAATTGAAAATTGTCTAATTTATCTCCGGTTCTGTTGCACTTGTGAGTAATTGAAGAATTACTTGAAGAATTACTTGACTTGAACTGTGCTGCTTGTATAAAGTAAAGATTATGCTGGGGAAATCTTACTTCCGCTGTCTTGATAAAACATCTCATCTGTAATGACATCAGACTTCTTTTGGTTTTGTGTGGATCATCTCTTTCGTTGACTAATAACTGTAAAATAGATTTCTTGCTGTTTCTTCCACGAGAATATTCACTCCACTGTTATATAATTGAAACAGTGTACCAGTTAGCTGTTTGAACTCTCAACTTTTGACTCCCGTGACTGACCTAAATTCAATCGTTGTCAGCTTGCTCTGTGTGTCGTGGACTCTTCTCAGACTTGACAAATACTCGGGCGTAATGACGTTCGATTCGAATGTTAAAATATATCATTGTTACTCAATGTTCTGTAATACATCGTTGTTCTGACACTTCTGACAATATTTGTAACGCATCGTCGTTACACCGCTTCTGACACCATTTGTAACACACTTCTACTCTGACATGGCGTGGGATGTTATTTCTTATGCTGTGGGTTATGTCAGTAGTATGGTTACTTATATTAACGCTTCAGGATGCCGACTCAGTCTTCTTCATTCTTTCACTTATTATTCAGGCACGTAAAGAAGAATGCTCAATTCTAGTTAAAACTCACAGTACTTTATTGAACACACTTTATATTGATAATATTAATAAATAATCCTTGCATGAATGTAATTTCACATATATATCTATAGTATTCCATCATTAAGAAAGACACGTCCTCAGACTACTATAACTCAGCTCAACTGTCTAATCACACAGCTCTCACGCTAATGACTGACTCTCCTGCTCTGCGCTCAGCTCTCTACTATATCAGTCAACTCATACTTCATTACCAGCAAAGCGTGCAAAACGACCGCTCTGACAAAACATAATTTTACTCTCCAAAAACGTGGAGTCCACATTTGTTCTCAAAAATACAATCCACATTGATTGTCTCTCCCCGTGGAAAAACCTGGTGAACACACTCACTGTCCACTCATGCTACCTCTCTGTTTACATGTGAAAACATAGTCCGTTACAAAAAGGAACAGTTGAGGCGACAACACTAGACACATTTGTGTCTATTGCCTCAAGCCTTCAAACCCACAGTGCATGATTCCCTCACAAAGTGGCACTTGCAATCAGTGAAATATCCTCGTCAACACCAGGCACATAAACATGGCAAAACCCCTCTACGTGCACAGGAGCCAAAATAATCAATAAATTGATCATAGGCCCTTAATAAATAGAAGAAGAAGAAGAACCCCTGAAAGCAATTTTAGGTCATTTATATAAGAAACTGGGACCAATGCTAAAACCAAGTACAAAATACAAAATCTCAGGCAAAATAGTTATTATTGACTAGTAAACATTTAAAAAGGAACTGTGGAACTGATTTGGGTTGTTTAACTATAAAATTTATTAGTTTTGAACTATAATCAGTAGCTTCTGTGACTAAAATTCAGTCAGTCCTTGGCCAACCTCTGGGCCTTGCTCAAAGTCTAACAGTAGCCTCAGTAGGCCTACTTCAGTATCACTAAGACTAGTATAAAACTCTCAAGAAGAATAATCTCAACTGATATCGTCACGGGGAATGTTAAAGTCATCATCAGTATCGCTTAAAACCTCTTCTAAAAAGCTTTCAAACACATTTCTATTAGTTCTTGCTCTGAAGGCCTAGCCATAGCGTCATCCATTTTCACTTTTAAAAAAATAGCGAAATAAAACTGATTAAAAAGTATTTATTTTTAAGTTATCACAAAACAGCTTGAACCGGAAGATGATTTAATTATTAATAAAAGGAAGTGGCTATAAATTCGGTTAAATATTGGATTGGAAGTTGCTATCGGACCGTGTTTTTTATCTGCCGATTTTTTTCGGCCGCCACAGTACAGAAAGAGAATGTCGGCCGATTTTTTCGGCCGACCACAGTTCGTGGGTTAACTTAAATAAGCAATGTTTCTTTGCCATAGGACAGCACCAAATTTTGCTTATTTTTATACAGTTATGGAGGGTGAAAATGGAAGCTTAATTTGATGTAGGCAGGTACAATCAAATAAAGTGTCATAAATTGTCATAAAAGGATAATAATTACTCTTTTTGAATTATAAAGATACTACTAATTGTTAAAGGTTGCTGATTATACTGAAATAAGCACAGTAAAAAGAATTGAAATAAAAGCAGGTCTCTAATAATTTTTGGATAGAACTTTCAATTCCTCTTTTATAGACATAACTGATAACCCTTTACTCTTTTTAAAAACTGAAGTTAATTAACACAATTTTCCTTAATTTCATTTTAGGGGCTACCCTGAGGCTATTCGACAAGCAAACAACCTTATAAATGCAATGGTAGAGGAGCCTGATAAAGATATCTCTGAACTACTCACCCGCTTGAACAAAGCTCAGAAAGCTGCGGTAGAGAAAACCCAGCTTCAAAAAACACCTGTGTCAATAGCTGATTTTGCAATTGGAACTTTTACTATTCCAACCACTACAGTGCACACAGCAACTACCACATCAGCCAAATCACCTGCTCAGGCTAAATCCAATAGGCAGGGAAGCAGCCAATCAAGTTCAAGTCGTTCATCTAGTTCCACTTCCAATACCATGGGACCTACAATTGGTGCTTGGCAGAATCCTGTCCCTGGCCAAGTACTACCATCTTCTCCAAGACGTAGTCCTCAGAAACAAGTAACACCAAGCTCAGCTGTTGCTGGTGGTAGAACAGCATCAACACCTAGTGGAGATAAAACATCAGCAAGACAACTTAATTTTGGTATGGACCGTAAGAGATCTGCTTCTCCTGTATCCTCAGTACCCTCAAGTTCTGCCTCTCTCAGTTTCACTACAGCAGCAACAAGTACTATTCGAGGTGTTGTATCAAGCAGCACAATTTTTTCTAGCCAGGGACATAAGTCACAGGATCCTCGAATGCAAGGTCAGATGAAGGCAGCTGTTGGTAGTCCCATGACAACTTCTGCTAGATTCACACGGCCTTCAATGCAGGTGAGAATGGAACCTATGCCTCTTCCTATTGTTTCTAGTGGAAATACAAGTCATGTTGACCGCAACAACCAGCCAAGTACTGGAAGTAACCAGCCCCAAGTGGGAGAATACTCTCCATTCAACAACAACCTGTTTACAAGCTTCCTTACCAAGAAAGATGAACAAGCAGACAAAATGGATTTTGCTAGCGTTGCTGCAGCAGGAGTTGTAACTACTAGCCCAAGTCCTCAGACTACTTCAATCCCAACTTCAGTTGATTCAAACAGTAACAATGCTGTTGATCCAGCACTGGCACCTGGCTTCAAAATTTCACAAAGAGGGAATTCCCCACCGTATAGGCACGATCCACAAGATGCCAGCGTAGTGGGGTATCGAATATCAATGAATAATGTTGCAAGTATGGGCCCACCAAACATTAATACTGGGTTGCGACATGGTGCTCCAATTTACCCTTACATGGAGAGTGAGTATCACAGGGCACAACTTATTTTGAGCCAGTACAGAGAAAACCCAATGAATTCTCTGATGCCTCAAAATTTTCTGGGAGCTGCAGGAATGGCCTTGCCTCATGGTATTTTTGCTCAAAATATGGGAGGAATTCCAATGCCTCCTGGGCAACAGCAGCATATGCCACAAAAAGAAGAATACAGCAAACCTCATCGACCCATGACATTGCCAGAGATAAAAGGTGCACTCAACCCTAATGCTCCAGAGTTCCAACTTCCAGGCACTGGCCCCCCAATGATGAATGGTTTTGAGAGGCCCAATAACAACTTATATTCAGGAATGATGCCTATAGGCATGGCAGATCCAAGAGCTTCAATGGGACAAGGCCCTGACAATTCAACTCCCAATGGGACTGGAATGGCAAATATAAATACTGGTATGCATTAAATTAATCTTAAGTTAGTGACTGTAGTATTTATTTAAAGGTCTCACGAAGTTGCATTAAAGGTTCTGTACACTAATTGAAAATTGTTTTTTTTTTTTTTAAATTAAATTTTTGCATGGATGTCTTTGGTGATTTTGATTTATTTACTATTTTTTAAATTTATTGTATGTTTGGGTTACTAGCTTTTATAATATAAACATTATTTTAAACTTATAATATAAAATCCACTTTTTTTATAAGGACCTCTTCCTTCAATGTTGCCACCTGAAATGATGGCACCCAGTCATATGCCATACCAGTTTCAACATGCCAGTACAGGAGGAAGTCCTCCACAGCTCAGCACAAACCGGCTAGCATCTACCATTGGCACAGGTGCCCCTCACTCACATAACTCCCCACCGCAGAGTTTAATTGGGCAACCAGGTTTATCTCCAGGTGGTATGGGAGGGCCAAATTATCTCTCCCAGAACCAGCCACAAAGGGCTCACTCCCCAATGCAAAATATGTCAGGACGACCAAACAGTGCTCCATCTGTTCAGCAAGGTTAGTAGTTGCAGTAACACACCAAGATAGGCAATTTTTAAAATACCTTTTTCTCACTATATGTCAAACTCATTAACCACAAATAACTGTCATAATTTTTAATGCACTTATTTTGCGGAAAGTCAATTTATATTCTTACTGCCTGGATTGGCTTGTGGCCTCAATGGATTAATTCATGAAACTGTTTTGGTGTCTCATGACAGTTAATGTGTTTATTTATAATCTAAACAGATCCTGGTCAAATAAATAACTCACCTTTAGCTAGCAGGACTCCACCTTTAGAGCAGGCTAAGCACATTCAACCTATTGGTGGGGAAAGAAAGAAAGGACCAGGGAAACCTGCCCCCAGCACTTACAATAATTATTGGTACCATACCTCGTCAGGTAGGTGTCTTTAATGCCATAGAACCCAGTCAGTTAGCTAAACAGGAAGAAACTGTAGTAAGCCTTTCCAAAAATAATTTTGCATATGAACATTAACATCACTATATAAACTGAATAAATGGACATGTAATTTTCAGGAAGCAATATGGTGTACCAGCGTATGTCAGATGCTGAGGAAGAATACAGCATGCAGCCTCAAGGCCAATACAATGATGGAGGAGTTCCTGGAAGTGATGGTGATCATAATAATATAGCCCATGTAAGGAGTTATTAATTTTATGTAGGGTAATGATAATTATAGCTATTGGATGACTATTCAGCTTCTGTTAAGCATTGAGGCTTACAAACATATATCTCCTTTTCTTTTTTATAATTGCTTGACTTTTTATGTACCTATCAGTTGTTCTCAAAGGGGGCGGTGGGGTGGTCCATGGGGACGATGAAGGACTGTGTGAATTTTAGGGGGCACTGGGACCATCAAAGGAGGCATTGGGAAGGCGTTTTTAAAAATAACCGTTTCAAAGAAAGTTTAGACTCTAAAAAAAGGGTTTTGATTGTCAAGTGACATAGAGTCTAAAAGATATATTTTTTTGCCATACGATGAAGAGGAAAAAAAAGACTGATCAATTTCAAACAGATTTACCACTCTATTCTTTCAAACAGATGTACTGATACCACCGTTTATTAACAATACATTTAAATTTAGGTAAGAACTGAGCTGGAAACACTTAATGCATGTAGTTTTAAAATGAAATTCACAAATGAGCCACAGGCTAACACGCATGATTTGCGATGCTTTTATATTAAAGGAAAGCAGGTCATGCAATATATATATATATATATATATATATATATATATATCAGATCAGCTCCATCCGCCTCTACCTCACAGTTAACGCAACAAAAGCCCTAGTCTATGCTCTTGTTCTCTCTTGTCTTGACTATTGCAACTCTCTTCTGTCTGGTTCACCAAAACACTTCTTAGAAAAATTACAAAAGATTCAAAACTCGGCTGCTAGGCTAGTTCTAAAGGCAAAAAAATGAGATCACGTCACACCACTACTTCCTACACTTTATTGGCTATATCTGTACAAACACGAATTGACTACAAACTCTCTGTTCTCTGCCATAAATTTTTCTCGAATTCATGCTATTCCCATCTAACTGAACTTCTGTCTATTCAACCCTTCGACAGCTTCGCTCCTCTGCAGACTTATGTATCCTTTCTGTCCCCAAGACTCACACAAAAACATACGGTAAACAATCTTTCTCTTTCTGTGCACTCAAACAATGGAATTCTCTTCCACTACACATCTGCAATATACCGACCATCACGGCCTTCAAAATTGCACTAAAAAATCTCTTTAAACTGATTGATATTCCCCCCCGACCGATAAACGATGCTGCTGGGTGCCATCCATGGCTTGACATGTACATATTTCTGGAATGGGTGGAGTGAACATACATTTGTATTGTTTTATTTAATTAATGAAAGTTATTTTTAAGTTAATGATGCTTGTTAACCCTTTACGGGGCAGAGGTACTTCCTCTTGCATGTCCTGAACGGGCACCACTTTCCATTTTTTAGTAAAATTTAGGGTTACATTACAAAAAAAATCAAATCTAAGGTGTTAGTCAACAAATTTGTGTAAATAAAAAGCAAAATAAAGGAAAATGAATGCAGATTTATAATTGTACTCACATGTTGCCATTAATCCTTATACGAACACAAATATTTGCAAAAACAACATATTGTTCGTGATTGTGAGTCATCTATTTACTATTTACAAACACTGCCACAAAATCGAAGTTTGTAAAATTCAACACTGCTTACTACGCTGATTTCACTAATATTACTAATAATATAAACATCTAGTTCCAATTTACAGTCAATTCGTGCACTTAAATGTCACTTTAATTGAATCCAGCGAAATCTCCGCTATCACTTGAATAATCGGCAAATAATCTGCAAAATCCATTTAGAAAAAAAAATATTTTTAAACCCCTAAAACTAAAAAAAAAAAAATCGATTAAATACTTGTAACTGGCGCCTACTCTATTTAGCTATCGGAAAAACCAGATGTAAACAATAGGAAGTCTCGCAAAGCCTCGGAGGTCACGAGCGAGAAAACAACACTAAGTCGTCACGGACGCTTTTGGGCGTTTTGCCCTTTAAGTGGTAAAGACGTTTTCGGCCCCTCTGCCCCGTAAAAGGTTAAATTATATGTATAGCGTGGTTAGCCCAGCCCTAGGCTGGGATACCGCACTATATAAAACTACTACTAATAATAATAATATAACGTGTTGTTGATTAATAAATCTAAATAATTACTAACAATTAGTGAAGTATTTATCCTACCAGCTTTTAGTGAGCTTCTACCTACATAGATGCAAGACAGAACATTATTAGACCAGAGATTAGTTTTATAGTATAGCAAATTAGTGGAGATGACATTTCTAACGGATTTTCTTTCCAGAAAATGAACCTTTGCTTATTGCAACAGATGTACTTCTTCATCAACACTAAAAAAATGTATATTTTGTTTTGTTTAAGGCTGTTCTTTTGATTAGGAAAAATTCCACTAAAAAGCATACTACAGTTGAACCCGGTTATGTCGCCGGCCTGGGGGTTTGCCAGAAACGTTGAAATAACGGATGATCAAGATTAAACGAAAACCAAAATGGCGACAATACATTAACATGAGCTTGAAATTTCTTTATGTACATTATGTGCATTAATAAAATGAGAATGCACGTGAAGAGGTGCCACTTTTCCAGATTATCACGGAATCGTGAGGCTAAATTTTTTTCTCCCTCCAGATTCGCAAGTTTTTATTTGCTCTCGGTCCGGATTGGCCAGTTCAGTTTGTTCTAATACGAATTCTGGGTTCTAAAAACATATCGAGTCAGAACGCGCCAAAGCCATTTCAGTTACTGGGGCCTCTCGCTTTCGTTTGCAAGCACCTCGCTTCTTGCTGTGTCAAGTTACTTGAATTATACAAAATTTGTTTATTTGTTGTTTACTATTTCTTCTTGCGGGGTTTCAGTATCCAGCGATAAGTCATGGGGATCGAGATAACCGATGTTGAGTGACAAATTTGGCCCCCTTTTGTGCTCGAAGATTTTAGGGTTCGGTGACATAAAGAATCCACATAACCGATAAGAAAATGCTAAGACAAAGAGAGAATTTGGCGGTTCCACTTCAAAAACGTCAACTTAAAAGGGTTGGCGAGTTAACTGAGGTTCCTATAAGTGGGTTTCCACTGTATAGCACTTGTTGGAGAACTGACTGTTAGCCGTTCGTCATTGACCATGCAAGAAAGAAAAAATTATTGCCAAATGTCTTTAATATTCTGTGTGTCATTTATTGCCAATATCTGGTGGCTAAAAGTTGCAGTGCCCTTAATTACTGCAGTAAATTAAATTTAGAATACGCTTAAAATAATTGACTATTACTGACACTCTGTTTTGAATGCAGTGCAGAGTAAATTGCTGCTTTTTTACTGCATTTGTTGGGACAAAAAATGATTCTGATTCGAAAGACACCACACACAACATTGCTTTTAATAAAGTTGCAGTGGAATGAGACCAGCCTTATAAAAAATTATAATACTATTCAAACTTAATATAGGGCTGACACAATTTTTACTAGTTCATTAGAATAAGAAGATGGTGAATTTCAATATTATCTGGTAGATTGATCTGAGAATATTCTTTGTATGGAAGTCAGAGATTTGTTTAATTAAAAAACCCATTTTTAAGACTAATGCAGTTGTTGTATTAGGGTGTAAAATTGTATTTAATCTAATCTAAAGTTTTAATCCAGAGTGGAATGCTCTTTGCTGCATTCTTTTCATTTTATTTGGGGAAGGTGATTTAGTGTGGTTTACCTGCTTTGTTTAAATCTAAGAGATATAAATTTGAACCTAGCAAATGAGGTTTCTGCCAGAAGACTTAATACCAGGCATTAGATAATGATTGGCTTACCAATAATGCCTCTGTCATAATTAAGAAAATTATCAGAGATGATGTAGATAAACTGGTAAATATTTATCTTATTACCTCTCTATTATATTATTCAGCTTATAAACATTCATTTGTATTTTGATTAATTTTTAAAAAAATATATATTTCAAATTTACTTGTGTAATTATCTCCCATAGATGGTGATGAAAAAAATGTATTCTTAAAATGCTTATAATTGAGTTGGACGGGAGGGCCGGTGAGGGCAAGAATATAGGCTAAAAGGGGCAGTGGCAAGAAAAATGTTGAGAACCACTGTACTACATGGGATACATGAGCTTTTCAAATTTTAGGTGATTCACCTTCTTTCCTAAATATTCAGATTATAATTCATTCTGCTGTTTTACTATTCAGCTGGGAGAGAGGAGTTTTAAATCTGTCATCAGCATATGTCTGCAAATAAACTTTGAACAAACTGCTGTTTTTTCTCTCGGGGAAACGCTAAAATTATTGTTAATTGATACGACCAGTGTTTGGTTTGTCAGGTTCTGCTAATCCTTGAGAGTCTGATTCGAATACACAGTTTAGTCTCATTTCCTGGTTTCAAAATATCCAGTGATTGTAGGTTCTAAAGTAGGTTTTGGGAATGGTGATCCCTATTCTGGCCATTTTTTTTCCCTAAAAATTTCTTTGGCTACTACTACTACTAGTGAGGACAGTGTTACTAAAATTCCTTCAATTATACAAAACGCCTATGTGAAACATAATAAGGTTTTCTTGTTTAAATAACAAATATTTATTAAAAAAGTTATAATTCTGTGAAATGTTTATTTAATAGGTTCCAAGTATGATGACACCTGGAATATATGGAAATGGACCCTATCAAATGGGACCTATATTTCCTCCTAAGGGTGCTGCAGGAGACTCTCAAACCCCTCACCTTTGGAATACACCTATGACAGCTGCTCCATCTGACCCCAGTGAGATTGAGGTATAACTCCCATTTCTGTCACTACCATTTATTTAGCAAGGTAAAGTAGCCCATCCCTAGTTTAACTAAGGAGATACCCATCAAAGTAATTTTTACTGAAGAATTTCAAATAGGTTAGATAAGTCTATTTATTGCATTTGACAAAAAGATGAAGAAAGGACTGGAATAACTAAGTACATTCACAGCTGACTTATTTTTTTTGGTGGGATTCATCTTTTTTTATGCCAACATTTAGAAATCATTAATTACTTACTTTTAAAAATGTTTTCTGTGTTTTATGTCATTATCATATAATAATGACTTGTACTCTTTCAAACCCTAAGCGACAAATGTGGCTGTTTTAACACATTTCTATGTAAAAATAAAAAGCGAAAATCTTAATTAAAATGAGATTTGATAACCAAGGCACTAAATTGTGCTGCTCAGTTTAAATAACAAATTTAAGTTGAAATTGAACATCTAACTTTTTTTGTGTGATAGAGGCCATTTTCTTTTCTTTTTTTTCATTTCAGAGATGGCAGTCGTGGAATCAGTTAGATTAAACTGGCATGTAATAGATGTTCCTTCTTGTGTCTAAATCTTTCTTTTTCTTGTTTATTTTAAAATTGCCTTTACAAAGCAATTTTCTATCAGAATAAAGAATCCAGAAACAAATCAAGTCAGAAAATCCTTTATTTAATTTTTTTGTCCAGGATTTCAAAATAAAAGTAAAGCCATTTTTTTATGTGATGTATATGTGACAGAAACTTATTTCCCCTTTGTAACCTCATTTTACTTGGTCTTGTAGATGTATGGCCATGTAAAAAGTTTATAATTAAAATAGGTCAAATTTGATTTCCCTGCCTCTCTTCATCCCACTGCCCAGCAGTGATGGTTAGTGTTGACGAATTACACAATAAAATTCAGTTTGTGTGGAAGTAATAATGGCTTGTATGAGGAATTGAGCATTTGCAATATTATTTGCATGTTTTTCCTTATCTCCTTTTCTCATAAATAAGCAAAAAAACTGGTTTTTACAGCAGAGAGGCAAACCACATCCATGGATGCGGGAACTAAATTATGGCTTTTTTTTTTTTTTTTAAACACAAAATTAGATTGTACTTTGGCATGAACAAAACCTGGTGTCCAGGGCTAGGTTTGAGTCAATATTACTTTTTAACCAACTCCCTCTTGCCACATGCTTGGCTTGTCTGTAAGGCCTGAGGGAATTGGGCTAACAATGACATTTTGAAACATTTAAAATAAAAGTAAAGCAAATTAACATTTGTGTTGTTTTTCTTTCAAACAATTAAAACCTGAAATATTATATTAAGAGTGAATGCATTTTAAAAAATGGTAAAATTCAAATTAATTAGAAAACAGTTCTGACTTTCTGCAAAAGTAGTATAATGAAACTTTGATGACCATAAAGGTTTGCAAATTTTCAAGACACCAGTACCAGTACTGTTTAAAAAAATTTTATTACAAAATATTTATAAAAAAATTATTTTATAGTAATTTAATAGTATTAAAATACATGCACTCTTTTTCACAAAAAAACAATTTGAGGACATCAACAGTACAATAGATGTTCTATTACCAGCAATAGATATCTACCAGTGCCAGGTTTTACCTTTTCATTGATATAATTTGAAGATTCACTCAGATTTTATCAAAACAAATCTTCTATATAACTTATAATATAACGGTACTTCTTGTAAATCTTGTTGTTACGCACTGGCTTCTAATATGAGAAATAAATCTCCTATTTTAATTTTAATTGGCTCGTTGTAAGCAGTGCCTAACAGGACGATTCCATAGAGTCAACAGTATTAAACATACGACACCCAAAGCAGTTTCTAGTTACAATTAATAATATTTATTAAGTCTTAAGATAATTACAAAAGAAAAGAAAATATAATTACAGTATGGTAGATCTTGGACCGGTAAACAGTTAACACAGTTAGAATAATGTGCCAATGAATAATGATAAAATGCGAAATAAACATATGAGTATGAGCACACAAATACACAAAGAATAATACACGCCTCGTAAAGTTAATAATTATCTATCTGCATCTCCGTCCGTGCCTGTCAATCCCTTATATAGGTCGCGTAAGCTCTGCCTTCCAGAAAAGACTTATGACGTGTTGTTTACATTTCTCGGGTAATCGAGCACATTCGAGACAATACCAGGAAGACAGTCTAACATGTTTAATTGGTAAACACGGTTGTAAACAAGATACATCAAACGAATAGGCCATGCCCACAACAGACGTTAGGGGCCATCCATAAAAGACTTCCACCAATTTTTTGCTATTTTTTACCCCCCACTCCCCCTTTGTCCACTTTTGACTTGACCCCCCCCCCCCCCCCCCTCCCCCCCATTTTTTTCTTTTTTTCCCCCCCCCCCCCCCTTTTCCCCCTTTTCCTTTCCCCCCCCCCCCCCCCCCAGTTGTGGACGTCCAAAACATAAAATTTACCTAACTTAAATTAATGAATATTTTGGGAAAATGTACAACAATATAAAGAGTATATATTTACAAAGATTTTTTTTAGAAATTCCAATTATTTGCAGGCAAAATTCTAAATGAAATAGTAACTGTTCAAAATTTTTTTATTGAATCACTGTATTAAAAAATGTAATAAATAAATAATCCACCATTCTTCAATCAACGGAAAATTTGGACTGCAGCCATTCAAACATGTTTTGATAATGACAACATCTGTTCTTGAGTCTTCAATTGCTAATTCAATTTGAGTGGCAGTCTATTCCTCTGCCATATTATGTTCACTAGCAGGAATATTGCAATGGACGACCTTATGTTTTTTCATTGCCGCCTGTGATGGGAAATATTTACCGCAGAAACATATTCTCTTGGAAATTCTTCCAGCCACTGATGGACAATAGAGATCAAAAGGCATGGTATTGTAACTGTGATCGTGCAGTAAATTTGCAGTAAATTTATGCAAACTGCTACACTAAAAAAAACACTACAATGTGGACATCCACTTTGTCCTAAACCCCCTCCCCCCTTTGTCCACTTTAGTCCACTTTTTGCTGAGCCCCCCCTCCCCCCTTTTGTGTGGACGTCTTTTATGGATGACCCCTTACTGTCTGCTGGATTCTAATTTAGGTCAAGTAAAATTTAAGCACGGGGAATGTATGCTACATAACACTTGTATTAAAATGATTATACAATATACAAATGTTTAGGTAATTGCCTTCATCAATATAACAAAATAATATAATTACAAATTAAATTTACATAGTTTTCCTACCTATACCTAAAAAATGAAAGAAAAGAATGAGAATGGGCACAAGGCCCTCATGAAAACAAATGGAGAACAAATCAGTGGGTGGAAATAAAATATAAAAACTAGATAGACATTGCAACTATGTAAAATTTTGTGTTTTTACCTTTAAACTACATAGTAAAACAAAATAATGAGTTCAATTTTGACGCAAAATTAGTTAGTGTGAACTGAAAAAAGAATTCGAACAAATTTCCGTTCTATCAAATTCCTGTCGACGAAATGTCTTTCAAACAAAATTCGGATATGGATTTTTCAAATCTGTTTGGACAGGGTCTGTCATAGTGATAGACCAGTTTTTAAGAATTTAAACAAAATCAATCTTATATAAACATTATTTTTAATGAAAGGATGCTAGGAATAAATATAAATACATGTAGATTTATGATAGTTTGGGTAATGTGCTTTGACTAGAGAAGCAAAAATTTAATATAATGTGTATAGCTTTTTTATATAATTTTATAGCATTGATAATTTTGCTGAATGTTAAGATTTTAAATGTGATTTTGATTGCTACAAATACAAAATATTAAGACCTGTGCAATGAGCATCCATAATTGTTAACAACCACCTACTAAAGCATTTACAGGGATATAACAGCAATAATCAAAAACTGTCTTGAGTTACACTGGCAAAACTGGATGATCCAATCAGCAAGACTAATTCTTAATTCAGTGAGTACTATTAATATTACTGCCTGGTACATGAACATACCCTAAATAAGCATCAATGACACAGGACTGAGATTATATTCCATCATTAATATGTCGGCTAATAAGTAAGGCCAATAATAATTTTATTCACAATTCAGAGTGCATCAGTGCTTTATCTATTCGTGTCTTCAAGTCAGTGTGTAATTTTTTTACCTGAAACATAGAAAAACAAAAAAAGTTCAGTGAAATATTCATGTCAGGTATGTAGTGTAGGAACCAACATTACTGCTTATGGCAAATTCATCTTTTCCAAGTATATTTTTTCATAAGTATTTGAGCACACAAAAGCCAAAATCACATAAGTAGTCCTGGATGGCAGGTGCTCTATTTCTTTTACAATAAATGAAGAACTGCAGAATGTTCATTCATCAGATAGAGCAAAGAAAATTACAATAATGTTTTTTAACAGCTAAACAGATGATCTGTTGCAGCCCCATCTGTTGAGATACTGGTAATTTTGTTATATGAAAAGATGTTTGTTGGAACGAATCTTAAAAATTTGACTCACTTTTCTATTCATGAACTCATGCTTATCTTTTAACTCCTGGTGCCTATCTTTCAATTCATTTTCTGATGATGATAGCTCCACTTGCTCTTTATAAAATGCTTCCTTGCTTAAGCGGTTTTCAAAATGTTTGAGTTCTTCCTGTCAGTTCAATACATACAATAAATGTTTATTACACCACCAAGGGGAAAAATGTATGCTTTAATTACCAAAACAATTAAACAAAAATACCTTCAATGGGTACCTGCTACTTCGTAATAAAATTTAAAAATAACATTGAAAGGGAAGGTATCAATATTAAATTTTAATCTTTTTTCAATCTGAAATGACACTGCTCAGTTGTTAAAAGTTTTGTCAACAATGTGAACAAATTAAATACAGTAATCATAGCAATGGATAACAAATATTTTAACTTCATAAACCTTAAAAGAATTTTGTTCCTCCTCTGACCAGTTTGTCTTCTTGGCCAAAGCCCAAAGCTTAAGAACCCTATGGTCCTTGAACATAGGTTCACTGCCGGACAAAGTTGCTGTCAGATGTTCCAATTTCATGTAGCCATCTTTGATGTCTTTCTTTGTATTTTTCATGGCTGCTTTCTTATTGCTGACATCTTCGGTGGATAAACCTAGCTTTTTCTGTTCCAAATCCACTGTGTTATCTTCAGGATCTACAAATAAAATTAAAATTGATTAAGATAGAAATTTTCAATGGACAAATTTGATTGTAATGTGTATTCAGAACTTCAGGTGTGTAATGGGGTTCAGAACTGACATTTAACCTAAGACTCATGAATGAAAATGTTTTAAAATATAGTAGTAATATTAGAGAATACACATGAGTGACACATGAACATATTTTTAAAAAAATGTGTTTAGATATACCTGGTAATTGAATTAATACCACCACTCTGAATGCATCTACCAGTACATCAGAAATTTTACTTGACCAAGCTCAGTAATAAGCTAAATTTAACACTAATAAAAATGTGTTTGCTAATTGCATAAACTATGCAAAATCAAGTTTCACACTGATCGAACTTGTTCTAGTAAGGGGCTTGCTGTATATATATTCTTATACTTATAGTCAGGTATGATTCGCACACTCAAATATTTTTTTCACCTGGAAAATCATTTAATTGACGGTGAAGAAACTGATATTCTTGAATCCTCATCTGTTGATGCCAAAACTCCTCCCTCAACATTTTAAGATCTTTCTCTGTTGAGATTTAATTGGGAATCAATTATTTTTTCCATGGCATGACATTCATGACATGTTACAGGCAAAGTGGGAAAACCAGGACCAGGCATTCTATAGAATGCCTAGGCAAATTCTATAATGGCTTATGTATTTCCAACTTTGACTAGAATCATCAGGGATTCTAAAGAATGCCTCATACATGTTATTTTCTATTTTGACACTTGGTGTTACTATTCACTTAACAAATCCATGTCCAGTTTCAGTGGACTGTTGTGATGCAGTTGATCTGAGAGAGAGCTGTTTGTCCATTGGAATGTCCTTTAATGGCAATAAAGGCTTCTTGCACACAGAAAACTGAGATCTGGTATAAAAGCTGTTGTATTAAACTTTTTGTCGTGCCCAAGTGATAGTCATCATCATGCACGTCTATGATGATAGCCAAAATATTGCATGCATCACCACATCCTTTATCAAATTCAGGAATAGAATTTCATACTTTAGTACGGTATCAAAGTCAACTGGTGAGAAGTTATTGTCAGAACGTGCCATCATTTTACCAACTTGTTGTTCAAGATTACTTATGACAGCTTTTTAATTTTTTATATCATTTTTCTGATTATAACAGATTGGACACAACACGTGGGCACTACTCTTAGCTACAAGGACTATGACCAAAAATAACATGAATATTACGTCAACAGTTTGTACACTGATGTACGCCACTTGAAGCCTTCAAGCACACACAACATATGAAATGTTATAATGTAGATGTTTCATATGTAGATTCTTCAACTTGTGTCGCACATGTAGATAGATACTTGTGGTCTTGAAGATTTGAGTTGTGGTTTAGAAGTAGAGCATGTAGTTTCTTCAACTGGCATAGATGTTTGTGTTGGCATGGATGAAGGACCTGAAGGTGAGGTACCTTCTTTTCTGCAGTTTTAGCAATGTTCACTTGATCCCCCAACTGTTCATAACATTCATTAGTTAGATATACAGTATTAAAAGTTTTGCTCAGTTCAGAATAAAAACGTTTCATTTCATATATAAATTGTCACTAGATCACCATTTTAAGGTTATACCAAAGCAACCCAAACACGATGGTAAATGTCTCTTTCTGAAAATGCTTGAATCAAATTTGTGAAATGACACAAATGGCACTCACAAGCTTAATGAACCTGCTCCGATTTGGCACCACCTCTTACAGGCCGATTATAAAATGGGTTGCTTTTAAAAAGACAACTGACCTCAGTATTAACCCCCCCCCCGTGAATCTAAGCTCTTGATATGTGGCAGCTGGGAGACTTTCCCTATGACAATGAGGGTGAAGTTACCATACTCATTGCTATCACTCTCAGTAATTTGACACAGGTGAAACTGGCTAAGGTATACAGTGAACAATGAACTGACTCATCCCACTTAAGAAAATGGCACTCACAAGCTTAATGAACCTGCTCCGATTTGGCACCACCTCTTACAGGCCGATTATAAAATGGGTTGCTTTTAAAAAGACAACTGACCTCAGTATTAACCCCCCCCCCCGTGAATCTAAGCTCTTGATATGTGGCAGCTGGGAGACTTTCCCTATGACAATGAGGGTGAAGTTACCATACTCATTGCTATCACTCTCAGTAGTTTGACACAGGTGAAACTGGCTAAGGTATACAGTGAACAATGCACTGACTCATCCCACTTAAGAAAGGTAGCCAAAAATGAGCCTTTTATTTGCGCATTAGGATTACCTGGTAGTTTAAACAGAAAGTTATGATACAACAAGGACACAATCTGTTGTATCTCAGGCATGACGAACTTAATGTTGTGCTTCACTTTTATAAATCTTTTACTTTAATCCGCTGTTTCCATACATTGACTAGATCAAATTGAGCATTCAATGCCAAAGACTAATTTTAACAACCTAGTAAAAATGATAGTAATATCTGAAATAAAATTTCCTATTGAGGTTTCCACACAAAAAGTGTGGAGACTCTGACAATGTTTTGGCTGTATTCAAAGCCTTTATTTTAATTAGAAAACGTTCCGAAGCACAAACAAATCTCATTCGTTTCAGCTGCAACACTGCAGTCAACTGGACCTAGGAAAGGGTTTGTTAAAGCATGTATAACACCAAGAATTAAAATAGAAAATGTAAACAATACTGATTCAGACTGCTGCAGTAAATAAAATAAAAACTAGAGATTTCTGATAGACATTTAGATTTTAAAATGTTTTTGCCACTGCATTTTATTTTTTGTTTATAAAAAACTGAAATTCCCTTCATGTTATTGTTATCACATACTTTGCCTGTAACATATATACTATAATCCTTACCCAAATCCATTGTTATTTTTAGATTACATAATTGTATTAGGATAAAGTAAGACTGAAAACCATTTAAAATACATTACAATGCCCATGCCCATGTAAAATGTTTTTTCATAACTTGAATTGAAACAATATTGCTTTATACCTGTAAATCCTGATTCTTCGGCTCGTTTCCACATTGATTGGAGCTTAGGATCCTGAAATTGTGAACTTTTCTTTTCCTGATCATGGTCAGGGATTTCATTGCCAAAAAACACATCTTCTAAGCCAAAGTCCTCAATAATTCCTTAAAAGTTAAATTTAATTTTTAGACAGCATTCATATTGGTTTGAGTATTTTCAAAATCTAACTTTAAAAGGGGGAAATAAAAAAACTAAGAAACATTATTACTAATAATATTAGTTACTTACAACACTTCTTACATAAACCCACTCCTGTAAAATGCAATATGAAGCACTAAACCTAATTTCAAATACCGGAAGGCAACTGCCTTAAGTACTGTGAAGCACTGAATGACATATTTTGCTTCAAGGATGCATATAAAAGCAATATAATTAAGTTTAAGTAAAAGGAGAGACCCATACTTCTATAACTTGCAAGTACCCTTGCTTCATATTGACCATCTTTGTCAAAATTATCTCCTTTCATTTTCTTTAAATGTAACTCTTGTCTGTCGTGTACTTGTAGGTCTGCATAAAGCTCTGCCAGTTTTACACTTGAAAGTCTCTGATCAAAGAAATAATGAAATCAATTTATTATATTTACAGAATTAGAATTAATTAGACTAAAGATGTGAAAAAGGGTGATAAATTAATCTTGCATTAGTTCAAAGCAATATGACATATGTCTGAAATATGGTAAAAATGTCCTCATTTATTATTATTCATTAAAACTAAGTTTTTGATAAACTTCATACACTGAATAATGTATGTCAATAATTAAAGTCTTTTAAAAACAAAACAATAAATTAAATACAAATTTAACCAAGTTATATGATCTCCTGGTCGTGGTCATTCTGGTCTAGACTTGACTTAACAGACTGGATAGAAGCTTTGTCTAAAAAAATTCGTACCACTGAGTGAAGACAGTGGTTTCTCTAAATCCAAGTCAAACAAATAATTATATGATGATTGATGTATATGAGTTAATTGTGTGCTTTACAATTTATTAGTGATACTAATTAACTTTAAGGTATTGGTCAATTTTACCAATACCATAAACCAATATGCACTCTATACAATCAACCCCTTCAGTATCTTGCATATGCTGATGACATAGCACTGTTAGGGAAACGTAGTAAAGACATATCAAAAGCTTTTATTGAATTAGAAGATGCATCCCTACAAGCAGGGCTGGAAGATAACCAAAAAACAAAATACATGACTATAATAAGAGAAGATCAGACAGAAGAAGCCATCAAAATTAGAAACCAAACTATTGAAAAAGTAAATCAATCAAAATACCTAGGATCTTTATTAAATGAAAGAAATGAATTTCTAACAGAAATAAAAGAAAGAATATCAGCCGTAAACTGGGTATACTTCAGTAGTCAGAAAATACTCAAAAGAAAAATCATTACAAGAAAAACAAAGAAAACAATCTAAAAAACTGTAACCAGACCAGTTGTAACATACGCAAGTAAAACTTGGATCCTAACAAAAAGGCAGAAAGCCTATTAAACACATGGGAGAGAAAAGTTATCCAGAAAATATATGGACCAAATAAAAAATGAATATGGATGGAGAATATGAACCAACCAGGAAATATATAGTCTATAATTATAATATAATGATCCCACACTAGTAGCAAAAATAAAAAAAGGATAGGCTATGCTGGGCAGGACACTTAGAAAGAATGCCAAATGAGTAAAGAGGGTAAATCACCATAACCCAGAGGAAAACGGCTCAAAGACAGACCTAGGCTTAGATGGATGGATGATGTGGAAAAAAATCTTCAGCAGCCGGGAATCCAAGCATGGAAAAATTGAGCCCAAAGAATAATTTCAGCTTTCCGGGGCTCAATTTGTTATAGTGGCTATGTGCATGGAAAAGGTCTGAGTGAAATGGATGGACATTGGCAAATTTTAAGAAAGGTAAAAAGTAAAAACCAATTTGAAATAATAGCATGACAACCATTTAATATATACCTTATACTTTTTATCAATAGTTACTTCTAGTAGTAGTATTACTTATTACTACTTAACTAGAACTAACTACAGAGTACGACAACAGATCAATGCAGAGAATTGGTGCCATGACGTCATTTCGTGATTTTTGTAAAGTTTGTGTTTTAGATTCACTCCCCTTATTGTTTTAACTAGAGTTAAATTTTCCTTAATATTAAGATGGCTATTTTTAACTTAAATTTTTATTGGTTGATTAATTATAATTTTTAAATTTCATTGGTTGGATCATAATAATAATTTTTTTCCCGCCATATTTTGATGGATTTGGACTTCGCGGCAGGCCTTAAATTTTATTCATTTTCTGGATATTCTTTTAGGTGGAACCTGAAATAAAGTGTATAAAAGTGTATTTCATGAAACTGTAAGTTGGGTTTTCATTATTTCATTATTTTTTAATTATTTTTGGACATTTTTTATTGTTTTTTGTTCATTTTTATAGTTTTCTTGCCACAGTGTGTAAATGCTACGTGTTTTTTACTTGCACTGCAAGTTGCAGCTTTAAGGCTAGTTTTAGGGTTTGGGTTAGGGATAGATTTAGGGTTCAGGTTAGGTTTAGGGTTCAGGTTAGGTTTAGGGTCAAGATTTAGATTTAGGTAGTTCAGGTTAGGGTTAATACCCAGGTTAGGTTATTTTAGGGTCAATATCCAGGTTAGGTTTAGGGTCAATACCCAGGTTATGTTTAGGGATAGATTTAGGGTTCAGGTTTGTTTTAGGGATACATTTAGGACATTTTTTCATTAATTTTTAATGTTTTATTCCTAATTTTAGCAAACGTGAGTCATTTTATTTTTCCACTGCCGCCATCTTGGTTGCCCCAACCCGTGAACATGTAAAAGATCACAGGTCACGGCCGTGTGATACGTCATGGCACTAATTGTGGGTAATCTTGCAGTTCAGGTGTGTACATTATTTCCAACCGAATTTCGTTTTATCGCATGTAAACTTATGTGTATTCTTCATTAAATTAAATCCAGGCAGTGACAGTTGACTAATACTGAACTATAAAGCGCTTATTTTCATTATTTTCATTTCTAAAGCGACTTTGAACATCCCCCAAACTTCCATAGCTCCTTTTGTTTTGTATTTTTACCCTGTTGCCAGATGTTTTATCACCAATAAGTTTGTATGCTAAATGAAATTTTCAAACTGTGGGCATGTTCACAAAAAGAATGATATGAGGGGAGGGGGGTTGAACTTAATTAGATTTTTTGTCATTTTATAGGAGCCAAAAAATTTTTTTTTCTTCTTATATGGGGTGTATAAAAATAATTCCAAACAAAGGCTCCTGCATTGGCTTGGGTGAATGGAACGAGATCAGACTTAGTACACATACACTTGATTATACATATTCAAAAACCATTACTGAAGGGTAATGAACTCATAATTTTAATTTTTCTTAAAACTAGCAATAAACACGGCTTCGCTCATGATGGCATTCGGAAATGAACATCTTTAAAAGCCCTTTAACTAACACCTAAATTATTTATTTATTTATTTATTTATTTATTTATTTAGGCATTTTTATAATAGCGCTTACCTTAAAACTCTAAGCGCTTTACAATTATTAAAAACATGTAAACTAACTAAAATAAAAATGAGACATTAGAATAGTAACTACTATACTATAGAAACAATTAAAATGGCTATAAAACGAGGACACTTTGGCACGTTTCGGCCTATATTACAGGATTAACCCGAGACAGAAAATGAGGCAGGGCAAGGAGGGTGCATCACAGGTCAAAGGCGGACCTAAACAGATGGGTTTTAAGGGACTTTTTAAAAGTGGACGAGGTTTCACAATGACGGATATGGAAGGGGAGCTGGTTCCAGAACGTGGGCCCATGGAAGTAGAAGGAGCGCTCACCGATGGTCTTAGTTTTGGTTCTTGGGATTGAGAGGGTTCTATTGTCAATTATGGCCAGGGCCTGTAAAAAAACAGGAAACTAGAAAATGGCAATCTGGCATGTAGGGAGAATTTTAAAAACACAAGAAAACGGAGAGATCGTTTACGCTACCGGCTATGTACCAACAATGGGGGCTGTAAAATCAATGAAAAGAAAATTTAGTGCTGTACAATTTAATGCTAGTTTTAACTAATACTGTCTGGACTAAATTTTATGAGGAATACACATAATTTTACAAGCGATAATAAAAAATTCAATCAGAATTAATTTAATATATGCACCTGAACTGCAAGATTACCCCAATTGTCTGCATTTACCCGACAACATACTCTTTATTATTATCTTAGTAAATTAGTTCTTAGTCTTTTTAGTATTCTTAATCTTATTCTTAGATTTATTATTCTTTCTTAACTTTCATTCTCATTCTTATCGTCTTATTATGAATGACAATGACGGTACTTGGATATGAGGCTATTTTGACGCAATCGCGGCCCATAGGGTTTTTGGGATGCTTTTTTGGGTGTGCTGGATGATAGGGTTCACTAAAAAAATTATTTTTTCGCACTAGAAACGTTGGATCAACGAACTAATTACTGTTCTAGTTATGTTAATGAACGGGCTTTAATGACATCCATTTTGTTTGCAGTAATATCAGTATGTAGTAAATAAAAAAAAAGGGAGAAAGCAGCTAAGTTTCATTTATCAATATTTTGAAAAATATTCGTTGTCCCATTTAAATCGACCTGTAAAATTGCATCAAAAATGACCATGTAAAATTTCAAGTCTCTAAGATGGCCATAACAGTGTTATTTTTGGCCAGAACGAGTGTTAAAACCCGATAAAAAAAAAAAAATGTCCGAACACGAAAGTGGCAAACCAGAAACAGTATTATATATGAATAGTTAACAGCTAAGAAAGCTCAAGAAATTTTATAATGCTTAAATCAATCAAGTTCCATCTTAATTAATATTAGGTTTTATTGTAATATCTATACAATAATAGACATATTAACTAATATTTTATCCAATATTGCTCCCTTTCAAATTAAATCATAATTTTTATTGTTAAATTGCCTCCATTATATTTCCTGTTTTAAAACAAATTACGTTTGGTCTTAATTTTTTTAAAATTATTTTTTTTTTTTGAAGTTTTTTTATTGACATTAAAAAATATTTTAAAAATAATCTATGTAATTTTTTTAGTTTTTAAAGCAACAAAGATGTTGATAATACGATGATGAACACTTCTGGAAAGTTTCTTATTATTTGTCCACTCTGCTATAAAGTTATGAGCCTTTTCGTAAAATTTTTTTTGTAAAGTGGTCACAAATCTCAATCTCAATGTTAAAAAAAGTGATTTTTTATTCACAAAAAAAATCATAACTTTTTAACCAAAAGTGCTACATGAAAAATAAAAACATTATTATTTCATTGGGAAAATTTTGACTACGATTGCCACTATTTTCTCAATGGCCGCCATCTTGGTTAACATGTCACGTGAAGTCATCTATCCCTATGCCTAACCTAACCTGAACCCTAAATCGATCCTTATGCCTAACCTGAAACCCTAAATCGATCCTAATGCTTAACCTGAACCCTAAATTGATCCCTATGCTTAACCTGAACCCTAAATCGATCCCTACGCCTGACCTGAACCCTAAAATAATTTAGTAAAAATAAACAAAGGGAAGTCACTCCCTGGAAAATAAGTCGTGGCAATCGTATCTAGGATTGGCTAAAAAAACGTGGCAATCGTATCTAGGATTGGCTAAACAAAGGCTATCTTACAGATGTATTCATTTCTTATTTCATTCAATTTGAAAATTTTATCTAAGTTAAGTACCTAAACTAATAGTAATTGACTATACTATGACTATGAATGTACCTCTTGTGCTTTGGACCATAATAAATTCGTTTTCTTCATTCTAAACGGCTTGTCTTGATTTTCCAAGTTGATGTCTGTATTTGCTGTCTGGGAATATTTATTACTGTGAGAAAACTCTATAAGAAAAAGGGTAAGGATAGAGTAAAGGATCAAAATTTGTTTTAAATGTTCCATTTTTTTTTTTGTCCTGTACCTGCAGCGATAGGAAAAGGGAGCTCTTTAATTAGGGAGAACAAATAAGTTGTAATTTCATCAGTACAAATCTCCCCAGATTGATGTCCAAAGAAAAACGCCGGGGCGAGAACAAATTAATAACAAAACATTTGAATGATGGAAATGAATGATCAGTACAGTGAACTTATCTTAAAATCGTATGATACTTTAACCAATATTATTCGATGAGAAATGTATAAATAAAACTTAGTGCAAGTTTGATAACTTAAAATGAGAAAAACAAATAAAGAAAGTTTAATTAATCCAAATGTCGGTATTTAGATTGTAATGAAAAAAGACTAAAAAAGAAACAAATTATTAGGACTAGGACTGCTGTAAAACTGGTAAGTTAAAAGACTTGTGAATTTGATTTAACTTAGAAGATGGTTAGGTACGGTAATAATTTAGTTGCAATAAATTAAACGCCAGTTACGGGTGAACATAATAAAGCGATTTAAATTAAAAATGTCTTATTTAAAATTGTACATAACATTAACAACAATTAACTACATTACAATTAAAGACAATTACTAATTACATTATTAATTCATTATTTCAATTTTCCAACAATTAAAACTTAAATTTAAATAAAACAACACTTCAACTCAACTGCAAGTTTTATAGAAAAAGTGAAAGTATTTAATGTTTTCCAGTGTGTTTGTTATGGTAAGTTATACACTTTCGTTGGATTTCAAACGGATTTTTCAGATATTTAAAAATAAAAAAAATATATAGTATATAGATCTAAGTCGATCATCAACATTTTAAAAAATTTATTTAGTTTCTTGTAAATTCTAACGACAGTGCGATGAGTGTGCGGCCTGGTCATATTTTTTTTAAAGTGACTTGGTCCTGGTTTGGTGGAAGTTGAGCCCAAAGAATAATTGCAGCTTTCTGGGGCTTAATTTGTTATTGTGGCTATATGCACGCACAATCCAACTGACACTTCCAACATGCCATTTTAATAAAAAAACATACTTTTGTTACATAAATGTGTGTACCTGGAAGTAGCAATTAATTTTTTTAAATTTAAAGGATAATATATGAGGGATTGTGTTCAATGCTGTGTGAAGGAAATAGTTTGGGTTTTTTCAAATATGATTTAAAATGATATACCCCCACTTTTTCTTCTATTCTCTCATACTCATGAATTTCTTTGTTGCTTTTTTATTGTTGCTCTTTCGCCAATGACCGATGGTTGTTATATAATGACACTGATACTAGACATTACCCTTGCACCCCTCTCCCTTACCCTTAGTGTATAAAGAATAAACGGAGAGACTCTTGAAGCCTTGGGGGAAGTCACGCGAACAAATTTATGCAGAATTAACTGGTGAATCACATTATCAGACCAAGAAGAACCAGGATCTTGGCATTAAATTAACAGATCTAAGAATGACATCATCAGAGTTTCAGTGTTGTGCCATAATCAGCTGATCAGAGAAACAGCATGACACAGCAGGCCTAGGTAAGAGACATAATACGATTCCACCAACATCAAAGAGCAACCATTGCCCAAGTTACCAATGGTCCAAAGAAATCGTACGCGCACATGATCTTGATGTAACACCTTCGTTAAAGTTTGGCTAGATGTGAAGAAGAAGGGATTTATAGCGTGCTTGGAGCTCAGGAGTAAGGTATTTTTGCTCAGAGTGGGAGGTGTTTAAATTTATTACTGGTCCAACCTCAAAAAAATATAAATTAATCAATAAGAAATTTAAAAAGTGCAATTTGTACTTAGTAATTTTAATTAATTAAAAAAAAAATTGATGCTCAATTCCTCTAGCAGCAATGTTTTTCACATTCTTCTATCAGCTGTTTTGTCCTACTCATCCACCAGCTGTGTTGTCTTACTACTTGTCTACCAGCTATGTTGTCCTTCTTATCTACCAGCTATACATGCATTTCTAATTCATTGTTAATAAGATAGGTAACTGATAATAATAAACACATTTCTTTAAACACTCAGCACCCTCTTCAACCAAAGATCCTTTTTTAATTTCGCTGAGCTCAGAGTGGAGCTGGAGATGACAAATATTTATCCAGATTAGAGCTGGAGTGGAGCTCGGACAAAAAAATCTTGCTCCAAATCCCTTTCAAGAAGAATGATTTTTGTCGGGGGTGGGGGAAAGCACTCATAGACTATGTCACAATTTCTGTGTTGGGGGGGGGGGGGGGTTTCCATGAAATTGTGCTATTGTGTATAACTAAATAGAGTAACAAAAAATAAATACCTAGTCTACAAAATTCATCTTAATATTATGGACAAAGTTTTGCTGTTCAATACGGCCATTTGAGGATTATTTCCTGGTCCATGTATAAAAAGTTTTTGAAAACCACTCTCGCCTATTCTTTCAAAATCAAAAATGGTATTTTAAACATGTGAATTAACTTCGAAAATCTTGTTTGCATTTGCTTGTACACAAAGGATAATTAATTGGTTTTTAAAAAAAAGGCAGGTGCCGCTTGTACTGGTGACGCCGCCAAAAGACTAATTCGGCCATCTGTGGATTTATTAGTGCAACCCTACTTTCAGCCTGCATTTTAAGACGATCCCATTTTTTTTCACCTCTGTTTAATTATTTTATTAAAAGGATTCCCTCATTACCCACAATGCATTCATTTCTTTTCACAGTGTTATGAAGCTCATCATCTCAGCAAGGTATCTCTACTCAACAAAGTCTTTATTAGTTTTGTCAAGAGATTAGAAAAGGATTTGTCAAGTAATTCATTTAGTGAGCACTCGGCTCAACTTAATGAATAATATTTTACCAAAATGGATCCTGAATTAAGCATGCAAAGTGCATTTCGTACAATGCTGATTGAACTGTCATCAAAGATAAGCCCTGAAGAATTAAAAGGCTTGATATTCCTCAGCAAATCTTATAATATCCCAACGAGGATCAGGGATAATATGAAAAGTGCTGTTGATCTTTTTGAAGCTCTTGAGGAACGCAACAAACTCTCTGTAAATGACCTTGATACTCTAATACAAATGTTGAAGACATCCTGCAATAACAGGACTGATGTTGTTAACATTGTTGAGAATTTTAAAAGAAATTTTGGGTTGGCAAACAATCCAATCATCTGCCAGCCAACAGACTTTGGTGGAAACCAGGCCCCAATACAAGAATCAGGTATGTTGTTTATTGGCTTTAAATGTGTCAATGTTGTCTATGTCTTTTGTGCTCCTTTTTTTTGGGACAAGTGAATTATAAATGCAAGCTTCATGCAGGTTAAAGGTAGATGAGCTTACCTAGGACTACTCTGTGTGTTGCACGAGACTCTGTGTGTTGCAGGAGTTTTGAGTAGCCCATATTTTTAGAGATTCACTCTGGGTAATTTTATTTAGGTTCCACTTCACCCCTGGGCATTTCTGAGAAAGCAGTTGAGGGAACAGGGCAAGGGAGCATGGCAAAGTATAGAAGCAAGAGAGGGTAATGGGGAGAGCGCAGGGTTTAGAGAAACCAGTAGGTGGATGAGTTTGAAGTGAGCATGCATTAGGTGCAAGTGGGTTTGATTTGACATTTCATGCTTATTTCACAATTGATCCAATTATATTGTCATTTCTCAAGGAGATTGTAATATTGACCGTTATGCCAGTCCACAGGACCAAATCATTTGAATCCACAAGAACATGAGAAGCTTAAGTTAACAAATATTCAACCCTCCATTTCAATTTTTAAGCAGACTATCCCAGGTTGTAAAATATTGATTCCCCTCTTTGAAATATGGGCAGATTTCACATTTCTCGTGTTTGCCCAGTCGGTGTGGATTTTTTCAATTGTTTATCTAATCTGTTCAATTCTACACCTGTAAGTGTTAAAGAACTCAAGTCCTTGTTCAAGTTATCCTTGTTTAAGTTATTTTTGTTTAAATTCTCATGTGGCATTTATCTCAGTAATAAATCCTTGTTCTTGTATTTTGGGTCATCCACTAACTCAATCATTTATTGTTCAATGAATTCATTTATTCAGTTAATGAATAGCTATTAACTTTTAGATTTCCTTCTGGGAACTCTTATATCATTAGAATGAGAACCTTGTTACCAACAGTGGTACATTCTTGGGATATTTACTAGAGGTTGTGTGACTTAGAACAAGTGTTACAATGACCTAATTGACTTAACATTGTGTGCTTCTTATACAACCATTTGTTATACCGGTACATAGACTGCTTGGCTTTCTTATATGAAACATTGGGAAATGGCGTCAGTGGGTTGTCAAGCTCTTAATCCCCCCCCCCCCAAACGCCTCCACACAGGTCAGACGCCGGGTCTCCCCACTGCCAGACCGTGCTGCGGCGCGCCGGGAACCTCCCCCCTGGCCTGAGGGACATTTGGTCGACCAAAAATGCTGCGTTTAAAGCGTTCGCGGTCCACTCTCCCGTGAGTCTGGTCAGGTTTGCTTACACTCCGGAGGAAGGTGTTGCGTTACCACCCCCAACTGCCCAGGAGTCTTTCGGTTGGGTTAAAAGATGGGACAATGTGAAATTTAAAAAGTATAATTTGTAATTTCAATGAATTTTTTAAAATCCCACCTTCTTCACATCTAGCCAAACTTTAACGAAGGTGTAACATCAAGATCATGTGCGCGCTTTCTTATAAATAATTAGGCTGTGATAAAGTTCATGTTTATTTTGTATACTTCACTCTTTAGTTCTCAGTATTGTACACATCAATCTTTTGGTACTTAAACCCTAAGAATTTACACAATATGCATATTCCTACCCCTAAAAGAGAGCATAAGCGAGAGAAGAGATACTAATTTAGGGTGATGTGGGAGAAATTAAAAGATTAGGGCAATGTGGAGTTGGGAAATAGACAGAACGTTCAGGGAGCGTTTTTTTATGCTGACTTTTTATTTCAAACATATTTTATCATTTTTGCAGGTTTTTTAGCTGAATTTACATATCTGAAGAGCAAACTTGGTAGAGAAGCGTTACATTTTTTGCGGAGATTGGGCGTAGATGATGATTATCTTGATCAGCTCCAGGTAAATCATCCAAGGGATACAAAAGAGGTTATACACAGAGCTCTGAGACACTGGGAGACATCTAACCATCTTCAACCATCAAAGGAAAAACTTATTAAGGCACTCAAAGCTGAACATCGAAATGACCTAGCACAAAAAATAGCAAGCAGCGACTTTTCGGAAGAAAATATAATTACTTAGCAGTTAGCACTATGTATTTAGTATAAGCTGGATTGGGTTGATATTCAGTAATAATATTTGTTTTATTTAAAAAATATCAAGCTGAGACTTTCATACATTTGTCCCTCAAAGTTGAAACCCTGTTGACATGCATCCTAAACTGGCCAGGATATCATATTTAATTTTTGTTTGAACTATTTTCTATTAGTAGTCTATTATTAGTAAAATTAAAATGCCATATTAGCCTTGTTTTAAACTCTGTATGGTACAGAGTGTCTCTGTGTATTCTTACTCTGTTAATAAGATGAGATTGATTCTTTCAACAGTTTAGACATTTAAGCAATGAGAATGACCTTTCACAGCCGTCACCGCTGTCAACAAATCTTTTATGAATTCTAGTACAAGAAATAGTCTAGGAAATCTTAGATTGCAAGAGCTTTTGGTCTGGCTACAATATAACACATATATTTAAAAAGTACTTCACCACATCATACCTTAATGGCCTGACACATTAGAACTATGTTATTTGGATAATTTAACTGATACATTATTTAAAAATATCCCACAATACCCCAGCTTATATGAAATGAAGAAATCATGTCTTATAGTGTCAGATGGTTTTAAAAAATCTTGAGGGGCATCTGCATTTAATGCTAGCACTCAGTAGGAGAGATGGAGGGCTTATCACTGTTTGCCTTGTTAGTAAGCCATAATACAAATTTTGCCCTCGTCTAATTTTTCTGTGTTTTTCTTAATTTGAATGAAAATATACATTGATTATAGTTTGATATAGATTTTAAAAAAAATTCTTTTGTTACTTATGATGTATTATAAAATATAATAAATGAAGGACTGCGTTCAAGGAAATAGTATAACAAGGTATGTGGAAACTTGAATCAAAAGACAGGACAGTAAGATAAGAACATTTCGGGTAAGAGCCTTCCTCGACAGACAGGACAGATGCAAATACAAGAAATAGAAATAATGAAGATTTTTGTTTAGAAATGTTTTGTTCACTCACAAAATTGGAATTTAGCACATTGTTTTACTGGGCTTAAATAATGAAGCAATATTGGCCATATGAAACAAGGCAGATAATATACAGTTCATTATTGTGGGATTTTTTAATATAAAAAATGCCACAACTAGACACAAAGTATGGGTGAACCATTATACATTAAAATCTGGTAGCTCATCCCATTACAGCTATTATATTCTGAGAGAAAAAATATCCATGGTAAAAAAAAATATCCATGAACTTTTTTTCATTCTCTATCAAAATTAAACTATTTGGAGGTTTAACTGCACTACTTGAATTTTACTGTGTCTTTGAAATGTGTCTTTATCAGACTAATATAGTGGGGAAAGTCATTAAATAATTTGTGGTTTAAGTTAACTTAAGTCTTAAATTTGCGTTATGTTTAGAGAGATCATTATCATTGATATAAAAGTAAAAGCATAAGATATAAAATGCAGGTATTTTGTTTGATGAAGATGCTCTATTGCATATTTTTTAAAGGTACATTGTGTGTGATTTTGATGCTGTGTCACAAATGTGCTACGGTGCTGTAAGATTCTGGCTTAGGGCATGGTATGAAATAAATTATTTATTTGCATGTTCTTGTTTTATTTCGTCCTTTTCCATTCCTTGTCATTCCCATTTTTCATGTTTTGTCAAGTCTTTCCAAGTCATCATTGTATTTGAACAAGTTCTATTTATAAAGAATTCATTTTGAAAGACTTTTTTTCTACTCACAAATCCATCAGGTTTACAGCATAATTTTGTGTTGTCACATGTGAACACCCCCCCCCCATGTTCGGGGGATTCAGTCTTCCACATGTTGACCTGTAAGGTGGCATCTGAGTTGATGACACAGAGATACTGGTCCGTTATGCCAGGCTGAGGGACGGAGTGGGTTTGGCGTGGCGAGTGATGGGGAAACAGAAAAGATGATTAAAAAACAATAACCTTACTCTTTGGCTTACATGTCCTAACTGTAGGATTTTGGGATGGGATGTGGGAGGTGTTGGGGCAGGGCATTTCGGCAATCATTAGCTTTTGATCAACAAACAGAAAGCAATACCTTTTTTTAAATGCCTGGCTAAAGAGCTAAGTCACTATACCAGGGATTTGTAAGCATTAGTTGTAACTTCAAACTAAAAAGTAGAAACACAAAATTATAATAAAAATAACTTCTTAAAAAGATTTAAAATTTCTTAAAATTCATTACAGGTGCGCAAAGAAAGTCTGTACGGCAAATATTTAAAAAAATTAGAAACATTAAAATATATACTGGTAGCAGTATAAGTTTCTACATTTAATTGGAATTCTTTGGCTTCATAGAATGCCTTATTACTACCCTTCTACACAGGCTTCCTTAGCATAATGAATTTTAAGAAAATGGTTTTCTACTTTTTATTGCATTTAAAACTGTTTTGGAAAGAAAGTCTTTCTTCATAAGCTATTTTTATATTAGGTCATGTAAGCAAAATGTGAACTTGTATTTATTATGCTTTATTTCTTCGTTCTCTGTATATTTATTCTTTTGTCTTTTCCTACGGTGTCATGGTAATGCTGCCTGTCTGTTGACAAAGAAGTGAAGGGGCTCAAATCGTCTGGGCCTATGGGTACTTAGCTATTTTGGAATAGAATTTTAAGCCAAGTAAGACAGTTGCAAGATCACTCACAGTTGTAAATGGCAGTGCAGAGAAGGATACAGTACTTGTAACTTCTTTCCATGAATCAGAATCAGGAACAGTATTCTTTGGGAGGATGTAAAATGAACCTTGAGTATAAAACCTCAACCACCAAAATTAAATTAAAAAAGACAGCCACCTTGGTGTGGGATGAACAATATTCTCTGTGTTGTGAGAAATAACTGTTGGCAGTAATGTTACAGCTGGGAAATCTGGAACTTAAAAAGTCCTTAACAATTAAACACTGTTGTTTTTTTCCTTCTTCTTCCTTACATTTTTTTTTAAAAAACCAACTCATATGAAAATCTAATTTTTGTTGAATATGTTATCTCATCTCTGTTAGTTCAGGCCCCTTAAACTTAAACTCACACTGTATGATCGTCAATTTGTCAGGTGAGAGAAGACACCAATGAACTTCTGTGTTAAATTTGACCTTTATGAATAAAATTATTTTGTAAATTGTAAATGGACAACCTTTTAACATGCAAAACTTTCACTGTACATTGCTGTTAAAAAGAAATGTTATTAAATGCATGCTTAAAAAGAAATGTTATTAAATACATGCTTAAAAAGAAATGTTATTAAATACATGCACTCTGTGTGGTTGCTTAAAACATGTTTCAGTATTATGAATACTCCTTATTTTGTCACTAAATCAGATGTCTTCGCTATTTTTTTTCATTCTAGTTAAATAAGGGGATAACATGAAATATTTAAATTTATCATCATCACCAGTGGCACTGCTGCCCAAGTAGGGCCCTGGCTGGTCCACCACATCCTTCCATTCCTATCGATCCATGGCTTTCCGCATCAATGCGCGGACCCCGAGCTGGTTTAAGTCCTTCTCTACATCGTCAATCCATCTCAGTTGATATCTGCTGAGCTGTCTGTCCCTAGTTATATGCCTGTAGATCACTTTTGCTGCTGTACAATCCGACATCCTCTAGATATGTCCTGTCTAGGGGGGTCTGTCTTTTTAAATTGTTGCAATTATGGGTGGGTCTTTGTACAGTTGATAAAGCTCTTGGTTTTTGCGGATTCTCCAACCATCATTGCCTGTCACATTTAATGTTAGTTTGTGAATCAAAGTGATGATTCAAAACATTGACTGGAGCAAAATGAATGTAAACGAATTTGTTGGTTGGAGGATAACTTGTGCCTCTTCTATTTTTGCAATCCCAGGGCTAGGGCTAATTGTCCAGTAATATTTGTCACAATTGTTTCACAATATAAAAGAAGATAGGTGGACATTTTTTTATCCAAACTGTACATTGCCAAGGGAATAATAAATTTCCCTAAAGCTAAGGGACGCGACTCAAAAAATGTAGATCAAAGAAAAGTTTAAAGGATTAGTGAAAGGAAAACGTAGAAATAGAAATGGCATTTTAGTGAGTGTGTGTGTGTGTGTGGGGGGGGGGGGGTAAATTGTTTCGGGTTTAATTTTTAGATGTTGTAATGAAAAAAATTTAGGAAATTTAGAAATGGCATTTTAGTGATAGGTGGGGGAAACAAGTTTCATAATTCATTTTTAGATGTTTAAAAACAAATAATAAAATATAAGTTGTTTTAAGCTCACGTGACATCACATTTTATTGGTTAGTTTAAGGTATTGAAAATTCAACAACAACAGTTGTGACCATTTTGTCTCCCAATTTATGAGCATTACACGTGGCATAACTTCCATCTTGAAGAGACACCACTTCAGTTACACGACGAATGCACAAGTCATCATAACATCAGTGATGTGTCAGTGCCGTCTGGCAGTCAAAGTGACTGTTTATAGAGAGCACGTCATAGTCTTTTCATGGAAATCATGCCCCCCTGAAGTCAGTCTATTAAAGAGCCAAATGATCCTACTAACTACTACTATTACTACGTTACTTCAACCCAATCCTAATCTTATGCAATTCTGTAATGAACCCTGAATTCAAAATACGTGGTGTTTACTGATCAATGAACTACAATAAAAAAATGTGTCCCCCAAATGAAATTATTTGTGGAAAAAGTCAACATCAATCAAGCACAACTATTGCATTAATCAGCTTTTTAAAGTTATTGCTCCGCACAAAATTAAAATTAAGCTTCAGGGTAGGGTTTCCCAATCTGATCTTATCTCCATTCCGTGCCTAATGCTGTGTTTAAGTAAGTCTTGATCTTTACAAAAATAGTCTGATATTAATTTTTGAAAAGTCTACATTTTATTAAATGTATAACTTTTCCCCTAAACTTATGAAATTTAACTTCTACCCTTTGAGGTGCAAGCAACCACAGGTTGGGAAACCCTGCTTCGGAGGAGAAGGCTTGATTGAATTATTAGGCCTATATAATATCCGGGTATTTTTATATTCAATTCTTTTGAAAAAAAGGGGGGGGGGGAACGAGTACGTTTTAAACGCGGGTCAGTTCCGTTTCAATGTCCACTGCTAGGCTGGCGGGGTCTATGAATATAATATCCGGGTATTTTTATATTCAATTCTTTTGAAAAAAAGGGGGGGGGGGGAACGAGTACGTTTTAAACGCGGGTCAGTTCCGTTTCAATGTCCACTGCTAGGCTGGCGGGGTCTATGGTTGGGCCTGCTCTTTTGATGACACGCCCATGTTTGCCCACGAGGAATGTCTCCCAGTTCCAGGAAACATCACCGGCTTTGATGGGTGAGTAAAATAAAAGTTTGTGATTGAATGTTGTCGTGGTTGGAGGGCAGTGACTCTAGGGAAACAAAGAGAAAAAAAAATTCCAAATAGTTTTAAATGTGCTGCATAAAAAGTCTAAGAATTAACAATATTGCAATACTAAATGGACGCTATAAAATTAAGGTGAATAACTTTAATTTGGTAAAAGAAAATTACGTTACGGACAAGAAATAATGGCATTTTATATAGTTTATATAATTATTTAAACATTAGCCATCATCTATGAGGCTAAATTTAAAAAAAAAAAATGAATCCAATCCAATCTCTCTTTGTTGACCATAAAAGTTATTTTTTAAATTAAAAAAAATGGCCATCTGATCTAATAACTGTAAAATTAATGCTTTAACCGCTTAACTATTTGAAAAAAGCCCCTTAAGAAATGGCATATGACTGTAAAAGTTATTAAGATCTTGACAAATGATAATGACTGAATATGCATCAATAAGTTGATGGGGACGAGGGTAATACATTTCTTGGACTCGTAGTGGTTTAAAAGTTATCTAGTCTTAAACAATACTATTTACTTATAAAGTTCCGTCATGCGCCGAAAGTAACGGCCTACTGGAACTCCCGTAGTGCTTGAACGCGTAGGTACTTAAATTTGTCAATGGGCAGCAAGTCGTCAAGTTATGGTCACATTAGTCTTTTATAAAGATATGTTGGACACAGCTCTTCTTGGAAATTGGTCTCTCAACGGAGAAAATTGTATCCATAGTTGAAGATTATTTAATTTTGACTCATATGTAAGCAGTCGTGGATGGAGACCGACTTTGAACAAGTTGGGAGAACAATTCTAAGATAGATTTAATGAGATGGCCCACAGTTATTTTAATTAGATGGCGCAAACCCCCCCCCCCCCCCCCAATGTCTATTTTAAATTTGAAGAGTGCAATGTCCACCGGAAAGGGAAATCTGGTTGACCAGAACTTTTTACCTTTGTGTAAAGATGGCCCAAACCCCCCCCCCCCCCCCCCAATGTCTATTTTAAATTTGAAGAGTGCAATGTCCACCGGAAAGGGAAATCTGGTTGACCAGAACTTTTTACCTTTGTGTATGAGTATTCAATTTTTTTAGGAATGACTAGTTTCCAACAAAATGCAAATTCACTTAATTGGTCGATATAATATTGCTGTCCCCTTCCATTGACAGAGTGCATTTCCAAGATGGCCTAGTTTCGTAATAACAGACTGTGGTGGTACTTGGTGCCGTCTTTTTAAAACTCTCTCTCGGAATTTGCTTTGCCACCTTTGTGATCATATATTTCCCCCTTCTTAATAGTACAATTAATAAAAATAATAGATGGCTTTTTAAATTGCTAAAATTTTCTAAAATTAAATACAACTTAAGCTTTGTATTTTTAACATTTATTAGTTTTTAAATAGTATACAATTTCTTTGTCGTGCTCGCCGATTATACCCCCCCCCCCCTTTTTTTTCCACTTTTGAATTGGCGCACATTGGTACGGGCGGTATTTCGCCCCCTAGCTTTACCCCAATGTCCCCTAAATATCTACGGACTTCAAACCATTGTCAAGACCTACCAGCGACACGCAAAAGCTGAATGTTCATAAGATTAATCCTAAGGGCTAGAGATAACACCACACTACGGTCTAGATCTCAGTCTTCAACTTTTAATCAAACTGGTGGCACACTTTAACTATGAAAATATTACAAGGAGGCAGCATAACAATCCTGAACATATTGTATGTATCCAACTCTAGATGTATTTATTGTGTCAGATTTTATTTTTTTTAAACACTTTTCTTAAAGTTGTGGAAGTGGGTAAGGGCTTCTCGAAGGTGAAAGGTGAAACGTATTATACCGAAATTGTCTTTAGCATAAAAATAGCCCCGCGTTGTACCGATCAAAAGGAGGCTATAGGACAGGAAGCTGACGCCATGTGACAGAGTAACCATTTCATGGAGTGTGGCACTGTTTGCAATCGAGCCACGATTTGATTTACTTGTCAATAAAAAGCATTCCTCATGTCTCATTAAATACCGTAGTTACTGTTCTTTTTTTTCTTTCAAACATTTAACACTAGAAATAACCCGCGAAACAACGGTGACGGTAATGTGAGAGCTTCCCATCCACTGCAAGTTACTTGACAAAACATACATTGAAGTTACGCACGTTATAAGAATCCACATTAGTGCTAATTTCTGGGAATTTTATTTTGCGCGCCTGTTGAACACAGTGCCGCCATACCGGTACATAAATCTCTAGATAAATATATACGTTGTTGATGACAGCGTGTCATTCCTCGGTAAAAATGCACATTGAAATGTCACATGGTTTTTGCTCCCCCGTACGTTGTTTCTTTAAATGAAATGGATATTCATGGTGTTGATAGTCATTATTCATTAGGATTTTATCCGTTATTGTTGGGGGGGGGGGTGTCAAAATTCCAAAAATACCCACAAGGTGCCCAATGTTTTTCAGTGTCCAATATTTGTCGGTGCCCAGTTTTTGTCGATGCCCAATGTTTGTCGGTGCACAGTTTTGTCGGAAGAAGTTTCTTATCACTTCGTCAAATGTTAGAGCTATATAAAGGTGGTGAAGAATATTTTAACGGACTTTGAGGTAAGTGAAGAACATTTGTTGAAGTGACCTTGAGGTCAGTGAATAATATCTGCACTGACCTTGAGGTAAGTGAAGAGTTTATGCTCACTGGCGCCATTCACATCAATCTTTTCAAAGAGTTGAAAGTTCGGGACGAATCCACCTCCGGGACGAACATATTTCACCCCGTTGAGGATCTCTGTCCCGTTAGCTCCTGGCTCTTGCTGGAAACAACGAACAGACAGACACATTCAGGTCAGCTGTCATCAACTTAAGCTGAAATCATTAGTGTTTAATTTGTGTATGTGTGTGCGTTTGGCAACTGACGTTAGTGATTAAACACTAACAAAAATGAACATAATCTTTTATATCAGGCGATGTAGCCCTGTGATGTAGCTCTGTGATGTAGCACTGTGATGTAGCACTGTGATGTAGCACTGTGATGTAGCACTGTGATGTAGCACTGTGATGTAGCACTGTGATGTAGCCCTGTGATGTAGCCCTGTGATGTAGCACTGTGATGTAGCCCTGTGATGTAGCACTGTGATGTAGCACTGTGATGTAGCACTGTGATGTAGCACTGTGATGTAGCCCTGTGATGTAGCCCTGTGATGTAGCCCTGTGATGTAGCCCTGTGATGTAGCCCTGTGATGTAGCCCTGTGATGTAGCCCTGTGATGTAGCCCTGTGATGTAGCCCTGTGGTGTAGCCCTGTGGTGTAGCGCTGTGATGTAGCACTGTGACGTAGCACTGTGATGTAGCGCTGTGATGTAGAGATGTGATGTAGCACTGTAGTGATGTAGCCCTGTGATGTAGCCCTGTGATGTAGCCCTGTGATGTAGCCCTGTGATGTAGCCCTGTGATGTAGCCCTGTGATGTAGCCCTGTGATGTAGCCCTGTGATGTAGCCCTGTGATGTAGCCCTGTGATGTAGCACTGTGACGTAGCACTGTGATGTAGCACTGTGATGTAGCACTGTGATGTAGCACTGTGATGTAGCCCTGTGATGTAGCCCTACGATGTATCCCTGTGATGTAGCACTGTGATGTAGCCCTGCGATGTATCCCTGTGATGTAGCACTGTGATGTAGCGATGTAGCACTGTGATGTAGCACTGTGATGTAGCACTGTGGTGTAGGTCTGTGGTGTAGGTCTGGGGGAATGTGTCTTAGTGGAGTAGGTCTTGCGAAATAGTTTTTGAAGTCTCGGCCCAAGGTAGTATTTCCTAAACTTGTTTTAGCCCGCTCCCCATCTGACCATCTTAGAAAATTAATGCCTGCCACCCCCCCCCCCGACGTTTTAGGTGAAGGTTTACAAAAAAAAAGGATGTCTCCATTACGTCACCTGTCCCGAGGGGCCAGTTTCGGGTCACTGCCTCTCTATATCTTTTATTTTGAGCTTGACTGATCTCAGCAGACCAACCAGATTTAACTAATTTCCCACAGCACGTCCGAACTACAGCCACGCAAGTTTGGAACTCATTCCTATTTCCTTCTTGTTTCTTGTTTGTTTGTTTTTTCTGCCGAAAAAAAGCTTTTAGCCGACACGTCCTGTTCTTTCATTTCAAGCTTCAACATACCTAGATTCACAAGTTCCTTTAAATACCTTGAACGCATTCCTTCATTTATTAACATCTACACAAACGGCGTGTTGAATGTGAGGGTACGTTCACGTAAGTCTACTGTCGGCAAAACGTTTTGTGAGGTGCAAACGCACCCCCCCCCCCAAACCTCCCTCAACCTGGTTTGAGCTTCAATCATTTTTCATAATAGTAATAAATGGTTACCAAAAACACCTGACCTTGTTGAAAATGTTACAAGGAAAGCCAAGGACGCTGAAGCCATTTTTTCCATACTCGGAATTGAGTGCATTCATTCCGTAGTAATGGGGAGTCATCTCTCAGTACGTGGCCACGACCACAATGAGGACAGCCTGGAAGGAAAAGAGACCAAGAAACAAAAATGATAATGACAAGGTCATTTACATTTACTTACGGTGCTTCGAGGTCATGTGCGCTCTCAGGATTTTTACCGTAAGGGAGGGTGGGGTGTGTACGTCTGTCTGTCGGTCTCGGCCGGGAAAACGTATTTGGATAATATGTAATGACATTAAAAAATTAGAGGACTCACTCTGTTACCTTGTCTTAATATTGTCAGACAGTTTCATAAGTCCAAATTAATTTTTAAGTTTGCTTTTAGGTGTGAGTAGTTTAGTACTGTCCTGGGAGGACCTGGGGTCACCTGTCTCCACTGACCAATGCTACTGATACCCATTTTGTTCACTGAGACGCTCTTTGTGGATTGCTCACTCTAGCCTTGTCATCGTGATTTATTTGAAAAGTGCCAATGATGAGCACACAATTTCAAAAGTGCCAATGATGAGCACACAATTTCAAAAGTGCCAATGATGAGCACACAATTTAAAAAGTGCCAATGATGAGCACACAATTTAAAAAGTGCCAATGATGAGCACATAATTTCAAAAGTGCCAATGATGAGCACACAATTTCACAATTTAATGGGAGGCTTAAATCGGTGGAAACATTTCTAAAAAAGTCCTTGTATTACTTTTACCTTGCCTCGGTAGTCGCTGAGGTAAACTGTCTTTTGCTTGTGGATGTCCATCAGAGAAAAGTCATACAGTGTTGTGTTGTCATCGTCAGGCTGGTGACAGTCCTAAAAAAGAAAAGTGGGATGGTAAAATTTTGCTATAAATATATTAAAATAGAATATGGGAATTTTACATGAAAGTTAGACGGACATAATGAGCAATTGTATCCACATAGTCAAATATATACATATAGTGTAATACAGTGGAACCTCTCATAACGAGCACCTTTCATAACGAGTAATTCGCATAACGAGCAAAAAAAAAAAGAATGTGAAGAAGTTGCTCCCTTAACGAGCGATATTTCGCATAAGGAGTTACGCAGAAAGGGGAAGTCCCTTTTTCCTGATATTCATTTGTGAGCCGGTACTTCCGCGCCGATGCATTAGTCCAGCGGTTCTCAATCTGTGGGTCGTGACCCCTTTGGGGGTTTTGCGTGGCCCTCTCCCAGTGGTCGCCTTAATCTATCTGAAAACACATATATTCTTACAGCTATGAAGAAGCAACGAAAATAATTAGGTTGCTGGGGGGTCGCCAAGACACGAGAAACTGTATTAAAGGGTCGCGGAACTAGAAAGGTTGAGACCCATTGCATTAGTCTGTGTTTAGGACTCGGTCTGTTAGCGTATTGTTTTCGTGTGTGATCACCAGTTTTTACAAATTTTGTATTCAGACAATATTCGTAAATTTTTTAATGTGCAAAGTGTAATAACCTGTGCTAAAATGTCTTCGAAAAAAAAAACCCACAAGAAGACAATCATAAAAGAGAAAAAATAACTGTTGAAATGAAACGTAAAATCCTTGAAAAGCGAGAACAAGTTGTGAGCGTGGCAATTCGTGCTACAAATGTATTCAATGATAATGCTGTGACACATTTTTGTCAAATTTTGAAGCGTCGGCAAAAACAAATGTCTTTAGACAGTTTCCTATAGTTAAAAGGGATTAATTATTTGTCATAATTTCATAATTTTATTTACGTTTTTTGTTTCAAATCTAAATTGTATTCCAGTTGTAACACTCCTTAACAATTCATAAGTAATTTTATTTGAATAAATGTTTATAAAATTTTTGAAAATTAGTATTTTTTCAGCATGGAACGCATTATCGTATTTTACATTGATTTGTATGGGGAAAAATTGTTTCGTTTAACGAGTGTTTCGCTTAACGAGTAAGAGTCTGGAACGAATTTAACTCGTTATAAGAGGTTCCACTGTATATCTAATAAATACCTTCGAATAAGCTCGTCATCAAAACAGCCTATATTTTTAAGGCTCTTTGGTTTGCCTATAGAAACTAGTATACTTTGTTTGTGTACGCCATGAGGTGGACGAGTAACGCCCTTGCCAAAGGTATTTACTTGTGTTATATGACGACGTGTTGCATTTTGTAAAGCATCAAGAAATGACCTCACGGACCTTTCAGACCCTGAATCCAGCGCTCCCATCGCAAACCATACGTCATATTATTATATATTGAAAATTATTGCATGGATAAAAATCGAAGTTTAAAAAAATAATTGAATGGTCAAGATATTTTTTCTTTTAAATTGTCGTATTGAACCGCTTTTTAAACTACTTTTAGAATTAAGATATTTAAAATCCTATGTATTAGAAAATGTGCCCATAAATTTGACTTAAGCGCCCCCCCCCCCAATTGCACATCAGTTTGTGCGGGCCAGCGCCCTGGTGCTATTTATTATACAAACACACCACTGCACCCACTCACATAAGATAAACGTTACCAGGTGCTGAAAACGTTATGGCAACGACAACAATGAATCATGTTTAGCATATAGTGGAACCTAACACAGCCGGTAGAGATGCGCCCACACACAAGAAAAATGTTTCCCTACACCAATTCATAAACGTATAGTTCAAAAGCGCAACGGTTACCATCATGACACCCGCATGGCCAGTGGCCAGCAGCCCGCACAGGGTGACCAGGAGCCCACCGGTGTGGCTAGACGCCCAACGCCCCATGCTCAGCTGGCTGGTCAAACTGAATGACGCAAGTATTAAATAGAGAAAGTGATTACCTCGGCTGTCCGTGGGTGCGGGCACGTCCACATGACCGAGTTTTTATTTAAAAAAATCAATCTTTAAACTTTAGAGAAAGGCCCATTAATTAACGAGAGATAAACAGAGGCGCAAGTCTGAGCAGTTGTCGCTAAATTTCTTGAGGTAAAATATGATCGAGGCACTTGTCTCCTATCGTAGAACATTACAAGTACAGATATTGACAATGCTCTTTGTTAAAAATGAACGCAAAGACCGTGAAACATGTTGGTTTTATTTACTCGATATAGCGAGGGGCGGCATTTTCGGCCAACTGCAGAGGTTTTACCGCTGGGAAAAGAAAAGAAAAGGGGGAGGGGAGACTGAGGCAGAAAACCCCTTTTCCGTCCCGGGTGTCACTAACCTATGGCTAAGCCACTGATGATAGTGATCCATGACGAACGTCTGTTTACTAGTCATAAATATTTGATATGTATCCAATGGTATCTTTGATCACACAAGTTTCACACTTGTTAGTTGTGTATGATTCTAATTTTTTTTTTAAAGTTTCTACAAATTAGTTCGCACCAGAGTATAAAATTATGTGACAAATTATTAGCTGGTGGGAATGAATTATGCATTGAATTATTGAATAGGACCAATTTTTTTTTATTGACGTGTCTAATTGATGGGGACATTGGTACTCCAATTCCCCCATCACCACAAACACTTCTGTAACTAGCTCTAGTGTTGATCTTGTTGTTCACAATTGATTAAAAAAAGCATCAGGTAGCTGTGTAACATCTGTTGACTGTCGTGCTGCTAATTAAATCCTAACAACGACGTGGGACAGGAACAACGATTTTGATGGTTGGCCTCTAACAAGAATGGCGTCGTTCACTGTCGGTAATGCAAGGCATCCAATTATAGGCATGGTGGCACAGATGTCCCATGATTTTCAATTACCCCAATCCATACACCGAGCATATATATATATATATATATATATATATATATATGGGCGTGTGTGCGTGTGTAATATATACTGTATATATATATATATATATATAATAATTTCGTTGGCAATCTAGCATGGTGGCACAGATGTCCCATGATTTTCAATTACCCCAATCCATACACCGAGCATATATATATATATATATATATATATATATATATATATATGGGCGTGTGTGCGTGTGTAATATATACGGTATATATATATTTATATATATAATAATTTCGTTGGCAATCTTATTCATTGTCTTAATCAACTTTATAAAAAAAATGTATGCTTTCTAACATGAGTGTGGTGTGTGTGAGTGTGGCGGAGGGTGCCGCATGGTACCTGCATGTAACACTAATTTTGGTAGACATTTCTACCTGCATGGAGCATTTGTGTTTGTTCTCTCAAATTGTAAACAAGCCATAGCCAGTCTCTTATGGTCAATGCTCGAACATGATCTTAGATAGCATCCTGACAAAATATTACATACACACAAAATATGACATACACACAAAATATGACATACACACAAAATATGACATACATAAAATATGACATACACAAAATATAACATACACACAAAATATGATATACACACAATAATATGACACACACACGCACATAAAAGGCTGGTACAATTATACATTAAAAGGATGAAACAGAAATATTATAAAATTTATTTTATTACATAATTTTTCAATACACACATTACATTTACATCAAGACATGGGGCAAATAAGCCGACAATCTGTCAGACACCGAGAGATTTTGTACTTAGTCTTTTATGTCATGGCGGTTAAAATAGAATATAGAGAGAGAGAGAGCGTCGTTGTTTCGTGTTGTTGGTCAGTAAATTCACCCGCTTCTTTGAGAATATAGCATTATCAAATCATGGACAATGGATCTTACGACAAAGCTCTGGATGCAACGCTTCTCATTGGCTGAAAAAGTCATCACCTCAGTCACGTGACGAATGCACAAAGTCATCGTGACGTCGGAGATGAGTCGGCGCAGTCTAGCAACCAATAATGGCTGTTTATAGAAAGCACGTCATAATCTTTTCCTGGAAACGACGCAAGCAGAGTTTAGAAGAGCTGCAACACATAAAACGCAGAAAGCCAAACTGTCAAATAAAACCTTACTTGAAAAGGTGGCTGCTTTAAAACTATCAAACTTGTTTACCTCACATCTTGATTTGTTCATTGTGTGTTAGGTCTCTAAGATAATTTAAAAATCAACATATTGTTCTCATTATTTGTGTGTGTCATTTTGAAGTTACAAGAATTAAATACACACGTCCGTCTAACGGAGCTCTTTGCCTGGTTTAACAACTGATACAACGTGGTGGTTTCCAGACCAAATTCAGGTTTAATTGGCCTATTTTCGAATCTGTTGGAACTTTTTTTTGAAACATATTCTTTAAATGCTATATTTATTATATAGACTAGACTAAACAGGAATATTTTCAGTTTTTTTTTTTTTTAAAAATTCAAAATTAAATTTCCAAACCAAGTTTTCAGTTGCGTATTTCTTATAGCGTGTCCGGCTTTAAGTTATTTTACTAAATATTTTAATTTTTTAAAATGTTTTATTTGAGGTCATGTTAGAAAAAAGTTTGGAGGAGATAAGCCGATAAAACTGAACAGGAAACTCCATGTATCCTGAAGCTAACCAATGATTGGGCTGACGCCAGCTGCGCGCGCACGTGCCAGCTCTGACTCGATGTCTGCGGCCAGGGCGAACGGGTCGGTGGCCGGGGGCGTCCTCTTGACGACGCGTCCGTCATAACCCACCAGGAACGACTCCCAGTTCCAGGCCACGTCACTGGACCTGATGGGGGCGTAGAAGAGGAGGGGTGTGTTGAACGTCGTTGTGGTGGGCGGGCAGTTGCTCTGGAACAAAACCAAAGAAAAACAAAGAGTTTAAAAAAAAAAAGTGTATGCTAATGTAAACACATTTATTTATAAACACCGACATGTATTGTCTCTGAATGTATGCAATTGTCTCTACTGTTAGTGCTAGCCTAATAATGAGGTGAACATTGGGTGGGAAGGGAAATGTGTCAGTGTGTCCTGAGAGAAGGAAGGGAAATGTATCAGTGTCTCCTGAGAGAAGGAAGGGAAATGTATCCGTGTCTTCTGAGAGAAGGAAGGGAAATGTATCAGTGTCTCCTGAGAGAAGTAAATGGAAAACGTTTTTTTTTTAAAGACAAATCTTCTTTTATAAATTAGACACAAAGTCACATAAATGCAACATCTTCTCAAACGCTTTTTTTCCCCTTTTATTTTTCGTTTCGAAATAAATGTATGTTTACTCTAATACCGAAAGTTACCCACTTAATGCAACTACCGATAATAACAACTAATTGACTGCTTCCTAAAAAGATCAACTGACCTAAATATCCACCCCCCCCCCCTTTAACTTTCTCTCTTTTAAACCCTGGCATCAACTCACGAACAAATGGATATTTTTAACACTCATCAATTGCTAACCACGTCTCCAAAAAAAGGAGTCAGAACACTCAAGTATCGTTAAGTAGAAGCTCTTTTTTTTTTTTTTTAAATGCTGTTGGGGTCAAGTGTCTTAAAATTAATATTATGGTCTGGATATTTTTTTAATCAGAAAAGATTGGGAATCAGATTAAAGAAGCTGTTGATTCGTTTTGTGCAGAGATTACTATCTCTCGCAGAATGTTATCCGACAGTCACAAGATTGATTAATACATAGTAAGGTTATCATGTTATAAGGTTATCTGCATGGGCCTACAATGTCACGCTGTGGGCCTGCAGTGCACTAAACATTGTTTGCGAAGTTTTAGTTTATTTTGACAGCAATTTTCAATCATATTTCTAGTTTGGCAATTTAAAACATTCATTTAAAATAGTTTTGTGATTCAGAGTTCAGATTCACCGCCACTTCGTTATCAACAGTAGCGTATGAAGCGCGGGCGGGGAGGGGGGGGGGAAGAAATCGGCGCAAGCGCATTTTTCATGGGCGGAAAAAATAGAGGGGGGGGTGGCATTTTGGGTCAGCTACGTAAATTATATATGGATCTAGCTTAATGTGATACTCTGTATGTTTCGTGGTTTTTCTAAGTGATGGGTGCAAACTCAAGGGCCTCATCAGGCAACACAAATTCTAGCTGACAAATTGGTTTAGAAGCTAGAAGCATCCGGTAAGTTAACACAACACAAAACAGCATATCCAACGATTATTTAGCTATAAAACTGCCAAATTAGAGACTTGGCAGAACGACTTCATAAAAAGAATTATGTTTTATAATTGACCTTGGGGTAAGGAGGTCGTGAAGAATATTTAAACTGACCTTGAGGTAAGTGAAGAATATTTGAACTGACCTTGAGGTAATTTTATAATAATTGAACTGGCCTTGAGGTTAGTGAAGAATATTTGAACTGACCTTGAGGTAAGTGAATAATATTTGAACTGACATTGAGGTAAGTGAATAACATTTGCACTGACCTTGAGATAAGTGAAGAGTTTATGCTCACTGGCGCCATTCACATCAATCTTTTCAAAGAGTTGAAAGTTCGGGACGAATCCACCTCCGGGACGAACATATTTCACCCCGTTGAGGATCTCTGTCCCGTTAGCTCCTGGCTCTTGCTGGAAACAACAGATAGACACGTTTAGATTAAGGTTTAGAATATTATGCCAACATTGGTAATGATGGAGAATTTGTCTGCATTAACACAGAATAAATCGTTGGGAACATAGCGATGTATGAAACACAATGTAAACAACATATCAGGCCTAATTAATTGACTTTTTTTGTCATTAAGATGTTGCAAGTTTAAAATTTGATAGATGAAGATGTGTTTAAGTTTGCCTGACCAAAGCAAAGTGCGTTTGTAATAAGATTTTATTGTTAATATTTTTTAAGCCGCGTTTCCGCCTACGTAGGTGCAAAGTTATCTTCATACAAAATGAATGACTGACCTTGTTGAAGTTGTTGCAAGGGAAGCCTAGGACGACGAAGCCTTGACTGCCATACTGGGAATTGAGTGCATTCATTCCGTAGTAATGGGGGGTCAGGCCTCAGTACGTGGCCACGTTCACAATCAGGACAACCTGCACAGGAGTGAAGAGAAACGAACACACAAAAAATGACTACATACATTTTGGGCAAGGTAATCTGGCTGTGTAACTTTGCCACAAATAACTCTTGAATTGTGTTGGTGTTGAGAAGTTGTCAACGTTGAAGCTTATTATTGGATAGCAAGTCATATTGTTACATTTTTTTGTTGCATAACATAGAAGGGAAGATGCCTACAATAAAAACTACACAACAAAATATATATGTGGAATATCCCATAGAAATTAGATTTGATCATCTGAGATGTTCAAAGGGTGTTAACATAACACATTGCTTGAACACACGAGTCCTACCAACTGTTTTGTTTTTTTCCCCTTCACATGATTTGACAATTGATTTTTTTTTAAAAATTGAATTGAGGGTTACCTTTCCTTTGTAATCATTAAGGCTGATCGTCCTGATGTTGTGAACGTCCATCAAAGAATAGTCGTAGATTGTGCGGTTGTCATTGGCTGGTTGGTTACAGTCCTGTGGACGATGGACATTATATTTTATTGGAGGCCCATAACTATGGGGAGATGGGACCAGAGGTGGGTAAATGACATCTGGAACTATTTGATAATTGTGTGTGTATGTGCAACGCCGGCCTTTAGAGTGTGCGAACTGTGCCCTCGCACAGGGCGCCGTGGCCATAAGGGCGCCTGGGGCACCCAGTAAATATTTAAATTCCCTTAGTTTATTATAGTGAAGCGTGAAGTACCGTAGAAAAACTTAACAGTCTAAATTAATGTTCATGTTAAAATGCGTATGGTTAGCTGCATGTAAAGCATCATAACACGTGCTCCATAGCCTGCGTCGTAATCTGAAAAAGAGCGGGGCCATACAGGGACAGGGGGCGCCGAACGGGTGATTCGCACAGGGGGAAAGTTTTCCTTAGGCCGGAGTTGGTGTGTGTATGTGTGTGTTTGTGTGTGTGTGAGAGAGTGAGAGAGATAGTGAGTGTGTGTGTGTGTGTACACTGTTCTATTTTTTAAATAGCATAAATTTTGATATGGCCACCTCTGAGCAAATGTGTACGGCCGACGGCCTTGAACTTAAAAGCTCATTATATTATAACTATAACTTATGTAACCTTACAAAGCCAGAAGTAGGACCATTGTCACAAGGTAATTTATTATAATTGTGCGCATTAGACTTAGCTTTAATTAAATCCTTTGAATAGTCTTTGTTTTTACAAATGGGTTTCGTTTAAATAGAACGTTTCAGTAACAATTATTGATCACATTTCTCTTGTCGTTAGTTGGGTGTTGTGTGATACAAGATAATTAGATAACTTCTTTTGAAAAGTATTAGCTTCTATATACGCATGTTTCTGTTCTGGGAGGTTCTTCTGATTACCGTTTCCCTTTTAGTAAATGTACGTTAATATCTCAAAATATGAAAAGAAATTTAAATCAAGATGCCATCTTTTTATTTTATTTCTTTAAAAAAAAAAATGAGAATAATTTTTACTTTAAAGATGATAGCTGACTTCAAATTTCAAGCGATTCTTGCAAGTGATGACATCTCAGTGAAGTATAAGTGTGGTATATTCCAGTGCATTCAGAAACATTGAAGTATACAACGAATTTACCTGTCTTCCGGCCAAAATATGAAAGAATGCATTGTGATCTTGAGGCAGAAAACAATATGTTTAACTGGAGGAGAAACAACAACTCACCATCATTACACCTGCCTGGACGGCGGCCAGTAGACCACAAAATGTGGCCAACAGACCGCCGGTGTTAACAGTGGGCCACGGCATGGCCAAGTTTGGATCCGATCTGAGGTTAACCTGTTTTTGGTCGTCTGCTTTTATAGGCTAAGCGACGGTGGACACTTATCTCCCCTTGTTATAGTTGAGTGTCAACATCCGGTACTTCCCTGGGACAACAGATAAATGCAGGTGACCCGTGCCACGTACCAAAGTCACTTTTTACTGCTTTGTTTGGTTGGCAATACAAGTAAATAATTGATAAGGTTTTTTTTATTAAAGAAAGATAACACCAAAATGATTTTCAAGCCTGACGATTAAAAAAAAAAAAGCATTACAAAGGAAAAATAACAAACTGCTCCAGTGGATCCCTTACAAAAAAAAGTAATCACCGAATTCAGTAAATAGAAATCTTTAATGCTCATGAGGCTGGCAAAGCTATAGTAGAGCTGTATCGAAGAAGAAAGAGAGGGAGAGAGAGAGGGGGGGGGAGAGAATATGAGAGAGGGGAAAGAGAGGGCGCGAGAGAGGGAGAGAACTGTAATTTTAAGCACACGATATGGATAATATAGCGGTGGCTTCTATTTAAAGCGAGAGAACAGTTGCGCTGAGCCTAATCTATTCTTTAATTACTGTTTTACCACATTTGTCATAAAAACGAGGTATTAAAAAAAAATTAATAAAATACAAGGCATCATGTAATTTTAGCCGCCGGCTGATATGTTTTATAGTTTACAGTAATTAGAGGTTGAGATGTGGGTTATAGAGATTAGAGATCAGCGCTTCTCAAACTTTTTTCCGACCACCGCCCACTTTGCACCATAACAACAACCCTAACGCCCAGCTCTGTGTGGAAGATAAACCCTAGATGAAACGCTGGATTGTTTATGGCACTAAATGGTAAAATATAATATAAAAACGCGTTTTACTTTAATTAATTCAGTAATGATCTGGTTAATTTGATCCGTTGATATCACAGCTTTTTAAAGTAGAGCACATCATACTATTGCTATGATCCATTAATACCACAGCTTTTTGAAAGTAGAATGCAATATACTATTACTACTAAACTACTTTCAGTATTACCTACTGGTGTGGGAATTGATCGTATTACACCAAACACCGATCAAATAGAGTTATTAAGAAAGCTAGTAACATCACAAAACTAAACATCATTCACTTGAAGAGCTATTTGAAGAAAAATGCTGTTGTAAAACTAATTTTGTGTGTGGATGATGCATCCCAGCCACTTCATCACAGATACATAAGATCACATCCCACCCACTTCATCAGATACCTAAGATCACATCCCACCCACTTCATCACAGATACATAAGATCAGATCCCACCCACTTCATCAGATACTTAAGATCACACCCCACCCATTTCATCACATATACATAAGATCCCATCCCATCCACTTCATCGCAGTGATCAGCTCGATCAGGGCTAATTCTTTCTCTTAAAGTTAGGATAGAAAGATATACAAAATTATTTTGTTCCTCAGTCAATACGAATTTACCTACGTGGTCCCCTCCCCCCAAAATAGGCTACCAAATCTAAATGATCACTAATTAAATCATTATTGTTCTAAAGGAGCTTATTTAGAGCTGATCTACGGCTAGAGAAATACTTTGGATGTCTTGAGTTTAAATTATTATAATTGTAAAATGTTGCCTTGGTTTAAAATATGTATTTAGTTATGGGCTGAACATGAGTATGCTAAATGTATTTTAAAAAAACAACATTTAATTTAAATTTATTTGGATCGATAAAAAATCTTAGAATTACGATTAGGCACTTAGTGTAGTAACGTACTACTGCATCGCTTAAAAGTAGGCTTACCACGTCCTGTATGCTTTGGATGGGCTTAGTAAAGTGATGCTATTTCTTAAGTGTCCGCTTTAAGGTAACTTCAAAACACTATAAAATAGAATCGTTCAAACAGATGGATTATATTTCTCTGCAGTTCTTGAGCTTCTTCACCACTTTCCACTGTTCATAATAATGACACGAACATTTCTTCTGAAACTGAAACTCTTAAGTCTGATTTCCTAAGCCTTGGCTTCAGCTTTGAGTTAGCTTTTCATAAAAGTAAACCAATGCATTTGCAACAAAAAAATTGATTTATCATCAACTCTTTCATTTAAGGAAGAGCCTAGAATCACCCCGACACCACATTCAAAGGGTCACAAGATGACTGAGCATTAGGGTGACGAATGACACCCTCAAAGGGGAGAGGGGGGCATCAAATGGAAAACTTCAAATTGACAGTGTTCGTTCAAGTCGGTTACAAAGCAGAACTCAGTTGTTGACATGAGAAGGGTTTCATCAGATCATGGTGTCATCAGATCATGGTGTCATCAGATTAGGTTGCCACCAGAGTATGGTGTCATCAGATCATGATGTCATCAGATCATGGTGTCATCAGATCATGGTGTCATCAGATTAGGTTGCCACCAGAATATGGTGTCATCAGATCATGGTGTCATCAGTTTAGGTTGCCACCAGATCATGGAGCCATCAGATCATGGTGTCATCAGATCATGGTGTCATCAGTTTAGGTTACCACCAGAATAGGGTGTCACCAGAGAGATCAGGTTATTGCCAGAACAAGGTCTCACCAAACCAGGTTGTCCCAAGTTCTCACCGAAGCAGGTTGTCGCAAGGTCTCACCAAAGCAGGTTGTTACAAGGTCTCATCGTAACAGATTGTCACAAGGTCTCAACGTTGTCACAAGGTCTCATCAAAGCAGGTTATCACAAGGTCTCAATCAACATCGTGCAGTCAACAATATTTTTTTAAAAAAAAAGCACACATATAGTGGAGCTCCCATTCCAAACATTTATATAAAGCACTTTTATTTCTATAGATGAGAGCAGTGTTTCTCAACCTCTTCTCTAGTCCACACCCCCAACAAATTAGCTGACGTGTCTCGTATGCCCTTCGAGTTGTTTTGTAAGTCTCGCACCCCTTACAAGAGCAACAATGCATTTTCAAAGGTGAAAATAATGAGCTACAAATTCATTAATTAATTACAGAGAGAACTGTAGAACTTAGAAAATAAACTTTGTGACTTATTAAGTAAAAGAGAATTTAAATGAAGAAATGTTTAAAAATATGTCTCCTGTGATCTTGTTCTCATCACCACACCCCTTTGATATGGCACCTCTCACCCCAGTTTGGAAAACTACGAATGTTGGAAAATTGGTTTAAATATGAAACGACTGGGTCTGATAAAGAAGAGGTCTGTGCTCTGCTAGGAGATCGAGGAGAAGTACGACTGCATTTAAATAGTCGATAACTTTATGGTATGTTTGGTGTCTGTTTGTTAAAACAAAGAATGGGATTTGTTTGTATGGATTATTTTTTAATTTTTAACGTAAAAATGTGAGGAATTCTGCTAAGGGTATTTATATATATATATATATATATATATATATATATATATGTATGTATATATATATTATTTTGGTGTGGTTGGGGGGGGGGGCCAAACGATTATCGTTTTAGTAATCCTATTTTAAGCCATTATCGGTCCGAATGTTCCGCACAACAAGGTCAGCTTATTTTATAAGAATGTTCTTAAAATCAGCCGACACGTCCATCGCACCGTGTGATCTACAGGCGCAGCTAAATATTGAAAAGAAAAAAAAAAACCATTAATGACAAAAATAAATAAAAATCCGATTTTTCCTTTTCCATCGTTCTAAGACCGGTCACCCAACACTCCGAGTACGGTAGCTTTTTGAACAGCAGCCGACAGCCGGAAATCCAGTTATCCTTAAACATCCTTACAGTTGGAGTGCCGGAAATCCAGTTATCCTTAAACATCCTTACAGTTGGAGTGCCGGAAATCCAGTTATCCTTAAACATCCTTACAGTTGGAGTGCCGGAAATCCAATTATCCTTAAACATCCTTACAGTTGGAGTGCCGGAAATCCAGTTATCCTTAAACATCCTTACAGTTGGAGTGCCGGAAATCCAATTATCCTTAAACATCCTTACAGTTGGAGTGCCGGAAATCCAATTATCCTTAAACATCCTTACAGTTGGAGTGCCGGAAATCCAATTATCCTTAAAAATCCTTACAGTTGGAGTGCCGGAAATCCAATTATCCTTAAACATCCTTACAGTTGGAGTTTTGAAACTACTTTAAAACATGTGCAACGACGAAGTACTTTGTCACATAATATAAATAATTATACAGAATACAATTATTTATGCGTACCCAGTAGCGTTGGTAGCATTAGTGCCACCCGGGGGACGTCAATATTTTGAAAAAAATCTCTTCAGTCAGGTGAAAGGGGCGTTCCAACTTGTAAATTAAAAAAGCGATTCCCGGGGCGGACAGCCCACCGTCCTCCCTTCCCCCGCAACGGGGCGCGCCATGGCAGTTACTTAGAAAGAAGAAAACGATTTAACACTTTGTTGGGAAGTGGTTACATTCTAAATCACTACAGCCTAAATATATCTACTTCAAAAAAAAAATATAATTCTTTTTTTTTTTTTTTATCCAAATTTTACTAATTGCTTGTCTAATTTAATAAAATTTAAAAAACAAAAAACAATTTAAAAAAACAAACAGCAAGATTCGGGTTATGGGCGTATAGTCTACTTTGGATAAGAAAAAAAACAATGTGGCACGTAGTACCATAATACATCTATGTCAGCTACCCCCACCAACTGACCTTGCACCAACTGACCTTGCACCAACTGACCTTGCTGCACACGTCATTTTAAATCCGCTGCTTAGTTTTGATGAGTTTCTATCTGCGTTAAATAACAATTTCCACTAACGGTACAGTAACTAGATCACGTCAAGAATGTGAGGACTAAAATACTGCTGTCAAGGCATTCACGTCTCTCGTTAAATATGTGTGCCGTTTCATTTGATATTGTGCTGGGACAGTAGACACAAGATAAGGGACCGTCTCGTCCTCATTATCTAGTTATCTTGGATATGTTTCTGATTAAAATTGAACATTCTAAGCTATATCTTTAAGCAGAGGATGGTTGTCCTCAACAAGCTGGGGAACACTATTTTTTTAACAGTATTATTTAGGGTTAGCCGGTTATATAATAGGCCTATACAAGGACAGCAGAGTCAACAGACTAATGGGAAGCCTTTTAGATTAGTATTTAAATACAGTTAAACTAATTTTACGAGCCAAACGGGTATCTTTTTGTTACCGGTAACGTATCTTCTTCTTCTTCTATATCTTAAGGGCCCACGATCAATTTATTGATCATTTTGGCTC